ATGTAGGTTCAGGGTGGTGGTACGCAGTCTGGCAGCATTCCTGTCAGTACAAGTTCAATCAGAGACCCAGCAGCGACTTCAGCCCACAGCAGACTTGGAGCTCTCTGCCAAAGCCCAGCAAGTAAGCAACTGAAACTGCAAGCACAGTGTTTTCATTTTCTAGTCTGTATTTATCTCCTATGAATAACTTTCTCGTCTTTTCTGTGGATGCAGACGCTCGGGGTATTGGAGGCCATGACCAGCAATAAACAGTATGCTGAGTTAGAGGACTCCGTGAATAAAGCAGTGCAGTTCATCCGCTACCCAGGACACTGTCTCAGAGATGGACCCCGACTGCTGTCCCTGCTAGCCAACCTGCTATACCCTGAACTCAGATACCTGAACATCATCCGCTAATCAGGACCTAAACTAAAACTCATGCTGAAAATCCTGGAAGATGTTAGTCTTCTGGCAAAAAACTGTGACAGTAAACCTCAGTTCTTTACAGAAAAGAAAAAGACTTCTGGGGCACACAGTTTCCAAGTAGTGACCCTGGTACTGAGTTGCTTTGAAAACTGCAAGAGCTACATGTTTGTTAAGACAGAAACTGACTGTTCATCAGAGCTCGCTATGCATTTGTGAAAATCACTTTTTAACTGGTAATGTTCAATGAAGGGTGATGAATTCAGTCAGATTCACAAGAGATGTCATGAGCTAACCCCTTATCGTTGTTTTATCCTCTCCTGTTAAGGCCTTATTGCTTTTATATGACTTGCCAACACATCTGTTCTAATCTTGATTTGAGAGGAAGTTGCACATATTTATTGAATCAGAATTAGGCTTTAGGTGTCAGTTTCACAACTAAACGTGGAATCTAATAAAAGCTGAAGGGTCCATAGATTACTTTGAAGGACATATCTAATACTCCTATACGTTTAGTAGTACCTTCTTAAAAATGGGTGGGGGACATACCAGGGAAGCTTGAAGGCAGGGTTTCGTGCCTGACACAAGTTAGCTTTGGATGCTAGCATGTAGCTGCAAGCTACAATCTTTACATATGAATACAGTGTCTGCCTGAATGAAGTGATCCTGCTTAGTAACAGGACGTGCCATTATAATTCATATTTTCTGCCAACAGTGCTTTCATTTTTTTTGCCAAAGAGATGTTATTTTAGTCCTATGAGCCACTTAGATCTTCTTGACCGTGCACCCTGGTTATTTCATCTTTCACTGTTCAGGACATAGAACTGCTGTCTGAAAAAACACACCAGAAGAAACACTCTATAGAAGTGCCACTTAATCTGTGCTTCACCATTTGGCTTCCTTATAAAGCAGTATGTGCTGTAATACCAGCTACTGGTACTCCTAAAACAGCAGGTATGTACAGTAATGTGATGGGAGCTAAAAGATATGTGGATTGGATACACAAATGGTAGTACATGTTTTAGGTTGAAAGCACAATGTGATTCAGATTTACAAACTGTACTGTACATCCAACACTCTTCTCCTCTGTTTAATTACCCTTGGCAGTTCACCACTTCTGTTGCTCTGTGCCGTCTCAATAATAATCGTGCTGCACTTCTGCTGCCTGAAGCACGCCTTATTGCCTGTGTTCTGTGGCGACCGTTAATGTCAGAAGTGCTGCTTTTTCATGAGTCAGTGATCAGGAATGGGTCTGTGGGGCTGCTGGGGGAGGGAGAAACAAATTGGAGGGGGCTGCAGAAAGAAAACATGTTCAGGAAAGGGAACTTTCTGTCTCTGCTGGTTTTTACCAATTTAACCAAGTGATTAAGGACTATATGCTGTGAAGTACATGTAGTAACTGGAATAAAAAAAGACTCACATATACTACCTGGATGGATCACATTAGCACACAGCTAAATGCATCAAGAACAAGCAAGAGACAAAATAGAGCCAAGCAGCATAATAGAATACATTGTGCAACAACCCAACCTGCAATCTGCATTCTCCATGCGTAACAATGCAGATGGTCAAACTGAAATTAAAGCTTCATTGTCTAAAAGGAGTGTTTTGACAAGCTTGTTTCTTTTTGATTGGCGTAGCATCCTGTTGTTCTTTGCATCAGAGTGAAGGTACAAAACATGTCCCCAGCTCAGAGCGGCTTGTACAAAGACTGCTCTGGAGGGAGGGGGGGGGGGTCTTTATATTGATTTATGTGCTAACTTAGCACACAGCATCCTCATTTGACACCTCGTCTGTCTGGGAGAACTACCTCTCTTCAGGATACTGTGGTCTCTATGGTTACAAGAAGGGTAGAAGTGAGCGAGGAGGTGGCGAGGACGGGGTGTTCTGAGGAGAGAGGAGGTGGTAGATACTTACATGCTCACATGTCTGCCTCTTCACACCAGAACACAGCCTCGTCTGGCGTCTCGTCGTCTCATTGACCTTTTGTTCTCCCGTCTCTCAGGTAAGGCTGTGGAGTAGTTTTATATTAACAGGACGGTTTGGCCTTGTTAGATATCCTTCACACACATATAGACACATACACGTGCTCAGAGGAGCCACTGCTTAGACAGAGTACTCCCAGACATCACTGTCTGGCAGATTCCAGTGTCACCATGGAAACCAAGCATCAGGTCAGGAATAGTTGTTCCTCAACTGTTTTGGTGCACACTCAGCAGCAATTGGATCAGTCATTATTGGCAATTAAAATAAAGACATAAAACAAGCAGAGTACAGTCACACAAATGTGTCCAGTTATGCAAGAACCCCTGACAGTAATCAAGAAAAGTTTATTATGTAACCTTTATGTACTCACAGACAGAAAATCACATTTTGACCAAGTGTTTCTTTCTGTGGGTTTCAGCATACTTTAACATGGTTCTGTCTGTCCCAGTATAACACTCCACTCATTGGTGACCAGTTGCTCTATGGGACAGCTGCACTGGCCTAAGACCCTCACACACACACTCTCAGCTGGACACACAAAAATGTCTCAACGCTCTCCTCAACAGCTACAATCCTTCAACACATTTCTGCATTTTTTTTAATAGTACTTCTTTTTAATGAATAGACCAAATAGGGATTGAACATCACAGCTCAATCAGAGAAAATAAAAACACAAGCACAGAACATAATGTTCACAGAGGTATTCAGACTTAAAGAAAAAGACAGTTAAAAGTCTACTTGATCACAGCATTTCTCCCTCCTTCACATCATTTTAAGCAGAAAAAGTCATCAACAGTTGATGATGTTGAAAAGGAGTTACACAGTTGGAGAGATCTCATTTGCCAGCTTTCTAACAAACTTCAGAATATTTCTAAGAGACAAAAAGCTGAAAGGGAAACCAGAATTCTAGTTCAGGCTGTTTGAAACCAGATGACCTACTCATATGGACTTCTGATTCGGCGTAATAATCTCTCCCAAAAAATTAACTTGCTAGCAAGACTTCAGATTTCCAAATCTGAAGCCATGTTTCTTCATACATTTCTGTTAGCTTCTTTTGTCCAGGGCTACCTAAAAGCATTGACTGTATTTTTATTCATTGAGGTGAACACAATGCCTTTGTACAGTTTATATAATTATACCTTGAGTGATTTTTGATGAATAAATTAATCTGTGATGTGATGTTTGCATTGTTTTGAATGTTTGTGTGTGTTCATGTAGATGAGAGCTCATGCATGTGTGTCAGACAGGCTCCTCCAGTGACGACACCCACTTTTCTCGCACCTCCTTGCCAGTCCAGAGGGGAGCGGGGAAAGCTTTATTTCTCTCTCTCTCTCTCGCTCTCTTTCTCTCCACAATGTACCTTTCTGGGCACTTAGCACTAAAAGTCAACAAAAATGAGTCAGACCTCCACCTGTGTAGTGTGAGATTTTTAGAAAATTGGGTAGGCTGCTTGTTGATCTGCTCTAGACTTAACAGTGGATGAGTCAGGGAACAATGTTGGCCTTGAGGAAATACTTTGTACTGTGCTGAATAAAATCTTCTGAATATTGCCTTAAATTGACAGGAATTTTTTTTGTTGGTTTGTACCTGTATTGTGGGACTGAGGTGTCATGAAGGTCTACAGGGTAGGTTAAAACAGTCAAGTGTCTTCAAACGTTCTTGTTTCTGGTCGCTGCATCATGTTAACATGGCTTGACATGTTTCATATGATATTTAATCAGGGAATATGCACGCGTAAAAGATATCAGCTGGAATGAATCCCATTTGAGACCCACAAAAGCAAACAAGGCCATTAGCAACAGCGTTTCAGATTTTTATTGCATGTATCCGCTGCTACAGGTAAGAAAATACTATGCATGTGAAGGATAACTTTGTCCACAGGGGGCGCCAAAATCAACACAGATTTAAAGTTCCTCACAGGAACTTTAAAGGCTTAACAAAAGTTCAATCTATATGTTAAGGTTTTAAAATGCTGGAATTTTTTGTTTTTTCATGGTTAAACAGGCCTAATGCTGAAATATTTTGTGTTTAATACATTTACCACACCGCTAACCTGAACCCAGGTGGTTTCCAGTTCAAAATTATCTGTACACTGCACAAAAGATTGTAGGGCCGACGGCTAACTCTTTTGTGCTTATTTTCCTTTTGGGATGGGATCATTGGCAAGGGTTAAGAGTTACACGAATTTGGTTTTAAATTGGGAAAGGTAGAGGCAAATATTTAGGAATTTTGTTACTGGTCTTTATTTATAATTTATTTTTGGTTTTTGTTTTGTGTCAGTAAAGTAGGTAGTCACAGAGCACATTTCGAGTGGAAGGGGGTCAAGGGCAGGTCAGATTTGGTTTGGGTTTAAGAGGGGGAGGGGTGTGTTTTAAAAGTTGGTTGTGATCATGAAAAACTCCTAAGTCTTTGCAAAGCTAGAAGATAAAAGTGCGTGTGTGTATGGAGTCATCACATGACTCAGAGGTGTTTATACCAACCCAAAACAGGCACGACTGCACGACCACGCGCACAAACACACGTACACACACACACACAATCACACAATTTCTATCAGATGATTGTTCTACTGTCATCTATCAGAACTCTCCCTCTCTCTCTCTCTCTCTCTCTCTCTCTCTCTCCAAATATGACTCTGTTTCCCCGCACAGGGAACCACAGCCCCTCACATGCCTGCATGCTTACACCACTGAATCCTGCAGGAGGAGAGAATTAAGCACTGCATCTGTGGTCAGTTTCTACTTCAAAATCTTCAGTAGAAACTTCCTCCTACATGTAACTCTGGGAGTGTGTTTGAGGACACAGACCTTGAACAAAGAGCCCTGCTGCTGGTGGAGAGGGCTGGGTTTGCTCTCTAGTCTGCTTAACGGATTTTCTTTTTTTTTTACACGACGACAGAGGGAGCAGGATCGGACACAGCAAGGCTGCAGGCTCGGTGAGGAAATATACTTGTTTTTATGCATTTATTTTTACAGCACAAATTGTACTATAAACTGAAAAAGATTTAATTTATCATGGATGGTGGTAGGATTTAAATTCTGGCTTCAAACCATGACTAGGGGAAACAGAGTTGGTGTTAACATCGCATCCGCCTCTGTACAATTAAAAATAATTCACACATTTGTAGATAAAGGACATTTAACACAAACTATTAAGCAAATTCTGCTGAACTTTTTCCAGCGTTTTAATTTTTTTAATTTTATTTTAATCTTCCAGTCATTCTCGCTCGCCCACAGTAACAGCTGTAACGTTGTGGTGGTGATGTAGGTTTTATGGGCAGTTGTCCGAGGTTTTCCACTGAAACGTCAGATGCACCCCACTGTGTGGTCACCGGTTATTTCAGAGGCTGCTGTGATCCTCCCGGCGTCCTGACGTCAATTTATAAGGACACAGCAGTAGCCTGCCGCGGAGCAGGCACACACAACAAGAGAGAGAAGCCGGACCATGTTGGTGTAATATTCTAACGCTGCTGGGCTTTGTGGTAGGATTTTCCCCTTTACATTTCCATGTTTGTATTTCTTATTTATTTATTTCAATTAGCGTCGCGTGTGCTGTTTTGAATAGCTTCCTCGCGCTGATAGGCTATTTTGATGTTAGTTATGCGGGTTAATATTGTTCATACCTGGGGGGGTTATTAGATAGGAGCCGATACTGCTGGTATACATGCCTTATACATGGGGTTATATGCTGTAATTGCGGATATATGAGACGCCTATATGATGATATTTAGGCTGTAAACCTGATTTTTTTTTTATCAGCTTGTGTGCTGTCCTTGTTAAAACAGTCAGTGCATCCTGTTAGAGGCAGCGCAGTGTTTCAGTGAAGGGTCTCAGCTGTCTGACAGGTTGTGTGTCTCTTCAGCTGGTTTAACATCATCTGTAGAATATAGCCCTCCAATACAATAGCCAATAGTCAAGTCAGTTCTACTATAATAAAAAAAAAGCACAAAATGATATTTCAAAACGAGAGTGTTTACAATTAACCAGCTTCAAGTCTAATAAACCAGAAGAGGGGATTCCTCTTCACTCGACTCTACATCAGCACTGCATCGCCATAGCAACAGATAGTAAAAGCAGCACTCTCTCCTGCCGCTATCTCCATCTATCACTAATAGACTTCACCTTTTAGAAGAGCACTGAGTTCACGTTGCTCTTCTGCCAGGGCAGAAATAGTCTTTTGCTCTGGTCAGCATCCGTCTTGCAGGGGTGTTATGAAAATATTAAATATAACTAAAAGAAGCTGTGTGTCTCACTAGTGACTGACCACGGCCTGAGCCAAACACCAGGGGGATCCCTGTCCAGACATTGTATGCGTGTGCAGCCATGGGGAAGGACTACTACAAGACCCTGGGGATCCCAAAGGGCTCCAACGAGGAGGAGATCAAGAAGGCATACAGGCGCATGGCCTTGCGCTTCCACCCCGACAAGAACAAGGATGCCAATGCTGAGGAGAAGTTCAAGGAGATCGCAGAGGCCTATGAGGTGCTCAGTGACCCCAAGAAGAGGGTGGTCTATGATCAGCTGGGAGAGGAAGGTGAGGAGGGGGGAGGATCCTGATCTGTCTTGGTTTGATCCTATCTGTGTGTGTCAGAGAGTGATCTGTCAGTAAGGCCTTGTTAAACAGGCCTCATGATGTCTTAAGTTATTTTTTAATAAATCAGGGCACACTGAAAATCTAATACCATGTGTTGGTCTGCAGTAACTGAAGTAATAAAAGTGTTTCTTTTCCATGTTTGTGTTCATGTGCAGGAGTGTGTGTAAGATAGTCTACTGTTATCTTTAGTGTCAACAAGCACTAATACCTTATAGTCTACAATAGTAGACTAGTAGTGCAATAGTGTGTGTGTGCGTGTCTGTGCGTGCTTGTGTGTGTGGTGTGTGTGTGTGTGTGCGTGTGTGTGTGTGCGCGTGTGTGTGGTGTGTGTGTGTGTCTGTGCGTGCGTGCTTGTGTGTGTGTGTGTGTGTGTGCGTGTGTGTGTGTGCGTGTGTGTGTGTGTGTGTGTGTGTGTGTGTGTGTGTGTGTGCGCGCATGTGTGTGTGTGTGTGTGTGTGTTTGATAGCTGACAGACAGATGGCTTGAGATCATTACTTGGTGAAGTTATGAATAGCAGCGACTGCTGTAGTTTGCATGTGTGGGTGTTTAGTGCATGTGTCTCCTTTGAATGGTGTGTGTGTGTGTGCGTGTTTGTGTGTGTGTATTGATTGATGGATGAAGTGACCTGGTATTTTATGAGTTCCTCCACCTGCAGAGTTTTTTTGAAGATACGTGATGCTGTGGGATTTTTCCCGCCCACCTGGGCTCCACTCTTCTCAGTGCAAATACCAGCACACAGTCTCTTGTGAACAGGGTCCAGAGATTAGTTTCTGAGTTCAGAAAATGTGTGTTCTTCAGCTAGTGGTTGTTTGAGTTTGCATGTGCCTCAGCGGTTCTTTTTTTTTTTTTTTTTTTTTTTTTTCCTCTCTCAGGTTTGAAGACAGGAGGCAGCAGCTCCTCAGGTACTCCCGGCAGCTCGACGTACCACTACACCTTCCATGGAGATCCCCATGCCACATTTGCCTCCTTTTTCGGCGGCTCCAACCCCTTCGACATGTTCTTTGGCTCCAACCGCAGCCACAACCGCTCCAATGGGTTCTCTCACCACAACGACCACGACAACGAGCAGGACATGGATGTGGACGAGGACGACCCATTCGCTCACTTTGGGAGACAGTTTGGCTACTCTAGTGGGATGAATAACGGCTTCCCAGGGGAGGGACGGAGGAGGAGGGGGGCACCGTCAGAGCGCCTGGGCACTGGGCGAAAGCACCAAGACCCTCCGGTGGTCCATGAATTGAAGGTCTCCCTGGAGGAGATCTTCCATGGCTGCACCAAGCGCATGAAGATCACGCGACGGAGGCTGAACCCAGATGGGAGAAGCATGAGGACAGAGGACAAGATCCTCAACATTATCATCAAGAAGGGCTGGAAGGAGGGAACCAAGATCACCTTCCCAAAGGAGGGGGACGAGACCCCTGAGAACATTCCTGCTGACATAGCCTTTGTGCTTAAAGACAAGGGACACGCCCACTTCAAAAGAGATGGTTCCAACATCATTTATAACTGCAAGATCAGCCTGAAAGAGGTGCGTGCATCCCTTTATGTCTAATATTTATCTATTCTATCTCACCATTATCCTTTTCTCTCTCTTTGTCACGTCTCTCTAGTTTGCTGAATACATAATGTTGCAGAGGTTTTGTGTTTAATTCCCAATGAAGCAAACCAGGCGGATTTTTTTAGTGCATTCATAGAGCTGCAAAGTTATGCATGAATTTTCAAACAGTGGCACATTTGTTCCACTTGTTTGTTTGTTTTTATATCATTTTGTCACTCTACCTAGTCAAACAGTGGTTTAGGTAGAGAGATGTCCATGTAATTTCAGGGTAGGATTATATCTTGGGTAGGTGGTCTTATAAGATCTTGTGAGGAGTGAGTGTTTGTATGTGTTTGTTGCTGGAGGGCAGGATCAGTGAACAGCAGCATCTCTGTCACTGCAGTGTGAGAGAGGCAGCAGGAATGTCTTGTCCTTGTGTGACCGGCGTGGAGCCATCGTCCTCACTTGTTCTGCACTGCTCCTGAATAAATATATATATACACATATCCAGGCCAGTACACACACAGGCATAGACATGCATGCAGGCTTTTACACTCGCATCTTTCGAGCGTATTTGCAAACACTCCCACATTTAAAGATGGATTGTAGTGTGACAGTGGTGACAATCCAGGCTGCTATTACTGTGACTGGCAGGACATTTAATTAGCTGCTCCTACAAGGGCATCGGGTCCAGTGGGCCCTGCTGTCTGTGAATTACAAAAGCTTTAATGTTTCTATTAGCGCTTCCACTTAGTGGCCTGCACTCCACATGGCTGGCTTAATAACAGGTGTTCTCAAAGAGTTGGAGATGTCAGGGCCATTTTTGTGCTCCAATCAAACCAATTTTTGAACTGTTTTTTTCTCTAAAAGCAGCACTGACTCTCTGCTGGAATCTTTTCAGAAGTGATTCACTGGGAAACATGGTAACCTGCGCACAGCACAGTCATGAAGACAGCCTAGTTAATGAGAGAGCATTAGATTTTGTTAAGTCGTATTAGAAGAGAGATGGTGCTCGATCAAACCTGAACCATGATTAAGTTTGCACTGCAGAACTCCCACAGCTAAGTCCTCTGCTCCAACAGCACACAGATAGGAGACTTAAGTCTGATGCAGCTAAAGACGTGGTGGGGGAGAGAAGGGGGGATGTGGATATGGGTTGGGGGGTATCGGGGGAATATGAAGGAAGTGGGTCAGATGATTCAGTATCCAAAGCAAATAAGAGCTCATATTCCACTGCCTGGTTGCCCTAAAGATGTAATGCTGCAGTAAAAACACAGCACCAGTTACATTCTGCACACCAGACAACCTGCAACATGATATAGCCAATGTTATGCAATGCACCAGTAGATAATATACCACGGCCCAAACGATGATTGTTTACATTACCCATGGGATAATGAAAGTACTAAACTAAGATTAACAACGAAGGAGAAAGACTTTTAAGACCTTAATATCTAAATGATCCCCCTTCTATGTGGTTACTCAGTTTTGCCTCTATCTGAAGCAGGTTCTGTTTGATCAAGATTTGAACTCCAAAGTGTCATGTCGAGAGCAAACCTCCAGTTCTGCAGTGTCTTCTTGTGACAGCAGTCACGAGCAGTTAAGAGAGCTTAGTACAAATTTGACGGGTTGATTTCCCAAAAAAACCGACCTATTCCTGGATCAGTTGGCTGCTCATTTTGGCGTTAACGATTTCTCTGCAGTGTGCCGGTATCTTCTGTGGCATCTCTAACTCCTGCAACCACTGCGCTCATGCCCAAACACACTTTGGTGCTAACTGTACCTGTTAGGATCTGACGTTCAGAGTGAAGAGCTCTATTTTTGATATCGTTTTTTTTTTTTTTTTTTTAAAGGTAAGTGGACTGTGATCTGAAAAATGTTGAATCACAGAGAGTTAGGAATGTTTACATTTCTTAGGACATAGTTTAATACTGCCAGTTTTATTAAATCACACTATGGCAGTACCCAGGACTGAGTACGCAAACTTGAGGCGCTCTGTAAATTAAGTGGATAAAGCATTTACCCCACACTGAGGCTACATTCCTCGAAGCAGTGTGCCCAGGTTCCAAACTCCTCGCCCTTTGCTACGTCATCTGCCAATTTCTAATTCTAATCTTGAACAATGCATTAAGGCCCAATAAAGTACAAATACATCAACATCATTATGACATAAACATGCACAATAAACACACCGTAAATGACTGCATGGATTGTTATAACAACAATCTTTTTTTACACATACTTTGCATTTACATCAGCATGCAAGTATTTGACCTATCAGATGAGGCCTTGGATTTCTCCAATCACATTAAGCCCTAGCTTGTTGTTAGCTACCCTCAGATTTGATGGGGTCAATGAAAGTATAAAGGACCAAAACACAGCAAACATGGTGAACAGCAAGTAATTGGGACTGTAATATATAGCTAATAAACTCATGTTTAATATTTGATAATCCCATGTGCTATTGCTTTAAAATATTGAACCATGTTATTCAAATGACCAGTTTCATACAAGCCTAGACAAATTGACATCCCAGTGCCTTTAACTAGTTCTTCAAGCAAAATGTAATCATAAAGGGTGAAGCAAATGTAAATTAAGGCTAAGACCAGGATTTGGTCAACGTGAATGAACTTAAATGAAGAGAAAAATTAAGTTAAGCAATTTAAAAAAAGGTGTGTGTGTCTCTGCTATGTTGTCTGAGCTGAGGCTTATGCAATCAGTGAGCCCTCAGATCAGCGTCAGTGTATGACTAGCAATATGGCACCCTGTCTCTGTGTAAACTCAGGTCAGTGAATGGAATTGTTCATAACAAGAGGATGAGCCGTCTTCTCAACCACAGACAGTGGCTCAATCACCTCCTAATGTACTGTATGTGTATGTAGTTTGTAAAAGGAGGCTGATGTCATGGTTTGAAATCTCTGTCTGTCCTCTAAAGCAGCTGTTCTGCTTCAGTGAACTCCATCTGTCCACATGGCCATTCCTGTTTGTTAAAAAAAAAAACCCACCAGGCTAGACAAGAAAATCCAGCAATGGTCTTTTAAAAAAAACTAAAGCCACGGGAAGACATGGGCTGGGTGTTAGATGTTAAGCAAGGGGCCATTACGGGTGTAATCACTGTTACATCATGAGTGTCTGGCTGCCTCTAGATCAGGGGTGTCCAAACTTTTTTTCTTGCGGGCCAAAATTGTCGTGTTAGAATCGCTCGCGGGCCACAGGTTTTTTTTTTTTTAAATATAGTTGAAAAAATAGTAAGGCTTTGTAGATCAGAATCAAAAGAAACCCTTTAATAAAAGGGAATCAAATATTTTGATTTCTTTGTTCTACTTGATTTGTTTTTTTCTCAGAGCCTGTAACGTGGTTCATTTAGCTCAGGTCATTAAACGGTTAAACAACAGTCCGCTTGTTTGCAAAAACTTTGCATACGTTTTTTTTTCATAGTTTACAAAAAAATGTGGAAAATAGTAAAATCTGTAGATTTAAAACAACAACATACATGTTACTGAACATTTTCTGTTTTAGGAATATTGTTCAGCGCTTGTTAACATGAAAAATAAGATAACGTGCCAATCTTAATCAATAAAATCTTCTGATTCTTCATTTGAAGTCACGGGCCGCAAAAAATCCCCTCAAGGGCCGCAAATGGCCCTCGGGCCGCACTTTGGACACCCCTGCTCTAGATGGTACAATAAGAGTTGGTAGGTTTTGGAAAAACTCGAGAGAGCAACTTGAACTGCTAATACTCATTTCCATCAAGTTATCCCTGAACAGCCCAGAGCTAAATAATCTTTTATTAATTATTGATTCTCGCAATGAGTGCAGTACTTAAAAAAATAGCTGATCCAAATGAACTGCATTTTCCTGTCTCTTCTCTTCTTCTTCAGCCATTGGGCTCGCTGTAGTTGTCCCAAAATGGACCGAAATAAATCTTAGGTTATCTAAGAGCTAACTGTTACTTCATATGGTCATGTACATAGCCAATAACAAATTGGCAATTAGAAAGGCAACCTCTAATCAACCAGATTTTTACAAGCTAAAATATTTCGCTTAACCTTGTTTTTTACACCTGCTAAACATTAGTATGTTGGCACTATTTTGAAGGCATGTTAGCACAGTGACATTAGCATTAAATGGAGCAGCTAGCATGACTGAGGAGACTTTGGAAAGAATACGCTAATTGTTCCAAGGAAAACACATCCTGTGAAAGTCATTCCCAGTCGTTGGAAAACTGCTGGAGGAAGACGAGGTAGCTACAGTAAATCAATGTTATCTTTTTCCTTGGTTGAAGCTCAGTTGTGGGTCAAAATTATAAGGAAGTGTTCAAGTGTATGGCAATAAACTAGCAGGAGATCACGGGACCCGAACAGCCTCAAACTCCTTTGTTCTTCCGTCTTCCTTTTTACTTGAATTTATCTTTTGTCAGTCAAGATAACGTTTATTTCATCTCCATCTGCTTTTCTTCCACAACTTTAAGGTGTTTTTTCAATACTTCCTTTTTGTAACAGTTGCTTACTAACATATTATATAAGAAAGATTTTTATTGGCCAGGATGTTCATTCATAGAGCTCTGGATTTAAATAGTTCTTATGCGTATATCTGGCAAGCGATGCTCTTTGAAAAGCCTGTGGAGTCGTGATAACCACAGGTCTCCATGTTAAGTTTAGCGCTCTCTTTTCTCTGACTGTATTCATCAAGCATCGTGATGAGGAGGTGAGGCTTAGTGTGTGTGTGTGTGTGTGTGTGTGTGCGTGTGTGCTCTCTCTCTCCTTGTCTTGTCAGCCCATCTGACAAGACCTCAAACTATTTACGAGCTCAGCCGATTCCTGCCTCACTTCATTAGCCCCCGCTATGAGACTGTTGCTAAAATTAGCCCCCTGTGCAATGTGCAGCCCCTCCAACACACAAACCTTCCACCTACACACACACAAAGACGGGATAACTTTTCCACTGCCAAGTCATGTTTTCCTATTGGTCCTGTTCCAAAAGATGATCTGTGGACCCCACAGTGCTGGATTATATTCCAAAACAACTTGCCAGGAACTCTAACTCTCTTTTCCTTCTCTCACAAACACACTCAGAAAACATGTTCAAGATGCATTTGTCCGAATGAAGTACTGAGGGTAACATTAGGTCATCAAGATATTCATGGATTTGGTATTTCAATGCTACTAAGGACATTAACCCTCACTATTTCCTCTTTTCTTCTTCAGGCGTTGTGTGGCTGCACAGTTAGCATTCCCACGCTGGACAACCGCATCATATCGCTCCCCTGTCATGACATCATCAAGCCTGGGACAGTCAAGCGAGTCAGAGGGGAAGGCCTGCCTTTCCCAAAGAACCCATCACAGCGGGGTGACCTCATCGTGGAGTTTTCCGTCCGTTTTCCTGACAGGATCCCCCCCTCAGTCCAGAGAGATAATCAGACAACACCTGCCACAGTCATAAGAAGACTCACATGATCCACAACACGCTACTGAATAAACTTATTGAACCCAGAAAACCAACACCTCCTTTATGTGCCATATTTTGACAATATGGCAGTTTCTCTTCCCACTTCCAGTCCCCATACTCTGTGTAAATGCATCCAGCTCTAAACTCTGCTGTTTGTAGGGCCATCTTGGTGGGAGGATAAGGGAAGATTTCTACATGAATGGCAGAATCACAGTGTAATTATTTGCATTTGTTTTGGCCCCACACACACAAGCACCCGAGCATGGAGTGGTGCTGGGGACGGGCTAAGCACAACCGTGGCTTTTACCCAATGGTCTTTTCTTAACTGTGTTTTTTACAAATTTATTGGTGGTTTTATATGCTGTCCGGCTCTCTGATCCTTGACTTTTTGTGATGGGATGAAGCTTGGGATATTTTTTTAAAGGAACTTTTTTTCCAGGATTTTCTTTTCCAAAGAAAATTTCAAAATAGGAATATTTACTTAATCCTTGAGTGTACCAGCAGCCTCAGTGTGTTTAGAGCAAGGTTTTAACATACCCCCCCCCCCACACACACACACACACACACACACACACACACACCTGCTGTTCTCATGAGCTGAGTCTGATTGAGTGTTACGCTTGAAGCCTGCAGACTGTTTCCTGTTTAATAAGATCTGTCTCCCTTAAAATCTTTTATTTTCTGATGTGTGCGTTGCCATAGCACAGAATCATTGCAGTCAAATAAAGTCTCAGCTGCATTGAAAAAATCTGGGAATGACAATCACACACTAACAGCAGTGTAAGCTTGGATAATACAATCTACACGTTATTTGGGTGCTTTCCCCTCTGAGCTGTGTGGCTCTTATACTTATACAGCCTCGCTCATGCTACGAGGGACATTAAGGTGCCTTAGCCCGGTGTCATACTACACGTGAACAACCACACAGGTCACACTGTAACATAGAAAACCAGCCATGCAAAGTGCACAACAGATGAAGCCCTATTCTGTGTTAAGCATTACCTTTGGGATCTGGTGGTAAACACCAAGCAAGCAATACAACTGTGAAAGTTGTACTTTATGTAAGCAAAGACATTTCTAACAAAAACTGATGAATTTTGCTAGTTCATTCCTGTAAAGTGCCATATAAGTACAGGCTGGATTTTCCAGAGGAATTTAGTTTTTAATTGTTCATAGTAAATAGTGAAGATTTCTCTGTGAAACCCAGCTCTGTTGTGTATTCTGCTTTCTTTTGTGCCATTTGAAGGCATTGTCTTGGTGCTACTGTGAGCAGTGCCAAAAACAGACCCTCAGAGGATCTACTGTTTGGTTTCATGAGTCCTCAGTCTGTGATTTAAGAACTGCTTCTGTCATAGGTAACATCTGTACAGTAAACCTCCCATCTGTCTCTTAAAGTAGATAACCCTGCTTAGGCAGGTTTTGAATTCTTGCAGCAGCTGTTCTGTGCGTCAGCTCCAGGGGGCTCCAAAGCTCTGTTCAGCTCTTCCTACTCTACTTTACAGCAAATATAAGATGTATGTATGAGTGTGGTTTATGCAGACAGACCTAGGAGGTCATATACTGTATATCATGTGTATGTGCCAATGTTTGAATGCAAAATTATAATAAAAGCACTTTTGTGTCATCAAGGATACTGAAACTATGAGACGATGGGGCACACTTAAATGACGTATCTTGGAGAGAGTCCTTCCTCTCAGAGATGAAAAAGAAACGCTGGACTGTGTTCAAAACCAAATGCACATGTGCTGCTGCTGAGAGACTGACACTGCTTCTGTGCATTTTAACATATTTATGATCTATTGAAAACAAATAAACCAAATGTGTGAACTTAACGCTTTGTGTCATGTGAATTTGTATGTTTAGATACAAGTTTATAGGCACTAGTAAGAAATATGTGGACAGTTCACAGAAAAGAAGAATAGATTAGAAAATCATTTATTGTCTACATTTTCATGCAAAGGCAGAAATGAGTTTTCGACTGGAGTCTGCAAATATAATTATTTAGAATACAATGTAACACATTTAAAGAAGGTGGAACATTTTAAACTGTTAAACACAAGTCTATGATGAAAACAGAATAACAACAGCAGACACTATAGAGCTACATCAGAAGAGGGAACCAGGTACTTAATGGTAAATTCGAACATTTGATTTTTCATTTTCTTATTGTTTAACCTTCACTAAGTTTTTTGTTGATGATTTAAGGATTTAAAACAATCAGTTACAGTTATTTAACAAGCCCTGTGAAAGCAGAAGAAATTATCAATGGCTCGCAGACTAAAGGTTGAAGACTAAGGATATAATAAACAACGTATATGCATTAATTTGGTTATTTGGAAAATGGAAGAAATCAAAACCTGAAGGTTGAAAGAGATCAGAATATTACAACGTTTGCTTGTAAAGGGAAAAATCATCAAATGTAGATGGTTACATATTCCATTTCAACATATTACCAGATATTGTGCAGTAATGCTGAGGACCCAAGTATGTGTGGCGTTAAGTGTTTAGTTACATGGCTAACAGGGTTGCCAGAAACCTACTAAGGCACAGTAATTGACTCTTTCCAATCAGACACTGCAATGATCTCAAATGTAATTTAATAATGTGATATATAGTATACTTAATATCCATCACAGAGGCCATTTTTCTGTGTAATGACGTATGCTATTTAATCATACAGGTTATAAAATCCATTGTAAAGCCTCTTTCTTTTGTCTTCACAGACCAATAGCAAGTGAGTTAGTTTTTTTCTTCCACAGGAACATCTGTATCTGTGTGACCTCATTCAGGATATCAAGTCAACATAGAACATGATTGGTTGAAATATTGTTGATACCATGAACAAGGGCTGTACTTCAGTGAAAGTGATATTACTACAATTTAAAAAGAAACGACCATGAATAAAAAGAAAAGTATAAAAAGTAAAAGTCTACTTTATTATCAACAAAATGTACAATGTAAACACGTTGGTAAATATGTTTAACTGCCTATTTTCTGCTTGAGCGCTTTGGAGTTTGGACGTTTTTCAGAAGTTTGAGTTACAGATAAACACATGAAGGGAGACTTTGACCTCAGCCTTTAAAATCCAGATGTACCCTCAGCTGATCACTGGGTCATCTACCAGAGCGGCCTCAGGTAGGAACTAAAGTGTTGAGTGAGACTTTCCTTCACTGTTTGTGTACTGCCTATAACAATTGTAAATATCTTAAACTTTACTCGCTGTTCAGCCGTTGGTTCAGGAAGCAGGTGATTTGTGTTAACAGACTTATCATGTGAAACCACTACTGCGAGTTCTATGTATCTGTGTGTGTGTGTGTGTGTGTGTGTGTGTGTGTGTGTGTGTGTCACATGTTAAGGATATAGCAGACAATTAATGAAGCATGGAAAAGCTGTGAGATGTGCTGCAGTGACAGCGCACTGTGACTAATGTAATATACCTGTATTAGCTATTTCTGGCAGTGAGGCATTGAGGCAGGGTTCACAGATGGTTTAAAACTTCACTGAAATACTTTTCAGCTCAGAGGGTGAAAAGGAGGGAAAAACCAGGTCATCACATATTTGTATTTTGTCTGCATGCAGAAAAAACAGATGATTATCAAACAGAATAAACAAATGTATTGCAAATCTTACACCACAGGCCTAACAAAACACTTTTCAGATCTTGAGAATAAATTACAAGTCATTACACAACAAAGATGGTATTCGACTTAAACGTTAGAAACAAAAAAACCTGGCCAAATCTAAACACCACTTCAATAGCCCTGCACGACAGGTTAAATAAAGTTTATTTTCCTCACTGCTTTGTGAGGAGTGTATGTACACACACAACCTTGGCTGTTAGTGCAGGAGTTAATGAATTCAGATGTGTGTGTGAATCAGTAACAAAGTATTAGGACTTAGTCATGATGACTGGGTCTGGTTCTATAGGAGTCTACATGTGAACACCTCACACAGACTCTGTGTGTCACTGTCTTTTCCTCCCTCAGCACCTCAGAGCTTAAACATGAGCTCCTTTGTGACTCTTTCGACGGGGCAGAGAATGCCCATGGTCGGACTGGGCACATGGAAGAGCGCTCCAGGACAGGTGCAGATAGAAACCCTTACAGATGCTATGTTTTTTTAGACTTTTAATATTTATGGAAATTGTCAAAAGATAAAATGCTCTTTGTGTCTAAACCTCGTGTTGTCAGGTGAAGCAGGCTGTGCTGGCAGCTTTAGATTGCGGTTACAGACACATAGACTGTGCTGCTGTGTACAGTAATGAACAGGAGGTGGGAGAAGCTCTAGCTGTCAGGGTCGGTCCGGGGAAGGTAAGAAACCAATTTAGCTTAACATTTTATTTTGAGTTTATTATTGACCTTGGAAACAATGGTTAAAAGGACAGTCTCCACTTAAGATGAGTCTCCACTGATTTGTTTATTTGGATGTTTTTAACTTCATCACAAATGTATTTTATAAGTAGGTGGAGTTTGTTCTGGGACTACAAACTCCTTTACTCTGAGCAGTTTAAAGCTCCAGTGAGGAACTTTCAGTTTGTGTCAGTGGGTGTTAAATTACACTTTCTTATCTTACTGTTTTTATGTAGTTAGTTTGGATTCCGGATGTTTTTAATTTAATACATCTTATCTTCCTTCTTATTTGTCCTGCACATCAGTAACTTGTGTATTTTAACTAAAAATCTCATCCTTCTGCCTTTCACTCATTAAAAACATTTGTAGCTTGTTTCAGTAGCATGTTGTCAATAACTTAGTCTGACACCTACCGCTGCGGCAGAGGTTTCAGGCATTAAAAACAACTATTTTAAATTAATCAATGAAAAAAAAAAAATTAAGCATCTTCAATTACATTACAGCTGAGAAAACTTTTAGTCCAGGATGAAGACATTGCCTAAAAGATTGAACACCCTGGAACAAACAAGTGGAGCTTGAGTTAAGATTTCTTGTTCATAGCATATTGATAATAATCAGTTGGCTTACTAGTGACTCTGGTGTTCAAATGGGCTAAAAGAACAACGTTCCCAAAAAAGAGGAAATTATTTCAAATTCAGCTTAAAAATGTCTCAAAAAGAGGCAATGTAGTTATTATTTAAGGTCTGTTTGGGGTCAGTGTAGAATAAGAGTTAACTAAGGGGTCAAGATATGAATAAGTGGTTAATGTACATTATAAGTGAATGTTGTCAGAGTGTAGAAAAGCAGGGAATAGTTGTGATTATGGTCTTCATAAAATGAATTTAAGGTCAAATTGTTTGGACATACACTGATCATTGTCACTCCAGGCTCTGCGTCGTGAGGACATGTTTGTCACATCCAAACTGTGGAACACCAAACATGACCCAGAGGATGTGGAGGAGGCATGCAGGACCAGTCTAACCCACCTGGGTCTGTCCTACCTGGACCTGTACCTTATGCACTGGCCAATGGCATTTCAGTGAGCAGCTGCAAACAATAACATTGATGTAGAATAATGACTGAGGACTTAAATGTATCACGAGTGTGCGTTTGGATGTTTCAGGAGAGGAAAGGATTTGATGCCTCGACGAGAAGACGGCAGTATTTGTTACTCAGACACACACTACAGAGACACCTGGGCAGCCATGGAGAGCCTGGTCGATAAAGGTCTTGTCAGAGCTCTAGGACTGTCCAACTTTAATGCCAGACAGACTGATGACATCATCAGAGTGGCCAGACACAAACCTGTGGTGAACCAGGTAGAAAGTGAAAAAATAAATTCATTTAAAAATGTTTCATGGATATGAGACATTCAGAAATAGGCTGAAAATTGGTCTGAATGTTTGCACTTGTATGCCTCAGGTGGAATGCCATCCTTACATATCTCAGGCAGATCTCCTGTCTCACTGCCGGTAGGTTAAAATGCAGTTGAAACATTTTTGATGAAGCAATTTATTGTCTTAGAGACAAGTCTGTATAAAATATTAACAGTGCTCATACCTCCTCCTCAGGTCAGTGGGGGTTTGTGTGACAGCCTACAGTCCTCTGGGCAGCGGGGACAGACCCTGGGCTTCTCCTGATGAACCAACCCTGCTGCAGGATCTTCGACTGGGAGACATCGCTCAGAGGTACCAGAAAACCCCTGCCCAGCTCATTCTCAGGTAAGAGGAATAAAAACCTTCAACTTCATGGCAAATTGTAAGCTCAGATGTTTATACAAATAATACAAAGTCAGATCCACACAGTGACCTCTTTGAGTGATTACCGTTTCTGCAGGTGGCATGTTCAGCGGGGCGTCGTGTGTATCCCTAAAAGTGTGACACCCTCTAGGATCCAGCAAAACCTGCAGGTGTTTGACTTTTCCCTGTCAGAGGATGACATGAAACTGATGGAATCCTTCAACCACAATGAGCGCTTCATCGTCCCAACAGTGGAGGTGAGTGATCTTACATCAGCAATATTAAACACGACTCCTTTCCCAGACAGAGCGGATATCATACCAATGAACTGAACTTATATACAGAACATACAGCAGCCTGGCTCAGTCCAGATTTAGACTCACTGGTGACACCACATGGCTGAAACATCAGCCCATTTTAGATCTCCATCAATCTCTGATATGGTCATGGGATATTCTGTCTTGAGAGCTAGACTTTAGGAATTTAGGTCAAAGATTGTCATGTTTAATGTAAACAGACCCTTAAACAGTTCTAACAGGTTTACTGAAAGGTTTGCTTTTTTTTTTTTAACAGAGAGATGGCAAGAGAGTGTGGAGAGATGCCGAACATCCTCACTTTCCCTTCAATGATGCTTACTGAGGCAACACACACACAAAATGCAAAGCGAAGATGATCATTACATTGCTGATTGAATTAAGATAATATCAACTTTTCATTTTTTTGTCTATGGGATGAGTGGCATTCATTATATAATGATTGTAAGTGATTCAGTATAACAAACATTTTTTTCACACTAACTTGTACAGAGTTTGTAGAGAAGACTTAAAGGGGAATTCTCTAGTCCCTTCACTGCCACAGTGACACTCTGTGGTCAATAACAGAACTGCAGCTGCATGGGACGATCAAATGGTGGCTGAATCTTTCAGAGATTAAATATTTATATTTCAAGAGCATACGCAATGAATCCCTGTTGCAGTATTGTTCTCAGAGATAAAGTTTCAATTGTGATTCTCTTGTCAAAAATAAATAACTCTTTCAGAATCAGGAACAATTAAGATGTGCATTTATTGTGATGGAGCCAGTAGGCGACTGTCTGCATGCAATCTGGCTTCTCTGTCCCTGATAACTGTGAATTTGCCAAATAAAAAAAGAACACATTTAGATCTTCTGCATCATTTTAAAATGTCAAGTTGATTTGCTCTTGATTATCAGAAAGTGAATCTAACACAGGATACATATGGCATTGATATTATTGGAAAATATTGTAAATCAGACTGAATGTACTATAACTCAAAAAAAAAAAAAAAAAAGGTTCAGACACAGAATAACACTTCCATTTTGTGAGATTTTATTTTCAACAACATAACCTTGACAAATTTGTAATACATTATATGCTACTGTTTATTTAAAAAAAAAAAAGAGGAAGTCATTAGCAATATGTTTTTTTCTTTTCTTTCTTATAGTCTAGCATAGAATCCCATCACTAAAGCCATTCATGTTGGTTGTGATATACTGAGAATGAGGCCACTCAACAAAGCCCCCCCCAAACCCTCCCTCCCCAGTCAGCATCAGTCACTCACCTTCCATTTCCAACATCCCCTACCCCCACCCACATCAAAGCCAGGGCAAACCAAGCGGCTACATGCTTTCTCCAAGGGAAGTCATACAAAAAAAAGGAACACATGAAAGAAGCACAAAGTCCTAAAAATGTGGAATCAGGTGAGAATTTGTACAGGTGTGATCCCAGTACTGACCACCGTGGGGCAGTGTACATTTATCCGTAAAGGTCATCGTCGTTGTCTTCGTTGAACACTGGACCACTGCCAGTTCCTCCAGAGCCAGTGGTGGGACCGCTGCCACCTGCTGCACTGGAGGGAAACCTGAAACAAAGACAAAGTATTTTTATCATAATGATCATGATCTTCGTTATATAAATCATAAACCTGTAGGGGACTATTGCAATGACTAGTACTGCTTGGTACTTTGTCAAAAGCGGATATATTTGGGGCCTTTAACACCTCAGTCAATCTAAGAAATGACCTCTGGTGTTAATAACCTCTTTACAAACAGATCTTTTAAATTACAGCAGAGGAGACTGGTTTCAGAAACACATAGCAACGCTCATGCTAATACTAAATGTTTAACATTGTACCTGAAGCTGCCAAAGCCCCGGCTCTGCTGCAGCGTCTGAGCAAACATCTCATATTTGCGAATGTCATTATCACTGACGGAGCGACGAGCAAATCGCATCGCCTCCTCAAAGTGGTCCTTCCTGATCTCTGGAACAGGATCATCCTCCTCTACCTCCTGTGAAAAAAAACAAAAAAACAGACAGAAGGTGTTATTTACTTGAAAAGAGTTGAAGTGGTAGCAGTGTGCGGAGGTAAAGAAGGGGACAGAAGACACTGACCATGGCTGATGGGTTGGTCTGCCTCTCCCTCTCTCTGCGGATCTCGTTCTCGATGCTCTCCCTGATGGCCAGCTTACACGCCCGCTGGCAGATCTCTGTCAGATCGGCTCCGGAGAAGCCATTGGTCATCTTTGCAAGGAAGTCCAGGTCCACATCCTTTAAATTAACAAATAACACAAAAAGGTTAAGGATGCTCTTCAGCTCAACTCTGATCTACATCTTCCAGTTTATGTTGAAGAGTGTCATGACTCTGACATCTGACAGTATCCCTGATAACACCAAACACCTGAACTGTAAAGTAATCTGGTGTGAGATATACAAAGACATCTTTCTGCTTCTGTGAGCGAAACTGTTTGTGGCGGTGCGCTCACCTTGCTGATAGGGCTCTTGCGTAGGTTGGCCTTCAGGATGCTCATCCTGCTCTTCTCGTCGGGCAGGGGGATGTAGATGAGCTGATCCAAACGGCCGGGTCTCAGGATGGCAGGGTCGATGATGTCTGGTCTGTTTGTGGCTCCGATGATGAAGACATTCTTCTTGCTGGACATTCCGTCCATCTCAGTCAGGATCTGGTTGATGACCCTGTCAGCTGCTCCACCACCGTCGCCCACATTACCCCCACGAGCCTTAGCTATGGAGTCCAACTCATCAAAGAAGAGAACACAGGGGGCTGCTTGACGAGCCTGAAAATATTACACAGGCAAAAAAAATTACGTTACAACATTGTAAAGATTCATTTGTAGAGTTTTATTAGTTACAAACACTGAAGCATGTTGGTTTTTCTTCAGAATAAATGTACAACTTTATTTTTTCTCCACACCATAGTTCTGTGAAAGACACAAAAAAAAAAAAAACTGTTTACCTTGTCAAAGATCTCTCTGACATTGGCCTCAGACTCTCCAAACCACATGGTGAGCAGCTCTGGGCCTTTGATGGAGATGAAATTTGCCTGGCACTCATTGGCAATGGCTTTGGCCAGCAGAGTCTTACCACAACCAGGGGGGCCATAGAACAGCACACCTTTGGAGGGGGTCATGCCAAACTTCAGGAACTTGTCTGGGTGCTCCACTGGGTACTGGATTTAAGAAGATGAATAGAGACACTGTAAGTAAAGAACATTTTTCCAGATAAACTTCCATTTCTAGATGGGCTTTTACTTCAGGGTGAGGTTCATACCTGCACCAACTCCTGCAGCTCCCTCTTGACATCATCCAGACCGCCAATGTCCTCCCAGGTGATGTTGGGAACCTCAACAATCGTCTCCCTTAGTGCAGATGGGTTACTCTGGCTCAGGGCCCACTGCAGCACAACATCAAACATGTTAGTAAGAGGCTCAGAAGGCTTTTATAGAACCACAATCCCACAGACCGTATTACATCTGTTACCTTGAAGTCATCCATAGTGACAGCAAGAGAGTTCATGACTTCAGCGTCGATGGTCTCATCCTCAAGGTCGATCAGGTCCATCTTCTTCCTGATGGCCTGCAGAGCAGCCTCAGAGCAGAGAGCAGCCAGATCTGCACCCACATGGCCGTGAGTTTCATTGGCTACCTAAAGAGACAGGTTGACATAATACAATGATAGAACCCTGTCCTGTATCACACACTCATAACACTTTCATTATAAATTAACATGATCATGAATACTATGAGACATTTACTCTAATATGATGTTAAATTAGCTGTGTTTTCTGAGAGGGAAGTTAGTCAGTAATAACAATAACCACGTGACTCCCTCTCTACATAGAAGTTAATTGTTTTGTTGTGTCAATAATGTGCACAGACCTGTTCCAAGTCAACATCATCAGCCAGTTTCATGTTCTTCGTGTGAATCTGGAGGATCTCCAGTCTGCCAGTAGCATCAGGGATGCCGATGTCCACTTCCCTATCGAAACGCCCTGGAGGTATTGGTTTTTAAAAACAAACCGATTAGTCCAAATGAAAGACATGAGCAAAAATACACAAACCAGACACACCTTAAGATCATCTTAAGTACAGCCCGCTGGAAACCTCTCTAATGGTCTATCAAGAGTATTGCATATAGTAGCTTTGAAAGGCAACAACTCAAATTATTTTAAACTGCTTAGGATGAGCCATGAATGCAGATCAGCAGAGCAACAAGACTCAATATTCTTGGAAAACAAGCTACTGTATATGTCTATGCAATGTTTAGAGCACTTTAACATATTTATATAAACTGATCTTAAATTAAGACTTGTTGTGAGCCTTTAAAGCACTGCAGGGTTGACAGTGACAACAAAACTACAATAATTAACTACATGTCTGTTGCTAACAGTGCAGACAAAAATGAAGGATAAAACAATGTGAAACAATAAGAGTAGGAAGAAATTTAAAAAAAAAAAACTGTGTACATTACATTTGATTACTTTATGTATAGATGTGACTCTATGCTAAGTCACTCTAAGTCACCTTTGTTATTGCATGCTTAAAAGACACAACTTACCGAATCTCCTGAGAGCTGGGTCGATGCTGTTGGGTCTGTTGGTGGCAGCCATGACGATGACATGAGCCCTCTGCTTCAGTCCATCCATAAGAGTCAGCAGCTGGGAAACAATGCGCCTCTCCACCTCTCCATGAGTCTGCAAAGGAAAAAAAAAAAAAAAAAGAGCATTGTTATACTAAACGTCACAACAACATTAACATTTATTTTCCAATGTCTGAAAATCCAATCGCTTATTAAGTTATTTTCAAAACAGGTTCTGTACATTTACTGCTCATCTCTTCCTGCTCACCTTCTCTCTCTTCGGAGCGATCGCATCAAGCTCATCGATAAAGATGATGGCAGGAGCATTCTTCTCTGCTTCCTCGAAGGCCTTTCTCAGGTTACTCTCGCTCTCTCCTGCCAACTTACTCATTATCTCAGGACCTAAAATGGAGAGTCAAGCATTTTGTTTTCAAAAGGAACCTTAAGCTCACACTTTTACTACTTTAAAACATGTGCAAATCACAGAAAAGACAATTTAGTAATAGATAAAGATTAAGGTATGTCTGAGACATAATTCAATACATTGAAAAAATAAGCAAAATTTTAACCAGACCGAGAAAATATTTTCTGAAATCTTGATCAAGGAAAGAGACAACCTTTCCCAAAAAGTAAGACATCCTAGTTGCACTCAGGGAAAATAAATATTCTGACTGAAATTTTCAACATATAAAACAAGTCACTCACTACATGAGCCCCTGTCATTTTGAATGGTGTTCTCTAAGAAACATAACTGAAATATTTATTTTTCAAAGCTCAAGATCGAGGACGACGGATATGACCTTGCTTTTTTACATCTGGGACCTCAAATCCAGACCATTGCATGCAATTCAAATAACTGTTTGCTGGTGTTCTTTAGCAAACTCAAAAACTGTAAGTATGACAAGATACAAAAGATAATGAAGGAAAGGGGATCTGGGGAGGAGGGATTCTCCAGAGGAAAACTGTAGCTATTCTAACATGCAAATCAAGCTTTTTGGAGCATTTTGAGAGTAGTATTGTTACAATACAAGAAGTATTGTTTTGCCATAAATAAAGTTTAGTCATCCAAGCTTTTGATGTCAGTTTTTGACATGGACATACAGTAACATTGGTGCTGTAACATGCACAAATCCCAGATGCACTGCTTAGTGCTTTTAGAACAAGGCTTAATGCATAATCATAAAATGACCAAATTAGGAATTAACTTTACAGAGAATAGGTTAAACTGATGTTTGCACCATTAATCAGGAAGAAGAAAGCTCCAGTTTCATTGGCTACGGCTCTGGCAATCAAAGTCTTTCCCGTTCCAGGGGGTCCATAAAGCAAGATTCCACGTGGGGGCTGAAAACATGAAAAAAAAAAGGTTAAAATTAAATTTATTTATCTTGCACATTATTTTTATTATACAACAAAAGCAGACTAAAATTCTTTAAATACCGAGTAAGTCACTCATTGATGTCTGCTTTTTACAAACTAAAAGTCAAACTTAGTTTCCCCCTGGGATTAGTAAGTATTTCTGATTCTGACACAAGCAAAATAGCAGTGAACAACAGAGGCCTCCATACAATGAGGGACATCCTTTACCTCAGCTTTACTCTGGCATGAGACACTTAATATACTGCATCTCAGACACTAAACATAGTATAATAGCAAAGAAGGTGTAGAAGATGAGAACAAACTAGCAAGCTTGTGTTTTTCTATAAGCCATTTCTACCCAAGCGGGTTTGCAAATTATCACCTAAATTAATGCAAGAGGTATTTTTTGTGAAATTAGTATTATTAGGATTTTGAACCTTATATTTGTACTTGTATTAATAACTTGTTTTTTTTTCCACAGACTCTCCATAGATCTGTAATAAAGGCCAGATGCCTTTAAATATTCTTCAATTAGTGTGTCATACCTTGACTCCTATGGCCTTGAACAGTGCAGGGTGTCTGAGAGGAAGCTCCACCATCTCTTTGATCTGGGCCAATTGCTTCCTCACTCCTCCAATGTCATCATAGCCCACCTCATTCAGGGACTCTTCCTCATCCTGTGTGTTGATAAATACGATGTTAACATTAAGTGCAATTTTGTTTGGATTAATGTTATACGTGTGCCAACACCCACCTCTCTCCTGATTGGCTCTCCCTCACAGTGGATGACTGTGTCAGGGGCAACAATGCAGTATGGAGAGGGATCAGTCTCTACCACCTTGAACTCCACAGCACGCATGCCACCTCTGACCAGGAAAATGTCACCTTCACATAGAAATTAAACAGTTCATTTAATTTCTCTTGTAGTTCACAGCAAAAGTGTATTGACCTGCCGGTCAAAATCTAATATTGCACTGGACAATGGTAAATTATACACACCTTTGCGGATTGGCCTGTAAGCCTCAAGAAAGTATGGCTTAAGGTAGACCTCAAACAGGTTTCCAGTAATTCCCTCTACAGTGTCGTCTATTGGGAGGACGTGAATCCTCTTTCCGTACTTCACATCAGGGCATGGCTGAATGCTGAAGAGGATAACAAAGTTAACACCACTTCTTTTATAAAGCCCAGTGGAAAGTATTAGAAAGGGACATTTCCCACCTGATGACATCTCCCAGTCGGACCCTCAGATTGTTGCGGACCACCCTGTTCATGCGAACCTTTTCATCTGAACAGGTGTCGTCAGACAGCACAATACACACAGTCTCCCTCCTCTTCTTTCCCTTCATCAGCACTGTGTCTCCACGGAAGAGCTGTAGCTCATCCATCTTGGTCTAAAAAGAGACAACAGGAATCTCAACGTCATAACTTAGAATTATCCAGATTAGAAAATTATCGAAACACCTGATCCATCTGAAAAGAAAATTGTTTGGAATTATCAGGGAAAGAAAGTCTACCTGAGAAAGGGAGACCACGCTGTTGTCTTCATTGATGGATTCATCAACAATCAGTCTGTTGGGTCTGTTCTTCTGTTTTAGGATTGCAGTGGCTAGATCATCATTTTTGGATCTACAATGGAGGAATAGATTACACAGGTTGAATAAAAGATTGTTAAACTCCACTTAGATGACAGCTCTATGTGTACAGGGGGGGGGTCAACACTGAGACCCCCCTAACCATCAGAATTTAAAGGATTATTTATTATTTAAAACAAACAGTGGACTGAAATAATACAGTAAGTATTTTAACTACCATTTGTTAGTTTTGTTTATTACAGTATTTGATACATGAAGAATAATAAATCAAATCTACTTCTTTACCATGTTTTCACAACCAACTGAATGATCAATTTATAGTTTATACACAAAAATTAAATCAACAAAATGCATTTCTGTAGCCGTACGTGTAAACAGGTCGTTTACACAACCAGCTTTAATAACGTTAGCTACAAAGACTACTGACTATAACACGCACATGTTCAACAATGTTTATTTATAAACAAACATTTTAAAAAAATCCAGTAGATCAGGTTTAGTATCAGAAAGTAGTCGCATGCTTCCAGACTACTCCAGGCCTGTTGTGTAGTTTCCCTTTCATATCATGCTAACGCTAGCCTCCTGGGCTAACTGGAGCCCAGATGACACAGCAAAAGAATCCGAAAAAAAAAAAACTTTGTGAGCTTGCTCGGTTTACCCCACAGTCAAGACTATCATTTACAGCTGTGTCGTGACTACAATTTACAAACGTCACATCTACCATACGCCACATAAGGAAACCAGCAGGAGAAATGATGAATCGCTTTTGAGCTAGGAGCGAAAAACAGCTCAAGAATTGTCGATCATTTAGAATCGATAGCCCGAGCCCTGTTAGCATGCTAAGTTAGCCCCTGAAGTTAGCAGTGTGGCTCACTATTAACAGATATGTAACTCACTACACACGGATACGATGTGATAAGTGTGTAATATTCAAAGCACAACACAACAAGAAGAGGGTATTTGACGGTGGTTAGGCCAACGTGTGTGTGTGTGTGTGTGTGTGTGTGTGATGCTGGATGGCTATTGGCCTTGACACTGTTGCTAAGCTAACATTAGCGTTCAAACACGACAGCAGTGACTGGGCTTTGTCACGTCGCTGCTGTCACACTGCTGGTTTAATTCACAACACCACACGTTACTGACAAGTTTGACAACTACCGACACTTCTTCCTCATCCGAATAAAAAAGCCAAGTGTCAGAAGATAGTGAGGTGATGTTTATCCGAATCAGCGGACACATTAAGTGCGGAGGCTGAACTAGCTGACCCCGTTAGCTCCTCCGTTAGCAACCAAAGCTTTAATAAACTAAACATTTAAAAAGGACATTTCACTGATGCTTGTTAAACGTGTTAAAATGACTTGAGATGTGTATTTACTTACTCCCCTCCCGAAGCCATGGTCGTCCACCTGGATTACTTTGAATAAATATAGATATTCTAGCTATGTGTTTTAACCGGGTCTCCGTTACTCGACGGTCTCAGTGATTTCACTCGACTAAACAGCCGTTTCCCTGCCCTTCTGTACTGTTATACCGTGAGCTCGATGCACCCGTCGCTCTGATTGGCCGGAGGCTGCCCGTCAACCAATGAGGGAGCGCGGAGTCTGACGTCACCGGGACTATTGTGGAACTTTGGCCAGTTACAAATTAATTGGGCGTTCTTTTTGTCGTCATCTTCTCTCCTATTGGTCACTTCAGCCTGTCGCCGAAGTTCTGTCGTCCAATTAACGTGTACCGCGTTGGTACTTAAGAGCGGAGCAGATAGATACTAGGCTTTTTTTTCTCTCACTCCTGACAGAAACAGTTTAGGAGTAAATCGTACGAATTACGAGTTTTTCTTTTCTTATGCTGAAAATAGTCATACAATATTAGGTGGAAACATAAGAGTTAATTAAAAGAAAAAACTGGAAATGTGTTTTACTTATTCATGAATGTATTCTAAAACAAATCAAATAATTAAAAATAAAGTATGTATTCTTATATTCGTCTACTTAATAGAAATAGACAAATAGACAAGCAGAAATTCTATCTTCTCATGTAGTATGTAATGTGCCTAATCGTGAAAAGTATAAACAAAAATGTAAGCAACTGTTTTTGATTTACTTTGTCAATCCAAAGGCACATTTTGCTTTTTTAAATGCAGTTAAGACACCCACAGGTCAATTACAGCCACGACAGGTCACATCAAGCAAGCAATTACGTTAATATTTCATAATCCACCTACTAAATGTACCACCCACTTTATATAGTCTAAAAATCTGGATATTCTTTCCAAAGATGTTTTATTTCATTGTCGCAATAGATACATGGTTGTTGTTGTTGGTGGTATGAGTGTCAGTTCACAGGACAGAGAAAGTTGATCCTGTTCAGTAAGTGATAGGGTATTCTCCTTTTGTCTTTCTGTTGGCAGGCAAGGTAAGACCAAGTTCCTGTATTCTGCAACGCAGCTTGGTAGAATCTAACAAGGGGCCAGTCTGAGGTTCCTGTAGGTACACAGATAGACACCTGAAAAAATGAAAGCAAATACCATTTAGAAGGTGAGCAAAATCCCAGAATGATAAATACACGGTCTTAAGCAACAATAGACTGATTAACCTACACAGGTCTTCAATTTAATTTCAATTTTTTTTTTTAAACCTAAAATCATAAATCAGATGATATTCAGATTATGTCTATATTCAACTAAGAAAGACTGCAGTTTATTTTTCCTATTTGAGTGTGAGCCTGTGCATTTTGAGTAGGCAATGTTGATCTGATTTTTACCTTCCTTGTATACATTTGAGCTTATCTTCAATTAAAAAATATCCTCTGCTTCAGATGAAAAAAAAAAATGGCCACAAGAATTGGGCCACTGGGTACTGGTGCTTAATACTTTAAAGACACTAAGAAATGATCCTTAATGAGTTGTATGTCAACAGCTCAAGTGAAATTATTCATGTATTTATTTCTCATTCTAGCCAGACCTAGAAAAAAAGGCACACAGTACACTATTTGAATACTATGAGTGGCTAGCATACAGCAGCTACAACCCGTGCCGTCTGTGCAAGGGGACATTAAGCACCTGAAATGAAATTGTGCAAAAATCAACTGATGCTCTCATTTACCGATGTGCATCATGTGGAAGTAGAACACATATCAAACAGGTTACTCTATTGGTATTTATATAACTTTAATGATACTGGTATAAACCATGAACAGTGAATACAGTGATTAGATCATGAGAATCAAACTGTTTACGTTTCTGAAGATAATGTGGTTTGGCTCCAAGTTTTTTCCCAACAAGCTGCTGCCTCCGATCTTCTGCCCAGCCTCCAAAGCACTTCACCACACCACAACCCTGCACTCATACACTCTGAGAGGAGAATTCTCATCATGGCATAATCTAACAAAAAGACTACACAGGCATAGATTTACTACAGTGCTATGCTACATTCATGTAAAAGTGATTAAGTTCTACATGACAGAATTGTAGATGTAATTTAATTTTTTTATAGATGAGATAAGATGGAGAGATAATACTTACAGTTTATTTCAATTTATTAACCACATGCTCATCATTAAAGAAGAGAGAAGATTTGTGAAAAATTTGTTTCACATTTATTTAGATCATAATTCTATCAATAACCAATTAAAAGTTCACAAACACTGATTAAATCAAAGTTTATAATGCCCAGGTTTAGTTCTTAATGCTTCTGACCTATTTAAACATGCCTCTACTTATACAATTTGCTGCAGTGCATTGGCAATAATCCTATGACATAAAGTTCAGACGCATATATTTCTAGATAACAGATGAAATGGGCGTACCTGGGAGTGCTTGCAGGCTGAGCTGGAGGTCTCTTAGTGCCTCTTTTAGCTGGTCTGTCTGGGTGAAGCTGATGCCTCGTCCAGCTATCGAGAGCCCCTTCAACCTTTGGAGAGTACACAGATCTGTTCTCTGCTTGCAAACCATATCTGCACTGGGAATCTGTGGTGGGAAACCTGTAATTGAACACCACATACATAAATGCACAAAGTTGAAGTAGCTAGAATTAGAAGTGTAACATCTCTCCAAAGCATGAAAAAGTAATATACTCACCACTCTGTTTAAATCGTACCCTCATCAGAGGTTTATACACCTGAAATCCAGAGTCAAATATTATGGGTTTGTTTTAAATCACAAAGATTTAAAAAAAAAAATAGTCATCAGGCGTACCTTGTGTAGTGAGTGACAGCTTGTTTCCAATCCTTTAGGTGTGTGTAACAGTGACCTTGGAGCAGGTAGGCAGCTCCAGCCCAGAGCATCATCTCCACCCTGTCCTCTCCCTCTGGACCCCCTCTCGTCTCAGCGTCATATTTCTGCTCCTGCTCTTCTAACACCACCTTCTCTGGCAGCAGCTCTAGTGTGGAGCTGATGACTTCATCGCACAGCGCCATGCAATCAGAGGGCCGTAGGGCCATGAGCAAGGCAGAACCGGCCTCCAGGTAAAGCTTGGGCAACCTGGGCAGGGGTAGGACCTCAACATGCACCTGAGACTGACAGACAGCACACAGTATCCCAATAATTGTTGTCAAAGTTTTCACAGTTGTAGTATGCAAAAAAATGATGAAAAGCTTGATGGTAAATTATGCTGAATGTGTTTTTTTGTCTTACTGTAGGTTGGTTTTCTGAGTGGAGGGCAACAGCAGATCCAAATAATTTTCCACGCCCTCTGACACCCTACAGAAAAAGCAACCACACCCACTTAACACCACACTGATTCGACTATTTAATCTGTACGGTATCTATATTTACTGTTTCAAAGTAATGGTGAGGTGCTAGTAAAAACAGGAACAGAGACACTGAGCTAATGATGGCCATCTCACCTCCCATGGATCACACACTTCAGAGCCAGACTGTGAAGGACAGAGAGGGCAGAGGGAACCGAGAGCAGACTGTTCAGTGATTGGCTGCAGAGCAGTAAGGATGGAGAGAGGAGATAAGCACCAGGCAGAGCAGGATCGATGGTGCAGGGCAACATCAAAGTCTGTCGGACAAGAGAGGTTTCATGTTTCAGTACACAGACCTACACTCACATGAATAGGTCTAAACTGACTGACTCACCTACTGAAGGATGATATTACTACAATAAAAGGAAAATAATTTTTTTGACATTTCCTGGACTGTTTGTGTAACTCACTGAGTGCAGCAAATGGAGAGCTTGTATCTCAGCCTGTGTGTTGCCCAGCTGTCTGTAGATGAGCATGCTCTGGTACAGAGCAGACACACACCGTGAGTCTGTCTCCAATGCTTTCCTGAAACACTGCAACGCCATCTGAGGGCGGGCCTGGAGATAAATGCAAACAAATGCACACTCTCAGTTCATGCAAATACTCAAGCCTCTGATTATGCATGTATGATGCATGTTCATTCTCTGTATGTGTTGACTCGGTCATGTTGTTACCATATGGGCAAGGCAGGAGCCTGACAGGAGGTGTGTGTAGGCTACTAGAGTTCTGGGAGCGGGCAAGAAGGATGCTGTCTGAAGACCAGTAAGTGCTTCTGTACTCTGTCCTTCACTTAACCTTTCTGCACCTAAATGAAACATACAGAGTTCAATTAATCAATACAACCAACACAGAGGGACTATTTATACAAGGCTGCCATGCGTCTTTGTGTTCAGTTTGAAGAAATATTTGCAAATGAAGCTTTTAGAGGCCTGGTACACTCTTTTTTATACATCCCAATATTGCTAACTCTGATTTAAAAGTAAGCTCTGACAAGCAGCATTCAAATACATGGCCCATCACATCAGTTTGTTTTCTTTTGTTCCTGTCCTTAAACTGGGTTGGTCTGCGCACTATTCTGACTCCACAGTGAAAGCACAGCGGAGCAGTCGAGACTTTAGCTCTGCACTTAGCTAATTGCAATATTTTAAGTTATTGAAATAGGTAGAGATGACTATAAGAAGCAGAAAGTTACTGACCCTGTGCAATAAATGTACAGATCTGCAGTAGTTCAGAAAGCTGTCTCGGGTCCATCAGCAGAAGTGGCGTGTCAGAGGACTCTCTCCCTGTGTCGCTCCTCCTGTCTCCCCCAACTCCAGCACACAGAGTCTCAACCACAGAGGACAGCTCATCCTTCATCACAGAGAGAAGTACAGTTGTAGTTTTATTTGAATTCACAATACCTTTATATCAACAACAAACAAAAAACAAACAAATACTGCTGCTTGTTTATTTTTTATTTTATCTTTACTGCTATTGAGGATGCTGTATAGGTGTAACAGTAGACTTGTAGACAAATAATATTGTTTTTTTGTACTGTAATGTTAAATACAAGGTCAAGCCTGTACTATCCCGTACAGTTTGGGACTCGACACTGAAGCATGTATTTATATTTGCATTTTATGTTTTCCTGGTACAGAGAAAAACAATAAAACAAATGAAAACTAAATATCTTTTTTTAAGTTGTTGATGTCCATCTGTCTGTCTATGTCTCTCTCTCTCAACCCAACATGTAAAAGCAGACTAACAATGGTGGAAGATCAAATCGAGGGGGGGCACACACAGCCTACACAACATCTCACCTTAAATTCGTTAATAGTTTTCAACTGGCAGGTGGCCAGCCATATTGCCCACTGCAGACACAGAAGGTGCAGCACACAGGATTTCAAAGCTATACTTCCCGCTGATTTTAAAATGCTTTTCCACAACCCAAGATGGTCTGAAGCATCATGATCACCTTCTGTCACCTGTAAAACTTCAAGAAATAAAGCATTCTGTAAAAAAAACATAGAGTTGAGTAATTCATCAAATTAACAAGAAACTTGATGTGTGGCTTTAAGTCCCCTGTCCTCTGCTATCAGACTTTCTGATATGATTTAAAAAGGGTAGGCCTACCTCTCTCTGTGGCTTGAACGAGCAGCAACTCAGCTTCAGAGAAACAAGACTGAGAAGTAGAGCAAACACAGGCATTGTACACCACTGTCAGCTCCAACTGTGTGTGATCTGCACAAGGAGGGATACCTGCAAGGAGAAACATGGAAAAATGAAGGCAGGAGAAAGAATAACATACTTAGGTAGGTAAGAGCTTGACCCTCCCCTTGTTCTTAATAACTCATTTGAATCAAGAAGAAGACAGACCTTGAATTTTCCTTAAAAGTTTGTCAAACTGAGAGGAACACCTCAGATGTGTCTTGTTATGGTCTCCGGTCAAGACATCCTCTCCTCTCTCCTTCTGTTGAAAAATTACAGAAAGTCAGCACTCAAACTTTAACTGAGTATAATTTTAAGGAACTTGGTCTACAGAAAAACAGGACATGTTTCAAATGATTTATTATTTATACTCTGTATTTTAGTAAAGTATTTCAACGGGACTTTCACTTTTTGTTAAAGTGTGGAGTACTACCGACATAAAACAAATAATTACTATTATTATGACTTATTATCTTCAAGTTCTGGTAATAATACAACATAATTTACTTTCAGCTATAATTCTGATTACAGAAAACCCCAATGGACAGAAATATTGCCACTGCAACTTGTTTTCAAGCTTAATCAGATACAAGTTAACGCTGGAAAGACAAAACACTTGGCAGCTCAATACCTACCCTCAATGTATTAACCAACTCGTTGTTTTCCTGTATCCATCCATCTAATAGAGAAGACGTAGGGTGCATTTTACTGGACATGATATCGCTTTTTCGTGAAGTTACTGGTGATTTGTTTGAACTTTCCCTCGTTTGTCTAAAAGGAGCTAACACAGGAAGTAAACATTAGAGACTTTGAATGTTGAAGTGTGGCTCTGCTGCCACCTGTGGACAAATCAGGTAAGACACCTGCAGGCTTGCTAACTGTCCAGCAGATAGTGCTGTGACCAAGTTCAGGTGTGTTCTGGAAACTTCAGTCGTTAGATTATTTTTTAAGCAAGCTGTGAAGTGCTTCTTTTGTTTCCTTTGGGTGATTGGCCTTTCAACCATGCAGACAAACATAGACACACGTTGTAGGAAATCCTTTATATATTTTGTGTAACTCTTGTGACTGCAATCTACTTAGAGAAATCTGCATTTGCTACATTGGCACAGAGCAATAATCACATGCAAACACACCGAGACACACACATTTAGGGCTAAAGCAAGCAAACAGCTGAGTCATCCTTGAGACTGCCAGAACAGCCATTTTCTGGTTGCCCCTCTCAAGGTGACTCCCTCTTTTCTCGCCCACTCCTTTCCTTTCCTCTCCACTCATCAGTCTTCCTGTGTCCCTGTCATCCCTCCATCAATGCATTACCTTGCTGTCTGAAACCTCTATTGTCTACCTTCAGCACAACCTCCGGGCTCTTCTTTTCTTTCATTGTCTCGATCACAGAAAGCTCTAAATATAGGCTATACCACAGAGGAGGAAAAAAAAGGGAAGCTCCTGACATTCATCCCCTGAATAATGTACACTGACACACTTGCAGCTGTATAGGAATGGACACACATAGGCTACATGCACATATCTTTCATATAGATTTTATTTTATTTTGCTGTTCTGTGATACTTTTCCTGTGCATTAATCCTGCTATTTTTCATCTCTCTCAGTCTTACTGCAGCCATCTATCCAAGGACAAGGTCATGACAGGAGCCTCCCATCTCCTTTTCTGCTGTCCCCTTCCCAATGTCATGCATATGGCAAGATTTCAAACCAACATCAAAAGGTTTGTGTAAAAATGTAACTGCAACAAATCCACCATTTTCAGGATTAAAGTGTAAGTCGTGTTCTCATAACAGACAAACAGCAACCTCTATAGGTTGTTCTTTATTTAGTCAATTATGGTGTTCCCTGTGTTTGAAGCAGATGACTATAGCATTGGGAGCAGTGGCTGTAGATGAATTGGACTCAACCGCTCCCCAATGTGAACCGTGTGAGGTAATAATGAGTCCAAAACTGGACTTGGATTTGTTGTCCTAATATGCCGGCATCTTAGATGGTATACAATATATTCCAACACAGAGTGAGAAACTATGAGGCTTTTTTGTAGACATCAGCTGCATATAGTTGGTTCAAATAACAAGGAATTGAGCAACATACGATACTGCATATTGAACACCAGATCCTCACAACATCACAACAGAAATCTGCTAACGCTGCAGAGGCATACTCATTTATTAAACATGAAGCTATTTGTAGGGAGGGGTGTGACACGTGTAATTCCTGTCCTGTATGACCCTCAGCCCCCCAAACATGTATGATCCGGTGCAAAACATTCAGTCTCATTTACAGCAACACTCTCCAACAAGCTTGGAAGACCTTTATTAAAAGAGATGCTAAACCTGTTCTAGCTTCACCTTTAAGGATATTAAACAGAAATCACATGGTAGCTGGAGGACAGGTTAAGGGCTTGTGTGTTGCACAGTCCCCTGGGTGTCACAGGCTGACGACACATGTGTTCACAGTCATTAAGAACAGCTGATACAGACAAATGACTGTTTGCTGATCCACTTAATTGCAACATACATCTTGAGGAAAGACATAAGAACCGTTCTACAGCGGTCCTTTTAGGTACACAGATTAAACTCAATAACCCTGAGTTTCAAAAATCAATAGTTGCTCCGATCTTGCTCAGAGCAGACACACTTTGGATCAACAGAGAACACTGCTTTTGTGTGTGTGTGTGTATGTGTATGTGTATATGTATGTATGTGTGTGTGTGTATATGTATGTATGTGTGTGTGTGTGTGTGTGTGTGTGTGTGTGTGTGTGTTTGTTGGTGATGTCACATGTCATAATGACGAAATAAATAAAAAGATATTATAAAATTTAAAGTTTGACAGAAATTAACAAAAAACGGTTTGTATGTGTGGTGAGTGAAGGGGGAGCTGTCAATGGCCCAGCAGTTAAGTTGAGTCCCCTGGGTGTTGGCATGGATCTGCAAACTCACACTGCAGCACTGAAGCTACAGAGAGCATCAGCAGAACACACTGCACATCCTCACAATCCCTTCCCACACACATTAGCCTCAGCATATCTTTAAAATATATATATATATATATAAATATATGTTGAACTTATTTTAAACAATTTTTCTTTCAACTATTTAACAGAAATATATTTTTGCAGAACTATTGCAACCTATACTACAAACAATAATTCCTAACATTGCTCATGCCTTGAAATTAGAAAAACAGGTAATAGCCTATCATCCCCACGTTCTATGCATAACCTTATTAATAAGCGATGCTTCAATATGTCATAAACACCATACTTCCATTGCAAAGGTAATGCTTTGGGCTACAATATGCCTCATTTACTGTTACAGTAAAATAAAGAAAAAGGGGAAAAAGTCCCTCTGATAATGGTGAAACGGCTATTTCTGCGGAGCCAGTACTTTTGTGAAGCAAAGATATCTCTTTAAACAGAGTGTGAGCTGGTGCTGACGAGTGACTTTTCCCTCCCTCCTATAAAAGCCAGCACTCCCCCTCCTGCTGCAGTCAGTCCTCCTCCAGTCCGCTCAGCATGAGTTTCATGGAGCATCACCTCTTCGGCCCGGGCTCGTACCGCAAGGCTCGGCCCGCCTCCGTGTCCTCCAGCGGCTTCCACTCCCAGCGCCGCCGCCTCATCTACAGCCAGCCGCCCTCCGTCGACAGCCTTGAGACCTTTAACGGTGACATGACGAGGAGGAACGAGAAGGAGATCCTGCAGACCCTGAACGACCGGTTCGCCGGATACATCGAAAAGGTGCGCAACCTGGAGATGCACAACCGCAACCTGGAAGCAGAAGCGGCGGCTCTGCGGCAGAACCAGGCCGGGCGCACCTCAGTTGGGGAGCACTACGAGCGTGAGCTGGGGGACCTGAGGGGTCTCCTACAGCAACTTACAGGGGAGAAGGCCTGCGTAGCTCTGGAGCACGAGCACCTGGAGGAGGACATACAGCACCTGCGGGCAAGGCTGGAGGACGAGGCGCGGAACCGGGAAGAGCTGGAGGCTGCCGCTCGCACCATGAAGAAGTATGTGGAGGAGTGCCGACTGGCGCGACTGGAGCTGGACAAGAAGCTGCGTGCCCTGGAGGAGGAGGACGCGTTTCTGAAGAAAAACCACGAGGAAGAAGTGGCAGAGCTCCTCGCGCAGATTCAGGGGGCACAGGTGAGCTTTGATATGCGAGACTCGCTCAAGACGGACGTCACCGCGGCACTGCGAGAGATCCGCACACAGCTGGACACTCACACAAACAAGAGCTCAACGCACGCAGAAGAATGGTTCAAGGGTGAGTAAAGTCAAACTAGTCTGTCAAATATTCTAGTTTTTAATCACTGTGAAATGTCCGCGTTCGGTTTGCTTTCTTTGCGACGATGGGAGTGATCTCTGTCCAGGGTGCTGAAATGTAAAGTCACACCTCTCCTGAGATTTGCCCTTTCTGATGCGATAACTTAAACTCTATAACTTTTGAGCTAGATGACTGCAATAAAAACGTACAAGAAGCAAAATATACTGAGAATGTTCAACTATATCACTGCATTGTTTTCGCAGAAAGGTGACTTTCAGTTAAAGCCAGCACTATAGGAAAGAGATGGCACACTGAGAAAATCCTTATTATTTTTCACTTTCTCCGTGGGGAACTGTTGCTGTGTTTTGCCTCGCCTATTTGTGGCTCTAACCCTGAAACTCAACAAACAAACAAACAAACAAACAAATAGAAACAAAAAAACGTTTCAAGGTCACTGTTTGTGGTGGGCATGCACTGGTTTCATGCATTTATTGCTGTCCTGTCGTGACTGGGGTAAAAAATAAAAAAAAAAAAGACACTTGGATGCAGATATAATGTGTTGACTTTTCCGAAGCCAGGCAGTAACTGAGACCTCATATTGTTTTAACCCTCTAGGAGATTCTTCTTCTCAAGTATGGCCAAGAGCTGCTGACCATGGTGCTCTACACAAACACACTATTGACAGCTTTGAAGGCCAAGAAGGGGTTTAGCTGTGCAGGTGCAGCTATGCAGCTGTTTAGTTGCATGTAACAGAACTTAATGAGCTATAGATTGACTCGTACGGTACTGCTGCAAAGTGACTTACCAAGCAGCCAAAGGTGCCGACAGAGTGACCTTCTGTGTGCTGTCAAGCTGACTGCAGCAGTGTGGCTCATTCATGCTTTTATTGGGCAGCGAGCTGAGTCAGACCTCTGACTGACAGATGGACACTGTCAAGGTTAGCGGGGCTTCCAGTGGTGATTGCCTGCTCTCTGAAGCCCTGTGGACAACGAACCGGTCAAAAGATTTAAGACAGTGAAGACAAAACTGTACTTTTTTTTTTACTTCAGTATATGCATCTCAAGTAAGACTATATTAAAACAGAGGCCAGACAATGTGTGACACAGCAAGTTGGATTTCTAATTTGTGTGATTGCTTTTGCTTGCTTTGCTGCAGTGCGCATGGACCGTCTGTCCGATGCTGCGAGGTCAAACCAGGATGCAATCCGTGGGTCTCAGGAGGAGATCGGAGAGTACCGCCGTCAGCTCCAGAGCCGCACCATCGAGCTGGAGACTCTCAGAGGAACCAAAGAGTCCCTGGATAGGCAGCGCATGGAGAGTGAAGACAGACACCATGATGACCTCAACTCTCTACAGGCAGGATATTCACACAACAACCTCATTATTCTCATACACATTCATGTCTTTACATCAGCAGGACTTCTGACTTGTAGGTCAACATCTATTTATTTTGCAGGAAACGATCAATCAACTGGACAATGAGCTGAAAACGACTAAATGGGAGATGGCGAGTCAGCTGAGAGACTATCAGGAGCTGCTGAATGTCAAGATGGCTCTGGATATTGAAATTGCTGCTTATAGGTTAGACATGGTTAAAAGCACATAATTATATTTAACATATAGCTTCTTTATGTCAAAACGTATTGATGTTTTCACTGACAGCATCTCTTGTTTTAAAACAACAGGAAATTATTGGAGGGGGAGGAGAACCGCTTCGTATCAGGAGGTAGTCCGTTCTCTTACCTGGAAGGCAGATTCTCTAGCCACTTCAAAGTGAAAGGAGAGGAGATCTCAGACACCGTCATTGTGGAGGAACAGACGGATGAGACCCAGGTGACGGAGGTGACAGAGGAGGCAGACGATGAGGAAGAGGAGGAAGAGAAGGAAGAGGAGGAGGAAGGTGAGGAAACCAAAGACGAGGCGGGAGAGGGTGAAGAAGGAGAAAATAAGGAGGAGGGAGAAGAAGAGAAGGAGGAAGAAAAGGGAGCGGAGGAGGAGGAAGGGGAAAATAAAGAGGAAGCAGGTGAGGAAGCAGGTGAGGAAGCAGGTGAGGAAGCAGGTGAGGAAGCAGGTGAGGAGGCAGGTGAGGAAGCGGAAGACAAATCAAAATCTCCAGAAAAAGGTGCATCCCCTCCTTCAAAATCACCTCAGCCTAAATCTCCTGCTGTCGAATCCCACAAAAATCACCAGAAAAATCACCAGCAGCCAAATCCCCTATTCCCAAATCACCCGCTAAATCGCCTGCAACCAAATCTCCGTCAGCAGATGAGTCAAAGTCACCTGCAGCAAAGTCACCTCCGTCCAAATCACCTGAATCTAAATCTCCTCGCCCCAAGACCCCTGAACCAAAGTCTCCAGTAAAGGAAATGGCCAAGCCTGCTGCTGCCAAAGACACCCTGAAAGAGGAGAAGAAAGGAGAAGAAAGAGGAGAAGAAAGAGGAGAAGAAAGAGCCTGTCAGTGAGGAAAAGAAGGAGAAAGAGCAACCTGTGAAGGAGGAGAAGAAACAAGAGCCCAAGGAGAAAGAACCGGAGAAGTCAGAAAAACCTGATATTAAAAAAGACACAAAGGCTGACGACAGTACAAAACCTGTCACTCCAAGCAAGCCTGCAGAGGAAAAACCTTCCCCCAAGTCTGAGCCGAAAGATAGCGCTCCCCCCGCCAAGGAGGAGAAACCCTCTGCTCCTAAATCAGAGGCCAAGCCAGAGGTAAAGCCTACTTCTAAACCCCAGCCTGAGGCAACAGAGAGCAGCAAGAAGGAGGAGAAGAAGTCAGAGGAGAAGGCCGTGCCTACAGCGGAACCTGTGAAAGCAGAGAGCAAGAAAGAGGAGAAGAAGCCAGAGGAGAAGAAGCCAGAGGAGAAGAAGGAGGCTAGTAAAGAGGAGAGTAAGGAGACAAAGGACGAAGGGAAAGCTGAGAAATCGTCTAGCACTGAGTCCAAGGAGAGCAAGGAGGAGAAAGTCAAGAAATAAGATGAACATGCTGCTTTCAAGGCACCAGAAGAGGAGATGCCAAAGAACTATGAATGCTGAGCAGGAGAAAAGGCAGAGAAATGACCAAAAGCAAAGCAGGCGATGGTATGTAAGCAATAGTGATTTCTGTAGCAAATAATCCCTTGCTCCTTAAGTATGGCCACTACACCCCCTCCCCCTATGCTTCTGATGTATGACTGTAGTGAATGCAGAATGCTCCTAACTCTTCATCTGAATGTGACAACTGCCCTTAATCAATAACAAGTGCATTTAAACTGAATCCCGCTGACGGGGACGGTAGAGGCCTGCTGTATCTACAGAAGCCTTCAAGGGTAGATGTCAAAATAATGTCAAGCTAAAGATTGTGACAAATATTATATATAAAAATGTATATTTAACAGATACAAATGTCTATTATATTTACTGATACACGAGTTAGAAAGACTTGAATTTTGCTTGTCGCACACCTTAAAATGCAGCTTCTCCTGACAGGTGAGCTGCAGCATCTCACTCCTCTGGTCTGCAATGCTAGGACAATGATGACTGTGCTATGTATAACTACTGAGAATATGCAATATGAAACTGATAAATAAAGAATATAAATATCAAACTCAAACGCTTTTCTCAGTCTGTGTACAATACAAAAGAAAACATCGACTGCATGTTTTAAGTGAAGATTCATGTTTTGAGACGAGTCCTCCAGAGGTATGAGGCTGAAAGGTAAATGCTGCACTGCATTGCGGCTGAGTAGAGCAAGCTGTACTCACCCAAAACAGCCACCGCACCCTTGCTCACGTCCCAGAGTCCACACTCATGTATAAATCAGGATCAGAGTTGCTCGCATGCACAGAATACTCACTTTTACATTTTCCTTTTCCTGATATGACTCTCTAGAAAAAGAAAAGGTCCCACACAATACCCTTTTTGTTTTACAATTCTTTAATGCTTCCTAATTTTCCCATTACTTTAATTTAATAATTACCTTTATGACCAATTATGCATACACTGATCACGTGTAGGCTCAAGACTTTAATTCTGCAACAATGTGATGACTCATAGCAGTATTTGAGCTATTCATAGACTTCTACAGATCAGGTGTTGATCTTTTTCTTTAATGAGTTCAGCGTCAGGTGAGAAATGCTCTTACATTTCGTCTATAAAACTGAAGAGCAAACAGTTCAATTGATGATGTTAAAAAACACTTAATGTCACTGACATTGGACCCACTTTGGCTGACATTGGGAGGCTTTCTCTTCAGTCATCAGTCTCTCCTTCAAATGCAATCTCATCCAATCTGATGGATGGCTTTCTTTTTAAAAGGATCCATGGCCACTGCATGGATCACAGCAGAGGGAAGGAAGGTTATTTTGCTCTTGCCAATTAGCTCTTTGATTTACCAACAGCATTACTCACCAGTTTTTTTAGGCATATCATTTTTGTCCTTTATAAATGAAATGGTAAACATCTGATATATTTACCTTTTTCTCCTAGAAACATACATTATATTCTGGTTATCCATTCAGCCTAATCAAGAAGTATTCATGGCTGGATCAGGTTGAATTCTGTTAGATTCAGTCTCCAATATGCAACAAAAATCAGAATGATGTTTTTGTGAAACACTTATTTTGAAAGCTGCAAGCTGATCATTACTTAAAAGTAAATGACATCAGTATCCCAGGGGGGGAAATGTTTCTCTCTCATCACAGCATCCAGGATGAAAAAATAAAGGTCAAAGGCTAAACAATAAACCAGATATTATATTCTTCAACAAAATTCTCTGGGTAAATGACTCAGCTCACTGTTGCACTGAACCACAGTGGCATAGTAATCAGGGAGAGCAGACTGCACCTATAAATAGAGCAGCACAGAGAGAGGTGAGGGTAGAAGAGGGAGACAGAGGAGCTGAGCAGGAAAACAAATCATGGATGAAACACTTTTAAAAAGACCAGATACACACTCATTCAAGAATATAACGGTTTATTTTCAATTTGTAATGAAGACTTTAAAAAAGACACTTTAGAAGAAAAGAGTCACAAAGGTACATTAGAGGGAGATTGAGTTGTAAAGTACAGACACATGGAAACAGGATTAACGGTGGCTGAAGAAGCCCTGAGGATGGTTGTACTTGAACGGCTTCAGTCGATTTGGGCCCCTGAGAAAGAAAGCGAGACGTCAGAGAAACAGTCAATTTGTCCCGACAGTTAATTAGTGTTTATGAGCAGAAGTTTGTATAGAGTTAAATAATTGATTCTAATGACTGTGTACCTGACAGTACGTAGGCACATCTTCTCTCTGGGAAACTCTCGGGGCCCCTCCACGCCATCATCTTGTCCTTCAGTCTCCAAATACACATCCAGGCAGACACACAAGCGGGAAATCTGATTGGTCAGGAGCTGGTGGCCTGGCCGTGGTCCCTGCAGTTCATTTTTGAACACATTGACCTCGCTCTCCATGGCCTAAAAAAAGGAGCAGATGATTCATGTCAAAAGACATCAAGAGAGCTTTCACAAAAACACAGGACAAGCTCTTGGAAGACAAGTGATCAATGAAAAAAAAAAAAGTTCATACTCGGAGGTTGTCATCAGTGCTTCCACTGCGCTCCCCCTTCCAGCTGAGAGAGAGGGAGAAGAGGGGGGAGATTTCTGGGTAACGGGGACTCAGCACCACAGCGGCCTTTAGACGAGCTGAGGAAGTAAAAGATCAAGGAGTTGGTTTTCACAAATGAAATGAGTCAAAAAAAATTCTAATTCACTCATCAGTGATAGCTAGTATTTACCTGTGCCCCTCTCCACCACACTCATGAAGTAGAGGTCAGTCTCCTTTGCGAGCCCAGCATCAGTCACATGACGTGTATACGGCATAGTCTATAAATACAGACAAATAGTATCATGACATCTGTGTTGTAAGAGGTGTATTTTGGAACAGATGATTTAAATGAAGTTCATGTAAGTATACCATGTACTCCTCATAGGTGATGGTGTTCCAGTGAGCTAAATGGGAGATGATCTTGGCAGGGAAGAGGTGCTGACACTCACTGGACACCGGGATGATGCTGTGCTCTGAGGACATAAGCACAAAACAAAATCTTAGACATGATAACATTTTACAAAGTAGTACTGAATGTGTGGTTGTTAAAATATCCTGTACCTAAAGAGGCAAACTGTTTTTGCAAGGCCAAACGGGACTGCAACCGTCCCCTCAGCAGCTTCATGGTGCTCTCCATTTGACTGGCACTCAGTGAACTGCCAGCACACACGCCCTGGATAATTATAAACATCAACACACATGATGGAGCTATAACACACAGGAATGAGCTCAACTGGGATAATACATAACTTTATACACACCTCTGAAGCATCATCGGGAAAATTGAGTCCTCCCAGACTCTGCACCCACTTGTAGGGGTGACCGAGCTCCTCCAAATAATCGGCAAAGGAAACAATCCTTAAGGGAAATTATGAATTAATTCAGCTGGAATTTTATGAAATACATTAAATGTGACAGGAAACACCGCATCTTCTTTACTTTAATTCAAACACTCACCCGACTTTATCAAACTGGTAGCGATTAGCTGGGTTGGGAGTGTCTCGCCCAAGGTCGCTGGTGTAGAGGCAGCTGAGCAGAGTGTCAGATTTCAGCAGGTCCCTGCAAAAGAAGCCATAATTAGACTTTTCTCTCAGACAAAAAGAGGTAGACAGGTGTTGAGATCCATACGCACCCTGCACTGATGGCTGTGTTCAGGTCTGAGGAGGTGGAGACCTTGGTCTTGACAGTCATGATGTTCAGATTCATGAGGTAGAAGAAGTAGAGATGGAGGATGCTGCCATCTGTGGAGACATGATGGATACCACACGGTGATGAACTATATCAATACTACCTCTCTCTTTTAATTAATCCTCACATTAAACGTCCCCTAGGGTTTACTCTACTCAGAGAGCAATAACGAGGTGTGGTCACGACGGCAGCTAGCAGCACCCAGGGGATACATACTATGCTGATGGTGGTCTTTCAAGCTTCACTGTCTGCAGTCACAGTGAACACAGAGACACCCTGTCACTCACAGGTACAGACACTGCTGTTTTTGCTTTTACTGCAGTAAACTGAACACTATAGCAGTGAAGATAACAGGGGAGAGGGGGAGGAAGAGGAAATAAAAGCACAAGTTACAGATGAGAAAATGTGCTTACAGCATGTGGTAGCTGCTGCAGACCTACAGTGCTGCAAACATCTCTCTCCCTCCTCCCCCTTTAGGAAGAGTTACGCCTGCAATGCAGATCTCCCTTTTGTCTGTCACTATTCCTTTTGCCACCAGCAGAGGGAACAAGAGGGTCAAGTGGTGTCATGACATCGAAGCAGAGTGGGTCACTCATCCTTTCTTGGATGTCCTATGTACAGTATGTCGGTGGTCTACAGTTACCATCATATTCAGTGCAGCTAAAGTTACATTACCCCGTCTGACTTTTACTTTAGAGAGAAGGAGTGTGTCTGGGTGCACAAAATAAATAGCTTTTATGTGCAGACATGAAACGTTTTAATCACTAAGAATGTAAACACTGTTACCTTTACACTTGAGGTCTAAGCAGAGGGACAGAGGGTGCCTCTTCAGCATCTCTCGTCTTTTGTCGTCCAGCTGGCCTCCTGTAGTCGGCCTTCTCCTCTTCTGTCACACAGGCAAAAAAAACAAACACAAAAAAGGAAATGAAAAGAGAAGCAAAACAAAATGCATGTTTGACATTGTGGCACATCAAATAAATTGGAAAAAAAAGCATTAGCATCATATTCCAGCTGTTCACAAGAGAAATATGATAGTCAATTACCATGTCTGGCTTTTTAGCCTTCTGCTGTAACAGCTAGATGGAGGAGGCTGCTTCATTTATTTACAAAGAAAAGACTGTATTATGATGTACTGTTATATACAAGTTCAAAACACAAAACATATATTCCCAAGTATAAAGAAGATTGAACACAAAGTCCGACAACAATAACAAGCACTGGATTGGTGCTGCTGAGCGAGCATGCAGGACAAGCGCTCCGGTTACAGTCACCCAGCCATTCTAGGAGAATTGGCATTCGTCCTCAGATGCAGAAAGGGATCAATAACTGCACTCCAACCCATCAGACCACAAAGTTAGACAGCTAAGGCTCCAGGGATTAAATTTGTGTTTCCGCTGCACAGCCCGGTATGTCAAGAAATCGCTGAACTCTATGACTTGAGTGTAAATGTCAGAGAGAGAGCGAGAGAGAGAGCGAGAGAGAGAGCGAGAATGTAAGGCCTGAGACTCACTGTTTTCTCTTGCTCCTCCTCTGCATCAGAGTCACTCTCATCATCTGGAAGAAAACAGAGCATCATTTAACACTTGGTTGTTGAGGATGAATTTCTCAAAATTATGAAATCTTGAAAAATTAAACAAAACAAACACCAGATTTCGTACCTTGGGAATCATCTGGAGGTTTGGACAGGGCCTTGGCCTCATCCACATCTCCGATGATTGAGACACTCAGGTTCTTGTCTATAAAGGAAACAAAAATAATTGCAGCATTAACAATTACAGCTGCCATCCCATTCAGAAAATCTCTGAAAAACTTATATTATGAAACAAATAGTATGTTCTTCACTTACCACAGGCCTGGCCATAGGCATTAGCTTGAACAAATAGAACGTAGAGAGGTGGAGGCAGGTGGCGAGCGACCTCTGTTTGTTTCTGAGTCTGTTCAAAAGGCATGGACAGATACTTCTGCACCGGCAGAGAGGCCTGTGAGAGAAGAAGGAGCGCAAATAATAATTTCAAGATCAATACAGGTGCAATCACAGCTGTTAAGACCTTTACCTCAATCAAATCCAAAAAGTTATTGGGCTCTGTAGAACACTTCTCTCTTAAATCAACTTGCAAATATATTTAAAATGTCATAAATTGTGAATGAAGTTGCTGAGACTAACAGCCTTTACAATATGGTAACCAAACAGTCATTATTCTGTACCTGCATGATAGCATTGAGTCCAGGCTGCAGGCTTGTCAGATGTTCTTTTTCACCTCGATGCTCTTCTGGATCTTCTCCTTCGTCGACTGTGACTCCTTGTATTGCTCAGCCAACCTTAGTCCAAACACAAATGCTTAATACATGCAATCTGCTTCCCAAAAAAATAAATCATCAAGACTGTTTTGTGATCAGATTGTGTTATTAATGCACTGTGCAAGTCTGCTACCTCTTCCTCTGTTCGAGCTCCCAGTCCAGTCGTGCCAGTGTGAGCTGATGGGGATCAGTTTTTGTGACGTAAGGCATGGATATGTGCTCTGGAGCCTCCTGGTAAAACTCTTCCTCAGACACCAAATCTATCTCCTCGTGCTTAGACCTGCAACAGGAAGCAATCAGGTTAATTAAGCATATGGAGATGTACTTTGAGTATGAAAAGATATGCATGAATAGTGTTAATGAATGATAGATGCTTGCCATTTTTAAATGTGTAGGGAAATTTAACACCTCACAACTAAACACAGGGCTCCACACTAACTAACTTTTATTTTTAGGTGCACAAGCACAGAATTTAGGTGAACTCAAAGTATTTTTCATTGTGTCGCATTTAACAAATCAACAGACTTGAATTGATCCTTCAGCGTTGCGCACTGCAGTCTGATCTGCTCCGTGTGGAGTGCACGTTCTTCAACTAAGTAAAGTCAGTTAAACAACTTTTGATATGAGTCTGGCAGTCCGTTCTTCTACGTGTCCGCAATATCTTAATCTAACTCTGTCACTGACTTTTTATGCGCCATGAATCTGTGTCCATCTCCGTGCACAATTCGAGGAAGCACTTTAGCGCTGCTCCACGGTTAAACCAGCGGCCCTCTGTATGATTGGGCAGCCTATGCATGATATCGTTTTTGGACAAGAATGAAATGTTCAGTAATAGTTATATTTTACGGTCTGATGAAAGCTGGTGATAAAGGCGCAACAGCAGGCTACTGCATTTAGAATTGAGGTCGCGCTGAAACATTTAGTGATCAACACAACACGTTCACCTCTGGGTGACCTAAAAATGAACCATCTGTAATTAAAATCAGTTATTATTATTATTATTAAAATAAGTCTATCATCAGGCTCAATGCTGATGTCTGCAACCTACACTTAGTCTGGATGTGAGGACCGAGGGCTCCGTGTCTTGGCTGGATGGACTCTCAGAAGTGGTGATGGATGGAAAACTAAGCCTAGTGTTACAACCAGCCATAGGCTTAGTTTTCTTAATGTTTCTACCTCTCTTCATTTTCCCTCGTTTTGTTGCATTTATTTTCTTTTTCCGTTTCAGTTGGGCTACTCTGGCGCTCAGGTCGCTCGCAATTTTTAAACACACACAACTTAAGCACTGAGCAGGACCACAGTCAATCAGTGGCAAAGACCCGCCCTAGCTCTGTCTCGCGGTTTAGACTGCGATATGATCCTACTATGAGTGTGAGTTCAGTCACAGGAGAACACAGAGAGATGATGCGCTTGCGAAAGAAATCTATGTTTTCACCCGGGCAGCATCAGGTGCACCAGTGCGACCTAGAAAAATGTTAGTCGCACTCTTAAAAATTTTGGTCTCTGGAGCCCTGAAACACTTTCAGTACTTGTTAGGTTGTGTAATTTCACTTAATAAAATAAACGTCCATAAAACTGTGTCAATGAGAAAAAAGGGACATACTGGTACTATGTCAAGGTGTTGCTATAACTGTCTTATCCATCAACATGTGAAAGACAACTCATTTTAATGAGCTGTGAGCTCATTTTATTTTTAATTGTGTTTAAACTAAATGAAATATTTTGTACGAACTTGAATTCCAGACACTTGCTGATCTCCTTTTGAAGATGCATAACTTCATACAGCAGGTTTTGTAACTGAAGGTGCAGCACGTCCACTCTCTGCTTTGCCTGAAGAACAAAAGGGAGGAATTAAGGCTGGTTTGCAAACATAAACCCATTAACTCTGCAATCAATACATGCCACAAAATATTCCTAAGGGAATTACAACCAGGAAGCAATAAAAATACAGTTCAATAAAAAGGATTTGATGCAGGATCCATATATTTGAAACAAAAACCAATCCAGGGGTGTGTACGTTTTCTTTGCTGACAGAGGCAGATACAGCAGTGAGGTGTTAAAAGTAGAAACAAAGTGCATGGAGCTCAGCTTGCCTTTTCTAATCAGCATAAAAAAAAAGAGCTAAGGCAGCACTTTTTCAGACAATAAATGGAAGACTGAACTTAACTCGATTTGTTATTTCTATATATTTGGTTACTTTTTACAACACTTGAGAGTTCTATTGGAGTTACCTCGTGTGTCTGGTCTCTGCCTTTTTTCAGTCTCATGTGAGCCAGACGGTTGAGTTTCTTCAGGTTCATGAAGTGGATGCAACTCTGCATGCGTTTCTGCTCGACCTCAGCACACTGAGAACGGATATAACAGGTTAGACTTCATTATAAAGATAAAGACACCAAAATAACTCAGGGAAATATACAATTCATTAGATTTATCAACACAACACAGTAAAATTGTATATACCATTAAAGATGGGTATTGTTAGGATTAGGGCTGAAACGATTCCATGAATCAATCGAGTAGCTTGATTTCTAAAAAGCCTCTAGGCAAATAGACAAGGTAACCTTTGTTTTTTACAAGTGACGATCTTATATGTTAATATTAGGTTGGTATATATTAATTGTGCTTTGTTATCTCACTTATTTGAGTTTGTATCGAACAACTTAATCTGCTCATTTTAGCTCCGTTCCCCTTATCAACACACCCAAACAAATTGGATGTTTCTCGCGTCACGACTACCACAGCTGCAGTAAAGATATAACAGCAACATCAGACGCTACAGTTTATAACGAGACATGGACGTATTAGCACCACAATCGTCACATTTACAGGAGGGACGTATGGTCCCCTCGTTTTTGGGGTCACGGTTCAGTACGACTCTGTTTCAACAGAAAGTCCAGGAATCATATTTCTAGATTTCTCTAATTAAATGATGCACATTGAATGATGTTAATTTATGTCTTCTGAAAGAGGGGCAGATTATATAAGATTATTCTTCTTTCTGCTCCTTTTAAGATTTATGTTTGTATTGTTTTGAATGAAATAATCAAATAAATAAAAACCTCTTATGGTAGAATACAAACTCCTATGGTTTTACCATGTTTTTATTTAATTAGGCTTTTTATATTTAACAGTCTACCAGTCTCTCCTTCCATCATTCTAATCTAAAATTAAGTCTACAGGAATAGCAAGATGCAACTTGTTAGTTCAAACTACTTTATCAGACTCAACAAGAGAGAAAAAAAGCCAACTGTATTGCAATGACAAGTCCACTGTTTTTCTGACAGCTTTCGTTTATGGAAAGCCCAACATTTAATATGAGGGACAGTTCAAGTTAATACCAACAGAAGCGCTATTTGTCCATCAGCTTAACTGTACTGAAAACTGGTTTTCAGTACCCATCATTGATGGCAAAGTTGTGTAGTTGTGTATCTTAATAGTATGCTTCTTACCCCATCCTTGGCTCCATTAGCTTTAAGAGTCTGGATCTCACTCATAAGTGTGGCCAAACTCTCACATGACTCTTTGTACTGTAGGTAATCCTGCCCAGGGTCCCTGGCCTCCAGCTCAACGTCCTCGCTGTACACACGGGCATCCTGGATGGAAAACAAATACAAAAAATGAATCAGTATTCACAGTATATATCAAACCATGGACGACTCCAGTAAGAGCATTATGCTTCAAAAAGGTAGGCTGTTGTTTCTTATCGACTAGAAATGTGACTTGCCACTTGCCTTCATACCAATCACTATTATTAAACCACGATAATACTTTTTGTAACGTTAGTCCTAATTTAATGAAAGGGGGAAACAGTAACACTATGTATATAAACATATTGTACACTCACATCCGTAAAGTTACAATACAGTTGAACTGTAATCATCAAATAAGTCAATAACACAGCACACTAACCAGGCTTATGCTGTTTTAGTGAATAGCAAATAAATTAATAACTTGGACATTGTGTGATATATGTAATGTGATTTAGAAATGTCAAGTAGATGGAATTTCAGCTCCAGGTTTTCTGGACCTTAGACTGCCTCCTATTGGTGGTCTTTGAGTAAACTGTAGCCCACTACTGTCCCTCAGTTTTCCTGAACCTGTCCCTCAGTTTTCCTGGTGTTCCTGAACCTGTCCCTCAGTTTTCCTGGTTTCCTGAACCTGTCCCTCAGTTTTCCTGGTTTTCCTGAACCTGTCCCTCAGTTTTCCTGGTGTTCCTGAACCTGTCCCTCAGTTTTCCTGGTTTTCCTGAACCTGTCCCTCCAGTCTCTTACGTGTTGCTCTCCATCTCCGCGACCTCGCTTCATCTCTGGGGTTCCTCCTTCACTGCGGACAACCTTTGACTTCCGCTTCTTCAAAGCATCTGACGACATGCCTGGCTGTATAAACACAGGACATTATGAATTGAAGGCAACAAGAAAACATTAAGCAATGTTTCGACATCTGCAGATACGTTTGCTACGTACCAGCAGTGTTTCATATTGCTAACAATGTAGCTCTGTGATTAGCTCAATGGCTAACAAGCGTAACCTTTCGGTTAACAAGGTTTCCAATCGGAAACGTGACAAAAATAAATACATGGAACATTATTTTATATATTGATAAATATCCACTTACCTCTGTGATGCCAAAACACGAATTAAATGATAATTAAGTGGGCAAATGCACATGGACAAGACACTTTTTGTTTCAACGAAAAGCACCACCAGTTACGGAAGCCTGAAGTGCCAAACCTCAGACCGGATAGACTAAAGAAAAACCAGTTTGTGTAGCTACACTGCCACCTACAGTAAGATACATGTAAATACCTGGACGTATACAGGTGGTAAATTAAGACCGCAACACGTTACATGAACTAGAAGTACTTATTCTGTTCATTTCTAATACCAAAATAATATCTACAATCTGACTGATTAAAATTAAGATTAATTAAAATAAGGTAAAGTATACAAAATACCAATTCCATGACAGAGATGCCATGCAATGTGTGTTTCACAAAAATATCCACATTTAAGCACATTTACATTCAATCTTTCGTATTTAATTTACAACCATTTACGACTCTGTTCTTGCGCATTTACATTTAATCTTCCTATTTAAGACTAGTAATGCTTATAAATCCTGGTTGTATATATTCACATTCTTAGTTTTGATAGTTTTAGTGCTTATTTACTTTGTATTTAATATCACATTATGTTTAGATTTGCTAACATGGTGTTTTTTTTTTTTTTTACTCATAATGTGTGTTGGATAACCTGTTGCTGTAATCCCAGTTTGGGATCAATAAAGTAATTTTATTCTAATCTTTGCATGTTAAATTAGAATTATAAAGTAACACAGCAGACCACATTAATCCAAAATGATTTATTCACAGTTCAAGTATTGACAATTTAAAAAATGTACATAGACACATGACAAGGATCAGCAAGCTGAAGTTCCATGAAAAGCAAACATATTCTTTTTTACGCATGACAGACTAAGGAAGCAGTCAGTCCAACCTCACTTGGCCATATCTATCAGACTCTGCAAAGAAGTGGGCACCCAAGTCTTCTCTCCTTGCACAAACACAACCCCTCTGTCTATGTAGATGACAATACGCCCAAATGTGTACAGCTGCTTGCCCTCGTGCCGTTTGGCCACTAAAGGCATAAAGACGATGTTGTTCTCCTCTGCCTTGGTCTGGATAAGATCTTTAAAGTTTGTCGGCACACCAGCACTGATGCCTCTGTGGGCAACACTCTCTGCATCTCTGCGCTCCTGCATGGCTTCATACTGGAAATCCTTTCGTCTTTCTGTCTGGGTTAGATATGCAATATTCTCTCTCGCACCTGGTTGCATGTATCCACCTGTGAAAATGTCAAGAGTAAGTACAGAGGAAAAAGGAATGCTTTTCTATAGAGTTCATGTTTTTGTTTTCTTATACTGTGATACCAACCCATGCCTGAAGATACTGCACGGTTCATGATGTCCAAAGCTTCATTGAATTTATCTTTAATGAGCGGCTGTGCCAACAGGGCGTCACTTAACATGCTTTTCCAACCCAGATACCATTTAGTGATTTCTTCATAGTTAGGACTGTTGCTCAACCATGAACACAGGACCTATATTCAATAAAAAGACAATTGAGTGAATTAGTTGAATTCAAAGAATACAAAACAAACGTTGCATCTCAATTACAGTATTTTTTTATCTACAGTTTACCATGTTAATTTTTTTCACTGACCTGCAGCCACTTGGTGAAGAAGTTTTTGTCCAGCAGGGACACAAGGCTGGAGGGGGACAGCATGCCCTCCCAATCCATCACCCAGTGAAACGGCTCCATCTGCTGCTGATGAGGATTAATAACCAGCTCTTCCAGACACAGAGCTGAGGAGTGAAATTGAAATTGTCGTGAGAAAAAGAGAAGGCAGAGTCAAAAGCAAAAAACAGAGAGGGGTAAGACTGCAGGGTAATGTATTTACATAAACTGTTATGACAGACTTCTAAAGACATACCCAGTTTCGGGATGATGTTTTTCACCATGAAGGCCTCCCATGCACCAGGTGTGAATACATCTTTCCACGGCTGCAGGATGAGGCGGGCTGAAGCATCACTGGGATGCCACCTCTGCAGGGCATTGGACAGTTTACTTCTGATTGGTGGGTAAAGAGGCTCTAGACGAGATTGGAGCAGAGGCAGCCAAGGATGGATCCAGGAGTGGATGGGCACTGTGTCAGTTAAAGGGTTCCAGTTATCCACCTACATAAAAAGAAACGAAAAGGAAGGAAAAACAGTCAGCAATGTGGAAAGTTAATCATGGGAAAGTATAAAAAACCAGAGTATTTATCAGAGTAAGGCTAAGGCAGGTTGTAGTACTCATGTCCAGGACACAGATTGAGTCCGACTTGAGCCCTGATTTTAAGAACTTGTGACTTGACTCTGACTCGCGCACTGATGACTCGGACACAAGCATTTACTGCATTTGGACTCTGAAGATGGAAAGGAGTACTTGTACATATTGATAACTACAGTGTTTATGTTATTTAAATAAGGCCCTAACAATTAATTGAGTTTACAGATGTCCCCCTGCACACACGTTAACATATTGTCTTCTTTAGCCACAGTTTGTGTGAATAGTGATGTGCAAATTGCAGTAATTTAACTATGGATTTGGCAAACAGCGTCATAGAATGCAATCAATGAATTGTAGACTTTTGAATTCTGATTAATAATAAGGGTGGGTTGCAGGTATTTTTGAGTGTATTAAACACCTGCAGTGATCCCAGCTCAGCAGAAAGGATCAGTGCGTCTCCCCAAGAGGAGCAGCATGCGCATTAAGGCATGAGGCACTGCACTGTGTTTTAACAATCTCACATCTTCTAGGACCGAGGTACAGTATACACATGAAGACACAGATAATAGAGAGTTACAGCTCTCTATCATTAAATCAATAAATGAATGTGAAAAACTGAAGCCCGTCTTTGAATCAGACTTAGACTGAGGTAGCGTGGACTTGACCAGACTTGGTCTCAGGTAATAAAGACTTGACTCTGATTTTTTTTCGGGTGACTCAGACCTGACTCGTAATTGAAAAATTAAGACTCTAGACTTGACTCAGACTGGAAGTTTAATGACTCGACTATAACACTGTCTTATGGTCACATGGTGTGAGCTCGTCTTACCTCTCTCTGAAGCCGCGGTAAGATCAGCTGCTCCAACATGTGATCGAGGATCCACAGGGGGAGAAGAGGAGCCCACACTTCAACACAGTCAACCATTGGCCCTACGATACGAGGCTGCCAGCCTGACACACACGACCGCATAACTGGGATCCACACTTCCCATAACAATCTGAATCAACAAAAACAGGAGACAGAATGAGAGTAACAAAGTGTAACACTTATCATTTACAAATGTGCATGGCTTGATATGTCTGTGTGTTAAAAATGACCTGTGGTAAGGGTCCATGTTAGAATCTGGAGCACTGGAGTGGAGGTCTCTAGATTCAAGTATTGCTCTCCACTGTCCGATGTCTTCCAGACAATAAGAGCTATCCTGCAATTATTTAAAATAAAAAAAGGTCTGAGAAGTTTGTTCTACATCCTTAATAATTAAAGCAAAAGTCGAAAAAAGGTACCCTCAAAAAAACATTGCCAGAGCGTACCTTCAGAGGGTCCCAGGAGCGAAGTTTCTCTTTGAGTAAGGGCTGAACAACAGCTACCGCCAAGTCTGCCAATCCCATTGTCTTGTATTCTTCATAATAGTCTGTTTGTAAAGTCTCAAAGATCCGAGCACACTCCTTAAGATAGAAAAGCAGAAAACGGAACAATTAGCTTTATGGTTGTGATGACAGAGCAAATACTAAATCGGCCGGCAGCTGTGGGTCTTTGTGGATTTACTGCATGTGTACCTGCACTGTGGGTCCCTCCCCTGGTGCCATCTCTCCAGAAGGAAAACGCTCCACCAGCGCCAGAACAGCCTCCATTCTCTGGATGGCATCTTGCTCTGCATCCAGTCTGCTCTGCAGCGCTCGAGACTCATGGCTCAGAGACACAACTACATCTTTTTCATGCTGCAGACGTCTGGCAGACTAGAGGAGCAGGTGATGAGACAGCAAAATCAACAGCAGGTCATGTGGTAACAGAAGAAGTAGCAGAAGGATTCATACAAACTTCCTAGGGCAGAAAAACCCTTCATTATATTGGTATAGCCATATAGACAACTGGCAGATATTTATGGTCATTTCATACCTGTAATATGTCCTGTTCCGTGAGGTCTATCAGGAGCTGCAGGTTATGTTCCAGTTCAGGAAGAGCAAAGCCAGATCCCCTCTGATCCTGAGTTGACATGCTTGGTGGACCTTCATCTGGAACACTGTGCTTGTTGGTCATCTGACTGTAACTATAATACACCTTTTGCTCTCTTCCAGTCATATCAATTACCTATGGTTTAGAGAAAACATTATGGAAAATTAGCTCCAGATACTTACATTTTAATTAAACAACATTTGAATTAGGACTGTACTGTGTGTAAAATGACATTTAACTTTAACAAGGCCTCTGCGGCCTAATACTAACAGTACATTTTAATACATGTGTAAGGATTAAAGCCATAGTGCCACCCAGATGACTTTCGCTAAAGTCAGAGATGTTAACATTCTTCTCAAACATACCTTAACCTGTGCCAACTCTCCAGCAGATGCTGCAGTACTGCGCACTGCCAGCTTGCCTTTAGCCTTCAGCTCGTCCACAGTCCTGTAGGAGTACTTTGGTTTCTTCTTTCCTCCAGGGCCTGTTGCATCTTTGCGCCACTGACCCAGCTCCTTCTGAAACTCCTACAGATGGCAGACATTTGGAAAAGGTTAAATATACTGATGTCTTGGTTATAAATTTCACTTTGGCAGCAGTAAAAGTTACATTAAGGTGCAACACTCTACCTTTTCCTCTTCTTCCTCTGAGTCGACAACAGGGAAATCCTGAAGACTCTGCTTGGTTCGCTCATTGCCATAAGCTCCCACTGCTCCCTTTCCTTTACGAAGCTTTGCCTCAATGGGGTTTATAATACCTGCAGCAAAAGAAGTTGCAATTCTAAGAATAAAATATTCCAGTTTTCCTGCGTTGTTCCTGTAAAACACATGTTATTATAAAAATGCTGATAACATCATCAGGCAAACCCACCTTGAGCATTCTTGCCCAGGCCTTTCCCTGGTTGGTAACCCATCTTCTGCAAAAGTTTTTGTCCAATTCCTTTTGTGTGCTTCTCCCAGCTACCAATGCCTTTACCAGACTGTATGCCACCTGCAAATCTCTGAGACTGGTTTCCTCTGAAATTACCCTACAAAATAAAAACAAAACTTGTGTTTGACAGGACAAGCTTACAGAATTCACTGCCATGGGTTTAAACAATGCACCACAATATTTACCATCTGGAGTTTTTTGGGTGCAGTACCACGAGGAGGCGGAGGGGCTGAAGGACCATCATCATCGGACTCATCAGAATCACCTCCCCTTTTTTGCTGTTGCTCTTTCTCCTCAGCTGCACTCTTGCGCAGACCAGCACTCACAAAGTTCACTGGAGCGCTGTAGTCTTTAGATCTAGAAAAAATCATTTAGTGTTAGTAATTATTGGAATGACAAAGAAAGGGTTCTGTTCTCTTTTAAACCAAGCTTGCTCCTAGATGTTAGATGTGCACTTTGTCCGTGGGCTGAGATGATTTTAAAATCAGGCAAGCGATAGAAAAGATGGGGGGTAAAAACGTTGATATTACAGGGATATTTTAGCAGCAAAAGAATATGCCAATGCATTACTTCTTTCCTCCAAAGCTTGGCCTCTCGTCTTCGTCTGAGTCCTTGTCAGCCCAGATGCCGTAGGTGGCCTGGTCCTTGGTCTGTCTGTGTCTCCGGCGCTCAGGGTTGAACTCATTAGCCAGGTCCCAGTCTGTCACCTCAAAGCTCTCAATCTCCACACCTTCCTCCTCCTCCTCCCCTCTCCGCCCATATAGATGGGACATTGACATCTGTGGATATCACAAGAAACACAACACCAACTTTCAGGATAGTTTAAAAACTCATAGGGATCAGCTACACCTTTTCATATCCATAACAACCAAGCTACCTGTAGAGGAAATCTAATAAGCTATTTGATGTACAAAATATTGATATTTAATTGTTAAACATTAAATCCAAGTCCATCCTGTTTTATCTACTGTAAATGCTTTGTAGCCTTAATCTTAAAGTCATTGTATTGCCCAGTTAATAAGAAGTTAACAGGTTAACTCACAGAGTACAATCTCAAATGTAAAGGTATATGAGCAGGTTAACACAAAGTTACTCTTAATAAACATATGTAAACAACTTTATGGATAGATCTCCCTCTATATAAAACTCAACGTGAAGACGGGTTAGCAGTTACCATCTAAAGCTAAGCTATCATAGGCTAATATAAAATACTTTTATTAGCGTGTGGGAATATATAAAAGAGTTTTTTTTTTTTTTAACTCACCTTGAACCTTTTACCACTTCACTGAGTATCAGATGAATATTCACTTCCTTCTAGCTGTAACGAAAGAAAATCCAGCTACGGCTGAACAGCAAGCGTATTCGTTTTTCACACGACAGGAGATGTACTTCCGGTTGTACTCGCAAAACCCACTAGAGTTGTAACAAATTTGGTTCCTCTGACAATGTGTATCTTTTTGAATTATTGTTTTCACATTTCCACTAGTGAGTCTTAAATTTATCGAAGAAAAAATAATTAAATAATTAAAAAATATATATTTGTTTTAGTAATATTCGGCATAACACCGGAAGAAAACATAGGTGTTACAGTCAGAATTGTCCGGGTCGCTTCTTTCTGCTGAACTAAAGCGGCACCTGAGAATGAACTTCGTTATGAAATCGTGAAATGTATTTTAAAAGTCTACATTTAGTGTACATCCAGTTATAGTAGCATGTCGGACACAGGTGATGAGTGGCAGGTTGCCCGGCGACGAAAAGGCGCCGCGCGGAAATCAAAGTTACTTCACGTGTCATCAGATTCAACCTATGAGTCAACATGCTGTCAGGAGCAGCTGGACATCGGGAAAACTATTAAACGTATACGAGATACAATGTAAGACGTATATTTTGCAGGATTGCACGGCATATTATTTATTTTCCATCACTTTTGTAATAACTAAAGTTATTATAACCTTACAGGTCCGAGCTAAGATGTGAGAGATTTTGTCAGGAGTGGAAAGGTGAGATAAACATCAAGTATTTACTTTGCCTGTGAAATAATTCAGGTAGCAAACTGAGCGATTCTCTCGTCTTCTTGATTTCCAGAGCAGCTGCGAGTGGCAGGATCAGTATTTCTCTCAAAACCTCCTGAGAACAAGGATACAGAGAAACCTAGCGACCAGCTGCAGACAAACACAGATGTTGAACCATGTCAACAGCTGGAGTGTGTGTGTTATGGCCTTGGCCCCTTTTCCTCCTGTGTGTCAGCGCGCTACCAGCTGGCCATGTTGCTGCTGCTGCTGGATTCAGTACAGGTAAAGGAAATGTTTGAATACATTTCCTACATGGGACCCTGTTCTAATAACAATGTTGTGTCCTCTCAATAGATTCCACTGAAAAACTGTTCTGTCTATGACCCTGTATTCTCCTCTGGAGAGAGGGATGTTTTAAGAGAGCTGGGACTGACTGTGCTCACAGAAAACGAGGTGAGTTAGTTGTCAACTACTAAAGGTGTTTTTATAAAGTAAACTGTTATTATGAAAGTTATTTTAAAGAGGAGTACGTTTTTTTAGACCAGTCGACTTGTCCTACAGATATAAATATTGTTGTTCATTATCAGAGCTGTAAGTGTGGACTGTTTTATAAGTCTTCCAGTATTGTTGGTTGGTCTTACGGCTTGTGGGAATCTAAGAGTTTTCTCCTAAAGGGAAAACATTCCCATCATATTTGACAGAATCTCAGATCAATAACTTGGAAAATACTAAAAAAAAAAAAAAAAAGGCACTAAGAGAAATATTTACAAACATTTGGAACATTACTGCTTGTTTTAAATCAACAAATGCAAATAACAGATGCTTGTTAAATAATTATGAAGCCTTAACAAAACCTAACTTTTTTGACTTCACTTCAGAGTCAAAGAAAATAAGTTCACCTTCCTGTCTCTGTGTAATGTGCAGGAGGGGAAGCATTTTGCCACCAGGCCCACATTCTTTTACCTGATGCATTGTGGAAAAGCCCTTTACAACAATCTTTTGTGGAAGAACTGGAGCCCACAACGTCTTCCTCAGTTAATAATCATTGGAAATGGCTTCAGTGGCATGAAGGACAGGTGCGTATAAGACATGAAGAGGAGTGACAATGTTTTGAGAAGTTGGAGGTAAGGTGACACATTTTTGTCTGTCATCTTAACAGGACAATCGAGAGAGAGTTCAAGTGTGACTACAGCTACATTTCTCAGACTGTGCCTGTGTGTGAGGAGACACAGCTGCCTTGTCCAGCCCGTCTGATTGACATTTTTAATGACACAGCCGTCATCACCTTTCCAAACAGTGGGCTTAACAGACTCCCCACAATCCACCTGGGTGGAGCCGCCTGAACCACAGTACCAACACTGCACTGATTTGGAGATTATTAGGAGGGAAACTCCAAGCTGAGCCAGGAGTTACACAAGACATGGACAGAACTGTGTATTTTTTTTATTGTTGCCATGGATACAAGCAGATCTAAAATAGATAAACTCTGCTTCAAATTGAGGAATACATCTTGTAATGCTCAACTGTTGTAATAGTTTGTCTCAAGGGAAAGGAAAAAGTGGAAAAGTGACCATTAAACATTAACCCCCCCCCACCCCCTCTTGTTTCTACTGACCACAAAAGACTTCTTAATTTCTCACTTTCTGCTGTGATTCGAAGGTGTAATAGATGACATGGGATCACTGTGGAGCAGTTTCAGGTTAATCCAAGTATTTATTTCTTCACAAAGCCAAACCCTTTCAGGAATGCAAGGTGTGAAAGTAAGACACTGCTGTTCATCCTCTTAAGTAAGCATGAGAATAGCTTATGTTGTTTTATGCAGGGCGGATCAAGGCATAGGTGAAGTTGTAGGCAGTCGTCTACAGGGCCATGTCTTAGAGGGAGCCTAATGCAAAATATAAGCATCTTCCCTGCTTTTTCTGCTCCCTCTCTCTCTCTCACTTGCTCAACCACTCATTGACTGCACACAGCGGACAGGGTACAGCAGCAGCATTCAGGGAGAAAGTATTAAGAAAAAAAGGGTAAGAAGTTAGTCTCAAGTAAATTCTTATTAAAGGTTTAATTAACATATTGGACATTTCTCTTCATCTTCCCACCCACCAATACAGGTTCCTACAAGTCCAAAGCTCCAATTAATCTAATCAATGGGAGTCTCTCCTGCCTCTGAGGTCAGGGACCTGAACCTCCTTTATGTTTTTTTGTGAAAGGTTTTTGCAGTTCTCCAAATGTTTTTTTGCATTTCATGAAGTATTTTAGCATTCTGTGAAAATTTTATTAAATTTTGATTTTGATTTTTTTTTTTTTTAAATTGCATTAAGTAAAATTTTTGCAGTTGACATTCAGGGTCACCATAGCAGAGGCTTAAAAAAACATGCATTTCATTAATAATGATTTGCTCTAAATTTTTTCATTTTGGAATAGTGATTTGGTTATGAATAGGATTTTCCATCATCTTTTTTTACGAGCATATATGCTGTGTATGTGCCAAAAAAACAATCACTTGCAAACCATAGTAAATTGTTTATTGTAGAAAAAAAAAAACTCAACAGTACAGCCCTCTCCCAGAATCAGCAATAACATTTCCAACACAAATGAATACTCATCATAAGACTCTGTCAAATTTAGCTTTTCTTCATGACCATATCACCAAATTACATCTCAGAACCTGGGAGAGTCTAATCCTACAGCAGTGGCTTTTAAAAACTCAACTACAACACTTTTCTCCTGCCTGTTTTCACTCCTCTGCTGCTCCGTTAGCACTGACACCATCTGTGACTCCATTGACTGCTTTGTCTTCGTCTGCTTTTCCATTGGATACAGGAGCTTTAGAAACAATATCAGCCCAGGTTCCTTTGCTCTTGAGGGTTGATGGGCTGATGGGGATGTGAAGAGCTCCGTTTACTTCACCATTTACCTGCTCTGGCTTCATCTCACTACCTGTCGCTTCAGATTTTATCTCCCCATTGACTGTGCTGCAGCTTCCTCCATCAATTTCCTCTCCTGTAGCTTCTGACTTTGACTCCCCGTTCACCTCCATGACATCAGCACCTGAAGAAGCTCCATGACTGTCTCCTCCGTCTACATCTGCCTGCTGGTTTTGTTCAGCTGGCTCCACCTCATGACCATTAGCTGAAACTACGTCAGCACTCTCTGCTGAAGTTTCCTCCTCTTGGCTCTCGCTGGCATTCTCCCCACACGGGCTTCCTTTCTCAGCTTCCTCCCCGCTTCCCGTTTCTTGGTCTGAGCTTTTCTCTGCCCAGTTCATCGTCTCCAAGGTGAATAACTGCTTAGATCCTAGGTTCAACCCCAGCTCTTTGGCTACTGCTGCCTTTAACTCCTGATGTTTCTTCCTGTACTCTGTGAGCCTGTCACTATAACAATGAGATTTACTGGTTAGATAGAACATTACTTTTAATTGTCTTCAACATAGAATTTCCAGTTCCCTTTTTAAGTTATCAGCTTTAAAAAAAAAACTGATTTTGTGTTACAGCAATACAAAGTTAGATGTATTCCAAATTAAAAAATGCTTAATTACTATATATTTTTTTTTTTTCGCTAATTGCCTTCTAATAGTTTGTCATTCATGCAAAACAAAAAAGGTTTAAAATGCAAATAGTGTCAAAAACAAAAAGGTCCAGGTCTCTTGTTTTGTATGTAATGTTCAAATTAAGAGCTAGATCTATAAATGTTGGATGATTTTACTCATCACAGTCTTAAAAATACTGATTTATGAACAAGTTTGAAGCACGTAATCATCAATATATTTACCTTTGTGTGAGCTTCCTGATCCCCATCACCAGAACCATCTGTTCCAGCATCGTGTCCGATGAGGGAGTCACACACTTGAAACAGAGAGCAGCGGCATTAATAAACAAAGTTCTCTTCTTTGTGCAAGTTTAATGCTATCAGAGACTTCATGATACCTCCACTGTTTGCTCTGTGCATTGGGCTCCCGCTTGTCTGAGAGAGCGCTCCACCTTCACTGCCTGCTTGGTTATGGTGCACAGAAACTCTTTGCTGCCGCTCGTCTGAGAGTGATCCTCTCCAAGCTGAGAGAAAAAATAACCGTGAGATGAGATGCAAAGACAACCAGGGAGTTGAGCTGAACCCCAGGGAGAATAGTTGCTACTTTTCCAAATGAATATAATCAATACATAAGCCAATCCACATATCTCCCTCTCTATCACACATATACACTGACCAATGAGGTGAAAGCAGTGAGGGCCTCTTTCTCATGCACCATGGCACTTCTGTAGTCTCCCTTACTGCACATCCTCTGGGCCAGGAGGTGCTGACTGCACAGACAGAAAGCAGGGAGAGAAATGGTGAAGATGTTGGAATAGATAGAAGAAAAAGATTTTTTCATGCTCTAAATGGCACCTTACCTGAGCGCAGTGTGCTGGTTTGTCGGGCCAAAGAAGGAAGTGTTGAGTCTGAGGGCGTTCCTTAGGTACCTTTCACACTGATCTCCGGTCAGCACCAAACCAAGACAGCACTGCAGGAAAGCATGAGAATATACGCATTGTCAAAATAAAAGTAATTACGTTCTTTGTTATTACATTTTGTGCGTGTTGTAACCTACATCCAGTGTTGCGATGTATGGATGGTCCTCTCCGTGGACTGTGAGCGTCAGCAGGCGGGCTCTGAGGAGACACTTCTGGGCCAGGGTGGTCTCCCCTCCAGCAAACATATACACACCCAAGAGTGCCTACATGTGAAAAAAAATGTATATAAAAGTTACATTTTACACACATGACCCAATTAACCACAGTGCATACATTCACATATATATTCATAATCAACAGGAGTTTTTGGACTGCCAGACTACACTCATACAATTGGTCCAAAAAAATCTGAAATGCTGTTGTACTCACATATTGCAGGATGGTGTTCGGATGGTCAAAACCAAGCACTCTCTCACTGATGACCACCGCTGTCAGCTGAACACTGCGAGCCTTAACATCATATGAAGTCAGAGTAAGAATAGGGGCCACAACAATGTGTATTAAGCCTTCTATCATTTAAAATCTTTATTAAAAAAAAAATACCTTAGTCTATGTTAATGTTTTTCATTCAAAAATCATTCCTGAGTTCCGGGGAACTACAATTTAACTAAAGCATCAAATAGTCTCTTCGTAACACTTTGTTTAAACGTCAGACTATCTCATTTTTCTTGTATTTCTTATTTGCCTCATAATGCTTTTTCGAACAGTATAAGAGTGAATGTTTTTGGGGAACTTTCCTCCTTGTTAAATGTAGCTGTAAAAAAAGTTGTGGAGCAGACGGCCTACCTCTGCTGGCTTCCCACGCAGATAGGCCACTTTTGCCAGCATGCTGTGGCAGAAACAGGCCTCAGGGTGTAGGTTATCACACACTCTTCCAAACAGGTATGCTGCGTTTTGCAGATGCTCATGCGCCTGATCCAGCAGACCTACAGTGAGGAAACATGTAATAGTTAGATTTTCTGCTCATACCTCTTATGAGACATTCTTAACAATAGATTTTTTTCGTCCACCTTTCTCCAGGAAGGTCAGTGCAGCACGATATGCTGTTGAAGCATCAGCAGTTGGCATGTGAACGTGTTTGATGACAGGGAAGATGTTGAGGACATCATCTGGACCAATGGGAGCTTTATTTTGGTTGTCGAAGACGTAGTCTCTCAGTCTCAACTGGTGTGGAATCAAAATGAACAAACTTGTTCACTTGTTGTTTTGCAGTATATTTGATAGGTTTGTATTCACAGCAACATTTGAAATTATAACTGAGTGCATATCAAAATATTACAAGTACATCGTTTTTTCAGTTATTATTTAAAAGACTAATAACAGGATGATTACATATTTCAGATGTGATTACCTGTAATCCAGTTTTCAAACAGACTTCTCTGAGCAAAGAGATCTTCTGAAGGCCGTAGTGCTCCACCAGGTGGTTTGGACCAGAGCTGGCAAAAAAATGACAGTAGGTGCTAGAACTGTGACCCACTAAAAACTTCTAGAAAAATCATTGACATAGCTCCTAATGTTTCAAGAAGGTTAAGTGCAGTAACCTGGAGGTCAGAGTCCCCTCCCTTTACATAGAAAATCTGCCTCCAGTTCAAACCTGCTGTAGCTTTTAAATTGGATCAAGCATAGGCTTATCCTAATATCCAGGTTTAATTAAAATGGTCAAAAAGATTGTCATTGATGGGACAAAGTCATTTTGTTTTCATGTTTGTTATACAAGTTTTTTATCATTGTTCTCCGAGGGAATAAGTAACACTGGCCTTGCATGATGGTAAATCCTAAAAATAAATATTCCCTCCAATAAACCGAGTGAACAAACTGACATACATGAGGCAAGAACAAACACAGTCTGTGTCCTCACCCGAGGCTGTCACATAAGCTGTACGTTTCATCAGTGTCCTGGCAGACCAGTTCCACAGCTCAGCTCCAGTGAGTGTGCTCCAGGGCATACTTTCAGAGGCCCCGGCCCCTCGGCCACGCCGCCTCGACTTCTTTTTGGTCTCTTCCCCCACAGCAGTGGGAGTGAAGTGGGGAACCAATAGGCAGCAGAGGAAGTGACTGACAGCTGCAGAGACACTTGGCACATCCACACCCTGCAGAGACATAGCCAGAGGCTGATAGCTCATTCTTTACAAAATGCAAAGAACCACACCTGCATTTTTTTTTTTTTTTTTTACTAAAAACTACCTGAAGGAAATTGTTGAACACTCGTCTTGCTGAGCGGATGAAAATTTCACCAATGACCAACCTCTGTTTGAGACAGAATGAGGGACGTTAGAAAGCACATAAAGGAGGGTAACTACTCAATGGGAGTACTTCAAACATCAACTACACTGTAAATTAAACACACCAGTATATGCCTCAGGCGCTCCTTGTGTTCTGACTGGTTGATGGCCTTTACCACATGACCCAGATAGCGCAGATTGATGCCTCTCTGATGGAGGATCTGTTTTAGAGAAGTGCCATCCATTGGTGCCTCGTTGCTTTGTAGGCAGTGCTCAACCTGCAAGCACACACACACACACACACACACACGTTTACATATGCTGATTTTGTTTCATGTTTGCACTAGATCCTGCGCTTATTAAAGTATGCAAACAAAAGATCCTCTTACAAATGCAGGTATCTGATGTGTGATGATCAAAACTGCAGCTTCTCTCAGCAACCTCTCCTGCAGCTTTGTTGACATGCTTTCAGCAGGAGGGAAGGAAAGCCCTGAACACGAAACACAAAAAACACGTTTGTTTGTTTTTTAACCCGTAGTGTGTTTAGTGTCAGTGTGTGTGTGTGTGTTTGTGTAGTTTCCTTTGGTACCTGGAGAGAAGATGTCTGGGTTAAGGCGCATCTCAAAGATGATGTTGCTAACAGAGCCCACTTCTTTACAAGCAGCTCGTACTGCATCAGTGGATCGAGAGTCACCTGCAAGTATGAAAATATTAATCAGGTATGAAATGAGCATACGTTGTGTAAGCTCTCACTATATTTTCCAATTGCCTTCATCTAGATCTTTTAAAACACTTCTTACCAGCTGTTGCACATTCTTCAAACCCTCCATTCTCCTCCAAGATCTCTCTCACCCGCTGTGTGAACTGGCAATATCTAAAAGGAGAACAGAAACAGAATTCAAACTTTAAAAAAGGTAAAAAAAAAACCCAGAGTTTTAAGCTGTTTAATTTCATGTGAAACTCACTTGTGCTGGATAAAAAGCTGCACCAGTTCTGGCCTCAGTCTGCAGAGTGAGTGAGGAAAGCTCTTTGGAAGCCCCAAGTCTGACTGATAACTCTCAGGAAAACCCTCTTTTACACAACTCCTCTTCTCCTCCTTCTCTTCACAGCTTTCTTTACTCCCCTCTTCCCCTGTTGCTGTCTGACTGTCTGTCTCCACCTCAGGACAGAAGTTGACATCAGGTGGAAAGGTCCTGAACACATCCAGTATGTAGAACCTCCCATCAGCCCCCAGCAGTCCTTGGGCATCCACTGAGGTGAACAGCGGTACCAGGTAGTTGTTTGGGGACACAACCGTGTGTTTCTGGATGGAAAGAGATTTTGCAGCTTGAGCCAGGTGCTCTAAAAGTCGTCTGCGCTGGGGGGACTCCTGGGGTCCCGCATTTACCCCGTATAGCAAGCCTCTATAGAGAACAAGAAGAAAGACAATAAACAGTGTGACAATACAGCCACAGTTTACTGGTATACATTGTTTCCATAAGGTGTACCTTGAGGCTGGAGTAGTTTCCTTCTCTGGCTCAGCACTCTGCAAACCAGGAGCCAGACCCTGAGCAGTAAGACGCACGCCTCTGTAGTCTACAACCGCTGTAGGCAGAGTGTGTAGACCCTCCAGACCCTCTATGTTAGTGTAGGCCTGGACTCCTCTTAGCTCCAGTCTCTGAGCAGCCCTGCATGTAATGTAGACTTGTAGATTATATCATATCATACCATAATGTATAGTATCAAATCATATCGTATTGTATCATATTGCAACATACCTCATAATACCATATCTTATTGTAGCGTATCATATTGTATAACAATGTGTTTTATCGTATCTAACTGTATCAAATAGTATCTTTCATATGGTATGCTATGCCATTCTTGAAGTGAAACAGTAAAACAGAAACTATTTCATAATGTTCTTATCAGTCACACTTGGGGTGTGCTCTCACCTGCGACCCCTCTCTCCACCATACATTGCATTTGCGGTCCCCTGGTTCATGAACAGGCCCCCCCACAGGAAAGCCGGGTCCTCAGGGTTTCCATTCACAGGTTCCACATTACCGTCTACAACAGTCCCAGCCGCCTGTGACGCAGCCCTGATAAATGCACTGTTTACCTGAGGAGACAGGTATAACAGGTACAGAGGACGACAGGTGAGGACAAGAGAGATGAATTTTTTTTTTTTTTTAAATGACACAAACTGTTGGTTACCTGGAGCAGAGCTCTGTCTCTCTGCAGGCGCTCCTCCAGACTTAGCAGTGGAAGATCTCTGGCTGCTTGCAACTCCTCATTCCAGTCCGGACCCTAAAAATAACACGCGTAATTACATATTCACTGCCAAAGCAGGTCAATCGATAAACAATTACAAAATATTGTTTAGTGTTGTGTAATAAATAACCTGTGTAGCCGACTGATCATCCAGTCCCAGTCTGCTGAAGGTGTTTTTGTGAGTGCGGGAGGCGCAGGGAGGCCCGAGCCAGCTCAGAGTGTGGTAGGGAGTAGGCAACACTTCTGCTGGAGGTAACTGGAGCCTAAAAGAAGGAAAACAATCAACTTTATATATATTTATACACACCTCACTGTATCCCACTGCACTACCCCTGCTTCCTTAATATTTTAAGAGATGTCACATCATTCATTGGCTTATAGCGTTACCTGTTTTTGCGTGCGGTAAAAGTTTGTTTGAAGGCGGGGCTTATTTGACAGAGCAGATCAGTGAAACAGTGACAAAGTGGGGCCGTCTGTGCAGGACGAGGATCAAACACTTCTTCCGTTGACCTGAGATATAACGTGAAAAGAATTCAGAATCACACTGAAACATTTATAAAAGATAATTATTTCATCAAAGCAGCCTGATGAAAAAAAAAAAAAAAAGGAAATAACACAGTTGGGTACATAATAAACAAATATGAAGATTAAGACAACACATAGAAAATACAAAGTATTATGAAAGTATTTTTTTTTTTTTTTACCTGTTGAGAAAAAAACCTTTTGGGCAGGATGTGATGTCACACCGCCGACCTTCTAAGGTTACCACACTGATGTACAGGAAGTCTCCCTGCAGCTTCCTGTGTCCAGGAGGCGGGTTCCAGCAGCTCAGAGACATGTCTCTGATGTAGCTGGGAGCCTAGTGAGACACATTTAAAGACATAGGGAGTCAGTGTTTGAATCACAATGACCCGGTGTGGAAGAAGACTCCTGGTGTGACATACCTCTGGTTGGGAGCTGTGTGGCAGCAGGGCCATCAGAGGTCTCTCTGAGGAACCCGGGAGGAGGTACTCAGGAGGAGCTCCGTCCTGAATGGGTGTTTCTGTTTTTGTGTTGCTCAGAGATCGTTTGAGGCTCTTTCCATTTGGTAAGCTAGAGTCTGATGCAGAATCAAAGGGAGATTTTAGGGTGAGCTTGACCTTTAGCTTTGCATATTTGTGTACTGCACAGTATGTGTGTACCTGGTGATTGTGTGAGTGTCTCCAGCACACTTGGTGAACGTCCTTCTCTCAGTGCATCCTGAGGTCCTGGCGCTCTCAGCAGCTCCAGCACACGAGCCAGATGGAGGTCGGACGAGCGGGAGGTGTATGACTCTGGAAAGACACAGCATGAATATAAACGTTAGACTGACCTCTATGAAACTGTCAAACTGCAAAAGACAAATATTTTCTAGGATAAATATATTTTCATCTTTGATGTGTACTCTCATAGACCTGCAGTGTACATTTTGTACACAGTCACATTTTTGCTGCAGGATGGTTTGTTTCAGTATTTTAACGAAAGGCAGACTAATTGGTTTGCACGCAGCTGTAAACTTAGCAACCATAAACCTCTTCAGAAAAGGTGAGTCAGCTATTTACATTGAGCTGAGAAAAACGTAAGTGTGTTTCATAGGTGTGTGAAAGGGAAAGCGCTACGAGTGTGATGATATCACACAGACTGGATTAATCTTCACCACAGAAGCTGAGAACTGTCATCATGCCAGCTATTGTTTTCCATGTTAATTATTTCAATATTGTATGACAACAAGCAAACATAAAGATTGCTTCCCATCATAACTTCAAATGTTTATTTGAGATCAGGAGAGCTATTTGAACATACAAACATGGTGTCCAGACAACTGTGTAAAATTTGGATCAATGCGTCAGACTCCAGCTACTTCAGTCAAGTTACACTGATTTCATTGTGACCCTTTATTGTAAAACATTCAGATCTCTCGTCATTTTATGAAAATGCTAGCCTGGCTGCAACTCTGCTGCAACACAGACAGTGTACCTTTTCATTGAATGGTCTTGTTTTCTCATGAAGTAAGTATTTTTTTTTTTTTCCACTGTCTTAACAAGAAAGATCTCTTGTTATTCTGACATAAAGGCATACAAATAATTACATACACTGCTGTTCTCTGCTGTCTTATGCTGAAATTTCCACATTTACCTATCGTACTATGAATGACAAGAAACTTATATTTAAGTGAAACAATATTTCTTTAACAGCTGGAAAAACATTCAACAGAGTGAAAGCTGCATTACACACCAAACTACCGCTGAAAAGCTTAGAGTGACGAAAATATCTAGGATAGGATAGAATAATATTTTATTGATCCCCAGAGGGGAAATTCGGGTGTTACAGCAGCACAGACAAGAAAGCGTCCTACAAATGCAGACTGGAAATAAATCGGAACTAATGAGAGGAAACTGTGCAGATACCTTCCACAAGGCGCATGACGGCTCCTGGTTTGAGCCCCTTGATGCTCTGTAGTTCTGTGAGGGGGTCCAGGGTCGTGCCAGTAAGTGCCAGGGACAGGTTGGTGCGTGGACACACCTCATCCCTCGAAAGCAGAGTCATCACTGCGTCTTGAACAAGCCAGAATCCATGAACCTACAAAAACACAGCAAGTCAGTAAGTCAGCAAGTTAACTATTCAGGATAAATATAGTGAATCAAAGTTTTTTGTCGTCTCGCTTCCACAGCCAGTTTCTTTGACTTGTAAATTATTTGTATACAGTAGAATGAATAAAGGAAACAATAATCATGTTTTAGTACCTGCAGCTCAAAAGACTCCACTCCTGCTCCTTGGATCTTCACAGAAAACGACGTGTCCTCATCCTGCTTAATACCCAAGGCCTCTTTTCCACCAGTCTGACTCACTGCGTCTGTTTGAAGGAGAAGTCAAACAAAACTAACTCAGGATAATCACAAAGCTCTGCAACAGACAAGGTTATAGTTTCGGTTGTTTCCTGCCCTCAGCTCATTACGTGCTGGGAATACTTCCAGCTCACTACGACTCTGAAAAGACTTGTGCTGCTGTATGAATCACTGAGTGAAGGAATGAATGAATGGATTACAGTATTGACTTGCAACAGTTCAGATTGCTCCGTCCTTTGTACAGTAAAATTACCCTGAGCTGGACTGAAGAGTCAGAGTTTGTGTGTGTGTGTGTGTGTGTGTGCCTGAGGGCAAGAGTGAGAGTGAATTTGTCACAGAAAGAGAGAGCTGGGGTGTGTCTGCTTTCACACACACACTCATACAACCAGAGGGAGAGCAGGACCCAGCGTGTTCCTCAACCTGCAGTGTGACTAAACCTGTTGAATTTGCCTACTGGCCTCCATGTCATCTCAGAGTGAAGGGACAACCACACCCAGCCCTGGCATGGGCAGACAGCAGAACAATCAAACACTTAAATGAACAAACCCACAGTGTGTCAGCCGAGCACACCTGCATGCATGGATGCACACACATATTACACTTTTGACACACAGAGCAAAGCAGAGAAATCACCTTGGACTCGCTGTACTCAATTGTACAGTGAATCTTCAGTTCATGCTGTCAATCTGGCACTACTTTGCAACTGGAAAGCACCCAAAAATAGCTTCTCTGTTCATGATTGGCTGGATGTAGGTCCCTCCTCTCGGAGCAATCAGCCTCCTTTCTATTGAAGCTGCTCCCTCACTACTACAGAAAACTATGCTGATTTCAGCCATGACAAGTTTATCTTGGCCAGAGGTGTCAAAAGTATTGAAATTCATTACTCAGGTATAAGTATAGATACTAGGGTTTCGAAAGACTTCTGTAGAAGTTGAAGTATCAACTCAAGCTTTTTACTCAAGTAAAAGTGTAAAAGTACCTGGTTTCAAAACTACTTAAAGTATAAAAGTAAAAGTAATGTAAGGGGGAACAAAATGTCATTAAGGACAAAAGATTAGGCCGCACCACAGGGGCCTATAGTGCTCTACCCCACATCCCCAAAAAAACATATTTCTACAGGCCATAATGACTATAATGTTATATTAAAATGTTAATGTTGAAAAATTTGGGAAGCAGCTGTTTCAGCCGCATTTATGCCCATTGAAAATGAACGCATTTTAATACAATGCAAATACATTAAAGAACCATATATGTGTACTACTGAGCATTAACATGTGTTTCATGGAGCAGAAGATATGATGACTGGTTGCCTGTAAGTATTGTAATGGTGCAGAAAGTCAAACTTCAGAGGCATGTTATCAACAGCCTTTATTGGAATGTAAATGTACATCCAAGCTTAGCTGCAGGAATCTGTGAGGGCAACGGATTTAAGATAACAAAGCTGGACAAGAAAATTGGTGTACCCCAGGGAAGGCTTAGGAACAATTACCTTGTATGGTTGTCTCTGCCACGGGCAGAGTGTGACGTGATTTGTATCATGTGCAGGTGCGATGGATCTCGTACAAACCAATATGGTGTCGGAATGCTATATGTTTATACTTTTCATCCAACCACAGTCAAATTCACTCTATCCGGACGGCGTGATTTATCTGGATAGATTTTTTTTGTGTGTTTTTTTTCAACGATGACAAGCCGAAATGAAATAGGAGTAACTAGGCTATTTTTAAAACGTAAGGAGTAGAAAGTACAGATAATTGTGTGAAAATGTAATAAGTAGAAGTAAAAAGTCGACTGAAAAATAATTACTCCTGTAAAGTATAGATACTCAAAATTTCTACTTAAGTAAGATAACGAAGTACTTGTACACCTCTGACTGCAGAGTAAACACACACTCTGCCTTAATTCAGTCATTCTGTCTGTTTGAGGGGGAGTGGCAAAGGTTAAAAGAGGTTAAGAAGCCTACTTCAGACTGTGGAGACACAATTATAAGTAAAAGAAAAAGGTGGGGGGAGTTAAACTTTAAAATAGGTTTTCATTTTGAATGAGAGAGCAAAACGCATACATTTTAAAGATTGAGTTCAAAGGATCATCATGAAAATGTATGTATTCTCCTGAGATGTTAGGTTTGATCGTCAGGTTCTGTTTGAGCAAATCTAATACAAAAGTGAAAATAACAGATTCTCGTGTTCAAAGCAGAGAAAAGCACCAGCCATGTTCAGAGCAGCAGAGCGGTGCTAAATGTCCCACTCTCCTCACATTCTCCAGTGAGGGAGGAACCACACGCAACAAAAAAAAGAAGGCAGAGGGAAGTGAAAAGAGAAGGCACAGAGAGTGGAGCGGAGAAGAACAAAAAAACACATCGCAAGGATTTCTTACCAGCCTTGGCCTGATTTCTTCCTCCTCCCTTCCTCACTTTGTCCTTCATGGCTGTGTGTTGAAGTGTGTTCTTCAGCTGTCCTCTTGTGTTTTCACTTCTTTGCGCTGGTAGTTGCTTCCCCTTTAAAGTCTAGCTTCAAAGTGCTGAAAGTATGCAGCAGAGGGGGAGAGACGAAATGTACAGCTGGATTGTTTGAGAGCCCAGCAGAGTGAAAGTTAAAATGGTTGTCTGCTCAGGATTGTGACTCTTGTCCCTCTTTGCAGGGAAAACTCAGCTTATCTGCTCTCCGTGAGGAAAGCCACACCCTCTTATTGCTCCACACAGGCTTATAACTCTGCATGTCTCTCACACTTTGTTGGACTGGGTGTGTCTATGAACCACTCACTCTTCCTTCCTTGGAAGAACTCACTCCTCCCTCCTGCAACAAGCCCTGGAGGAGAGTTGTGAATTTAACATTGTGTTGTTGTTTTTTTTTTTGCCATAAAGTATTGTAATTTTCAAATGTTACAATGAATTTATAAAAACTAGGCATATTCTTATGTTGATAACATTAGTAGTTAACTGTTTAGTAAACACATTCATTCCTTTTATCCAAAGTGTCATGGGAGTTCTCTGTTGCGTCCTCTGTGTTGACTCATGATAATGAAGTCAGTTTGCCAAAAATATGACAATGTTGAGACAGTTCACCTGCCGCAAACGGGTGTGGCTGATCATTCATAGCTGAGAGGCCTACACCTACATGGGCATTTTACAAATACCCTTGTGCATATTGCGGTTCAAATCAGATATCTGGGCTTTAGGGTTAGGCTGGTTAGGCTGATTAGGCTGATTAGGCTGAGCAGGTGTGTTTTTTTTGTTTGTTTGTTTTTGCCTGAATGCCATGCGATGTTAATTTGAATTCTATCTAGCATCTGCGGTCTGTTAGGCCACACTGGTGACTACCTCTGAGCAGAAAGACAGGAAAATCAAGCTGACAATCAAGACGTTCAACAAATCACTCCTGCAACTGTTAGACATGATGGGGGGACAAATATATATTGATTTGTCATATTATTTGTAAAAGCAAAAAAACATTAGCCTATACTAGGGTATATCCCTTTTGCAATTATTAAATACATTTAAAAGTAACCTAATAAGCAGCAGTTCCTGTCGTCTATTTTCGTTGAAGTATGATTTCCCCCCTTTTTTTTTTTTTTTTTGCAGCAGTTACAAAATGTAAACAATGTCGTGACGTCAGGCGGCGGTGGCCTTCTGATGTTTCATGTTGTGATTCTCGTAAATGTGAAATTTATTCCGGTCAGCTACGTGATGAAACTCATTATTAGCCTACCTTCTGTTACAGAATGATTTGAACATTAATAATGTACGTTTTTATTCAATTAGCCTATTTTTCCATAGGTTTTGGAAACTGTGTTAATGTTATTTATTCAGGCACATTTTATAAGATGGGGAATAATACAATTAGTTTTATATTCATAGAGTTATTCGTTACATTAATTGTACCGCTAATGTTAAATGTGTGAGAGTTGGATCTCCGAGCAGACAGTAAGAGGGCCATAATCCGCTCAGTGCTTGACTATATGTGTGTGTTGCCTGGTTCTGCTGCCCCAGCAGTGTTAGATAAACTTGATGTTTTACAGGCTAAAGCTTTGAGAGTTTTAAGTGGAGCATTCAGGAATATACAGTGAAGAGGTGAAGCCCCTCTGGAGCTTAAAAAATGAAGTTAGCCTTCCATTATTGTGTCAAAGTAAGTGCAAATGAACCAAACTTTCTAACTATTTGCCAACACCTGGAACAAACAGGGAAAATAAAAATGCTTAACTTTGTGAACTCCATGAGGCAAAAAGCAGGTGAAGTTATTGAATAGGAAAGTGGAGTCAATCATCTGTTGGCCTCCCACTCAGTGGCTGTTGCCTGAACCTGTCAGACTTAATATTGTCAAAGGACAAAAAGCTGGAGATCTAAATAAAGCCATGGAGCATCAGAAGAAAGTGGGGAAACACCATGTACATCTACTGATGGTTCCAGAGACCCCGTACAGGGAGAGCTTTCAGGGTGTTTATATGGGAACTTAAAAAGGGAATGGGTGAAGGCTTCCTGATCGGTATACAGCAGAACTGTTTGCTATCCTCTGTGCCCTGAGGTGGATTGACAATAAAATACCTCAGTCTAAAGTAACTACTTGCATAACAATAAAACACCGTAAATCCAAGGCCAGACCAGACACAATGACAGAAGTTATGTTGGCAAAATCTAGATTCATCATTTGGGATGCAGTGTGGGGTTTATGTAGGTACCAGCTCATATAATTCAGGGGAATGAAGCAGCAGATGAAATAGCAAAAAAAAAATAATGGAAATGTATTCAATAACCCAGTTAGGAATTACCAAATCATAGCAAAAAGTGCAGGACAGGGAACACAAAGGCAGACATTTATATCTGTAACACATTGTGCTCCTAAAACCTGCATGGAGAAACGAAAGGACCAGGTTAAGATGCTGAGGCTAAGATTGTGGGGTTTTTAAAGTGGGTTAGCCCTGGTGGGAAGTATCAGTGTGGACAGACAGGGACAGTCCATGTCCTCCTTAAGTGCAGTCTCTACTCAGAGCAAAGAAAGGGAAACTTTACTGAGACCTCATGGACCTGGGAGAAAATGTCTTCAACCCTATCAACCCTGCAGGTTCAAGGAGTCCCAAAGAAAACAAAAAAAAAACAGCCAGAATTTCTGCAATCCTCTGGTCTGTATACCAGCGGATATAAGGACTAAATAATTGCTGACTTCAGACTGTAGGGGGCAACAATACGCCAAAGCTGCGTCTAGTCTGCCAATCCAAAAGAAGAAGACTAACCAGCTGGCATTTGACAGGCTGTCCTCTGCTAACCGAGCTAAACAGCAGATACAAATCCTCTGTATTAACTACAGGTATAACTTCATGTGAAGCTGTGGGTGAGTAGAAGCAAACGACTGGTACTTTATTTTTGCTTTAAGGTTGAATGTAGAAACAGGTTGTGAAAAGAGTTTGTCACTGCTAGTCCTCATAACTCAGCTGTTAGCACACACCTACTAACCTTTAGGATCATTGTGTTCTGGGTGTGTTTGTCACCTTTTTTTCAGAAAACACCACTAACCTGGAGATAAGCGTCGTTGACATCAAGAGTCATAGATACATTTTAATAGGACTGGATGGATAAATAAACTAAATTAGCTTACATTAACACGACTGTTTACATTTCCCATTCCGTCCAGCAGCTAATGAGATATGAGCTGGGATCACAGTACTGTTCACCATGTTGCTCTCTCATACTAAAAACATGTCAACAACATGCAGTCCACAGCATGTTGTTGTATGACAGCGCCTCCCCTTTTTGCTCTCCAGTGTCGGGCTCCGTGTTGTTGTGACCCCCTTGCCCCTCCTCCGGTCAGAGCTGAGGGTTGGGGTCACGTTTTGGACTAATGTCATGCAGTCCAGGTGAAGAGGGGGTCCTTCCAAGGCCGCCTCAAACGTCAACACCCAGGAACTGCTTGACACCCCCAGTGGGACTGCGGCTGCAGGGACAACACCTGAGAATCCGGTAAGGGAGCACACGTGATTTCGTTCTTGGTCTAACAATTGTATTTTGTTTTTCAGGGGTTGGGATCTGGGTTAGACATTGCAGATGTTACTGGTTGAAATTAAGATTAATAAAGTAAAGGGTAACACAAACGTGTGTGAAACAGACTTTAACACAACTCAAAGTAACAACTCTGTAAAGTTTAACATTGGCCTTTATTTCAAGATATAAAAAAATAGATTGGATGTATTTTTGCAAACAAGAACGGTTAATCTCTGTTAAAGAGTATTTTCAGTCCTGTCATTATTTCTCGTTGATCAGCTGCATGGGTACAGAGGACGACTTCCATGGGTCCGTTCCAATAAAGTTTATTTTCAGTCTTTGACTAGGCTGATCGGTGATTAGGGAAACTCTTAACAGGTTTAAGCAATTGGATGAAGTCGGATTGAAGTAAATCTATCCTAAATGACAAATCATGATGACATATGACACATTTTTAAGGCCATGCCGGTACTGAGATATTTCATCACAACAGAAGTTTGGGTAATAAACTTTATCCTCTCGTTATTATTTATTTAAATCTAAGCGTGTATTTTAAACTTATTGCTCACTTTTTTTTAAAGACCAACAAAGGCTTTAAGAAAACCATAGTAAATTTGATTTATTGCTGAAAAATTACAGAGTTTGACTCCTTTTCCCTCAGGCATGTAGAGATGGCTGCTGCATTCTTTTACCTACTGAATGAAAGAGGTTAGAGAAGATAGTATTAAACTTATGGAGAGAGTATAATGAAAGTCACATACTGTCTCTCTGTAAGGCAAGAACATGTTTTACATTTTTGACACTGCAAGGTCCAGAGGAGACTATAGGAGCAGCTGTGTCTGCCTGTCAATTATAAGTGGGAATTATTAAGTAAAGTATTATGAATCATTTTCCAGATGATTTACTGCTGGAGGAACTTTGTTTTCATGTAACTTGGCCATTCATAAAACAGTTGGATATCAGAGACATACCAGCTGAATATCAAAGGGGATCATTTCTTTAAGGAGGGTTTTGTCTCAAAATCAACTCTCTATACTTGCTGAATGCACATTGTCAGCTGTGCACAAAGTAGGCGTTTGTTGTTGTGCACAGTGCTTGTAAGTGATTCATTGGAAAAAAGGTTGTTTACAAGCTGAAGCTGCATCAGTTGAGAAAAAGACAAGTGATAGCTTGTAGAGGAGGAATGAACAAAGAAGCGTGACGCCTTCCTGTCCTTTCCTTTGTCTGATGGTTCCTTGATACAAGCTTAAAATAGGGACACAGACTGAACTTAGACTTCAGTATTTACTTATTTTTAAGAATACAAGGTTAAGCAGTGGATTTTCTCACAAGGAAAACAATTTTGAATAAGTGTAGTAGCAGGAATTTGATTTCTTTGTTCTCATCTGAGAAATATTGAAGACATTAAGAAGAATTATTGATTAAGCATCTTGTCATCCTATTTTTCTTCCAGGTGTTGCCTGTCGTGGATGAGGCCTCTCCTTGTTCCACTTCCTCTTTCGAGATGCTTGACATGGAGTCCGTCCCGGCTCCTTACCGAGAAGTGCAGCCTCACTGGTTCTACTGCAGACGGGCTGAGGAAAGCACCTCCTGGCTCCCTTTCAGCAGAGAAGACTCTGAAAAACTGGAGAATGCCTGGACCACAGGTAAATACACTTACCGTTAACAGCAGTTTAACTAAAAGCTCAAGTTTGCCATCATGTCAGTATTATCTCATTATGATTAAGAGAAAGGATACAGTATGTGCAGTTTTTTGTCTTAAATTTATTAATTATCTACTTATATAAAAAAATTCATATCCAAAAGGAAGAATATAAACCAACAAAAAAGAGCAGTGAATAAGTTCAAAGTGGGACAGGATGGCAGTTCTGTCACCCACACTCTTTCAGAAGGAGAAGTCCATTCATTCCATCGGAGGGCAACAAATGATGCAGCTGCAGAGGTCCAAGACAGCTCGCTATTGTTATTGTGCCATATTGTCCCATGGGTTAATGTGAGATCTTAGCTCGAAAATGGAACTACTCTACTAATCAGAAACATAGCTTGCAAAAAAAGTTAAGCTCTTGCGAATCCAATGCCAACACTTCAGCGCAGCACCAGCATACTCATAGAACCTTAGATTAAGATTAGAGCTACTTTTTAAAGTTTGTATATGATTGTGTTATTTTTGCAGTAAATGAAAAGAAGGAGGAGGTGGTGATAGCTGTGGAAGGAGAGCGGTATGATGTACATGTTAAGGGGAGGAAGCGCTATGCTGTGTACTGGGAGCAAGCTCCCACTGAAGTCCGGCGCTGCACCTGGTTCTATAAAGGAGACAAAGACACCAGGTTTCTTCCATATCCTGAGGACTTCAGCCAAAGACTGGAGGTAGCCCGACACTGAACCCTCCCCATCACACTGCCCAATCCTAAAACTTCTGATCCATACTTTTCCTAATACTACGTTAATGCTAAGCTCTTTTCATATGCGTCCTTAATCCTACATCTACAGGAGGCCTATATGATTGCAGTGACTTTAGACGAATGGAAGACAAAACTGGAGTTTCCCACCGGAGAGACCGTCATTCTTCACAATCCCAAAGTAAAGCCTGCTGTTACAACGTCACTCGTAAACTAAAAGATATTCGTTGAATGTGTACTTCTAAAAGTCCTCTTTTCTATCATTTCCCTGATCCGGTCTCAGCTTATAATGCAGTATCAACCAATAGGATTGCAGGATGAGTGGGTGTCCTCCCCCTCAGAGCAGACCCGGCCACAAACTGTAAAGAGGGCAGTGGAGAACATCTCTGTAGAGATACCTGATGGTATGTGTATGCATGTACTAGTGAGATATAGAACATAGAATATACTTTTTTTTTTTTTTTAAACAGCAGCAGCATGAAAATTTAGGGCTCATATTTGTTATTTGTGCTCCTAGGTGAACCAGATAAAGTGGACCACCTCGTCTTTATGGTCCATGGCATCGGCCCTGCATGTGACTTGCGCTTCAGATCCATCATACAGTGTGGTATGTGTGACTTTGTGTGTGTGCGCGTATACTTTATTTATATATACTGCATATGCATATACTGCATCCTCTCCTTCTTAAACATCTCCAGTCAATGACTTCAGGAGTGCTTCCCTGTCCCTCCTGGCCTCTCATTACAAGCGGGCTCAGCAAGATGGCGGTATAGGGAGAGTGGAGTTCCTACCAGTCAACTGGCACAGTGCGCTACACGGGGATGCCACTGGTGTGGACGAGTGAGTATTAAGAATGATAGTTTCTGTGCAGAATAAAATGTATTATTGATTATTCTTATTCTTATTTATGTCTCATGTTTGCAGAAAAGTTCAAAGTCTGCCCTGCCTGCCTTAACTTTCTCCCTCATTCACCTCTTTCTAGGGACATCCAGAGGATCACTCTCCCCAGCATCAGTAGGCTGAGACATTTTACCAATGACACTCTGCTGGACCTGTTTTTCTATAACAGCCCCACCTACTGCCAGACCATAGTGGACACAGTGGCTTCAGAGATTAACAAGCTTCACACCCTCTTCAAACAGAGACACCCAGAGTTCAACGGGGCCATTTCAGTCGTAGGACATAGCCTGGGTATGACATGCACAGGTTAACATAAAACAAACGCAAAGTGTTTGAAGTACTGACTTTTAGCTGTTTCCCTCCCCAGGTTCATTGATCCTGTTTGACCTGCTAACCAATCAGAGGAATGGATCAGACGGGGTACAGTGGCATTTGCATCAACACTAGTATACTGATAAAAAGGTTGCATATTTCTCTACATATTAAGAAGGTCAATTCTCTATTCTGTCCTTCATTGCGCTGAAGGTGCCTTCTGATGAGCCCTTTCGTCTGAACTCTGCCACTCTGGAGCAGATTCTTACCAGACTTGGCCTCCAGCAGTACCTGGATACACTACAGGCAGAAAACTTAGACCTGGAATCCCTGGTAACATACACACACCCACACACATAAAGAATATACAAAATTAATTCATAATGCAGGGTTAAAACTTGTGGATTTCCTCTTATAGGCTCTTTGCCAAGACAGTGATCTCAAAGATTTAGGAATTCCCCTTGGACCACGTAAGAAGATCCTGAACTATGTCAAGAGGAAATGGCTTCCAGAGGTCAGAAATATTTGGATCAATATTATATTCCCCATTATAACCTTTCACATTGATGTTTCATTAATCTGCAGTTTGTTGGATGGTTTAGTTCTTGGCATTGATATAGGTTCAGTGCCAAGTTCAACAAATAATCCACCTTTTGCTAAACAAACCACATAACTACATGCATGACTTAACCATTGTGTGTGTATTTACACAACCATTGATGTAGATTTTATGGCTAATGCTCAGTGTATTGAGTGTTTTTATAGCTGTTATTACATTACAAAGAGAGGATGAAACTATCTCAAGAAACTGGTTACCTGTATCAACAGGGAGAAACGGGCATTGTCTAAGCTTATTTGATTTATGCTTAGGAACCCTCTTTCCAAATGCTTGTTAACATTGTTTAGTATCTACTTTTCAGAAGTAGGTCAAATAATATCATATATACCTTACTCTAAACAGGATTGTAGGACAGTTCGTTTGGCACCAGGGTTGCAAGTCCCACCTCCAGAGACGAGTGATCCTGATGGTAACCAGCCCTCAGGACTGACAATGCAGCAGTCCCAATTCCACAGGGCGCAGTCCATCACCAGTGCTGTGGACTATGAATACTTTGACATGGGCATCGGACAGGTACCACACACTGACATAAATATTTAAACTTGTGCTCGGGATAACATGTAGATAAATGCTGTGATGCATCACCTACCTGCTTCTTTCCTCCATCGCTTGCCTGGACAGACCAATGGAGGCATAGCCAAGGGACAGGTGTGTCTCACATGGTGCCGCCATGCTCTCAGGCTTTTTTCTTATCAAATTGTGCCTGGAGTTTCTCCAACATACAGTCCGATCTCAAGGCGACTACATTACAGTGGTTATTTAAAGAATATTAGGATATTGTGTGATGATAGAGGCTACCATCTTTGTCCCATCAAATCAGACAACACAGCACCACACTCTGTCTCTGTGCTCATTCGATCCTGCATGAGTGGTCAGCCCCCTGATGTCCTCGTCACCTGCAGTCATACTCCCTGCCTGTTTTTTTATGTCATAAAAATTGTTGTTTTAATGTTCCCTACACACCAGGGAATTCATTAATCTGTCCGTCTGGTTATCTGTGTCTTCATCAAAAATGTAGTTTAAGGTCTGACATTTTTTAACACCAAATGTTTCCAACTCCACCTTTCATCCCCAGGTTTCCATCGACTACCCACAACTGGCTTTCCACCCTCAAACATTTTTTGCCTTCGGCTCTCCTATTGGGATGTTCCTGACTGTCCGTGGCCTCAAACACATCGACCCCAACTACACCTTCCCCACCTGCAAAAGCTTTTACAACATTTACCACCCAGTGAGTAATCCCATATAAATTGTATCTGTCCATTCATGCACACAACCAGTAATCTTCTCAAAAAAAAAGCAGCTTTTCTTTGCCACGGTCTGAATTTTTTGTTTCATTTGCAAACAAAGAGAATTTCACAGGGCAGATATTAATGAATTTTTTCAAAAATTTAAACATGTAACCACAGCAGTAAATTACAAATTAAGAATACAGGCAGCAGTTTCACAACTATGAATTTCATAAGAACAAAAGCAGATATCATGAAGACAACCTCTTTATTGTGGTGCAGTATGACCCTGTGGCCTATCGGATAGAGCCCATGATTGTGACCGAGACAGACCTGGAGCCCATGTTGATTCCTCACCATAAAGGTCGCAAGAGGATGCACCTGGGTAAGGCTCTCTGTTTCCTCTTATTGTCTTCATGAAACTTTAATGTGGTATTGGCTTCTGTTTGGCTTAATGATAATCTCTGTCTCTGTTTGCCTGCTAGAACTAAAGGACAGCTTGACCCGTATGAGCATGGATTTGAAAAACAATGTTTTGGGATCGTTGCGGACGGCATGGCAGTCCTTGGCAAGACTACCAGTAGCTGCGCTGCCCCCAGTAGAGGAAGGAGAAAATACAACGCAGAGAGACCTTCAGGAGACACATGGTAGATATTTGCCTTTTTGTATTTGTGTTTTGTATGTACGCATGCACAAGAATGTGTCTATACCAGTGTCCTTGCACTCCTCTCACCCCTCTCTGCATGCAGCACCCTTCCAATCTCTTATTCTGCTCTGTGTGTTTTTTGCTGTGGCCCTCCTGAACCTTTACCTCCCTGCCTCTAACCTCAGCCTCAGGGCAGTCACTGCTTCTGCTAAGATGGGGGGAAAAAGTGCTGATATTTGGACTAAAATGCTGGAGTGGCCCAGGGCCCCTCATAAGAATTATGCACTAACCTTTCTATATATCTAAACTGCAACTCAGCATTCCGTTTACTAACACTTCCTTCAGGCTCTTTCCTCCCTCTCCGGCTGTCAGTTTTAATTCGTTTGAATTTATGAACTGCTTCACTGACTGTCAACATCAAAAACAACTACAGCAACCTGTCCATGCAGTTCTCTCCTAGGTACTAAACAAACAGTATAGTAGTGATTGCATTTGTTTTTTTAAGAATATTAGTTTACTGGACCTCAACCAACATGTAGTGTCATTCATCAGTAGCAGATCGCTTACAGAAGCTGCATGCAAGTACATGTCCTGCCCTTTCTAACTGCACCTCAGGTTCTACCGTGTCAGTTGATTAAATTGATCAAATGTAATTCAGCTGCTGTAAGGACAGACTGTGCAATTAAATTACACAAAACCTTGTTTGTCTTCCTTTTCACTAACAATTAAAGATGACTCGCACTGCCTTTATTTGTTGTTTCAAGTATAGTGATACAAGATCCAAAAATGTAGATGTCTATTTGGGACACAAACAATGTAATTTGAATACAATATTTTTAGGTTTTCCATTTAGATAACAAGTCAACACAGAGGTTGATTGTCTAAAATAGTCATTAAAAATGTATCAGATGCTAGCAGCCAGCATTTCATTGGGGTTCATCGGCAGTGCACTAAGATCTTTGTGAAGACAACAATGTTTATGACATACAATCACTTATCATGAAACAGAACCTGTCTGTCATTTAGTCCACATCATACGGGTAACTAAGGGGGGGATACATAGAATTCATCTGGTCAAAGGAATGTGTTCAGTTCTAATCACAACAGTGTCTAAAAATGACTTAAGCTACTACAACGAATTATCTGTAAGCCCAAAGGGCCCAAAGAACAATGTTCTGAAACTGACAAACATTTCCAGCTTCCAAAATAATTGCAAACATTGAAACAGCATACATTAGAGCTCCTGTGAGGAGTTCTTATTAGTTGGTTATGAAACAGACTGAAATCAGTACCGATGCCTTTATTTGACCAACAAAAACAAATGAGTACATTTGAATGAAGGTTGATTATTTCTATAAATACATTTGTTCAAACCCCTGCTGGGTAGGTGCCAGATGATGTGATTAAAGTATGTTGCAGTAACAGCCTTTTTTTTTTTTTTTTTTTGCATTTTCTTAAGATTCACAAAGAGTGTTACATTTAAATGTTAAAAGTAAGCATGATGAGATTTTGTGTTAAAAACACCACGCACACACATTTGCTGGACAAAATCAGTAAAGACACAAGACTTAAGATAATCTTTTTATCTTAAGAGGGGTTGTAGGGGTGCAGGTGGCCTGGCGGTTGGGTGCTTTCCCATTTGCAGGGGCTGTGGTGTGATTCAGGTCTGACCTATAGCTCCTTTCTTGCATGTCTTCCCCTCTCTCTCTCCCCAGTTTGCTGCTCTCTCTTCTGTCTTATCAAATAAGGGCTAACAGTTTAAAATGAATCTACAAACACATTAGTTGTAGACTGGTGTGAACCTTCTCCCTCCTGCATAGGTTTGTATACTGATTGCTGCAGAGAGCAACTTCTCTCTGTTCTCCCTTTTAATGATGTTCTTCATTTAAAAAAAAAAAAAAAGAGCTATCTGCTGCTGGCTGTTGTTTTTGTTGTCTGTTTGTTGGCTGCCTGTAGAGACTCATTCATCTTTACTTATGTCCCAGTAGCAGCAGTGTGTGAGGAGGCAGAGTCCTCATCCTCAACAGAGCAGACAGAGCAGCCTGAGATTAAAGTGGGGATGTTGAATGGAGGACGAAGGATCGACTTTGTACTTCAGGAAAAACCTATCGAGAGCTTCAATGAATACCTGTTTGCCATCCAGTCTCATCTTTGTTACTGGTGAGTTTTGCATACCTGTGGTGGGGTTGACCTACAGGAGCTGTGCTCGTTTGTATTTTATGTAACTGATATTGTTTCTTTCTTTACTCACATTTGCTTTTTTGCTTATTTTCAACAACAGTTAGTTATGTTCTCCCTTTCTGTCTATCCATGTGTCTGTCAGGGAGTCTGAGGATACAGCTCTGCTGCTGCTGAAGGAGATCTACGACAAGCAAGGTGTGGCCTTTGAACAGCCACAACAGTAATGAAATTTCATGAATGTCAACTTGTTTTCTCATCATGACTGTGACCTGAAAGTCATAAAATAAGACGCGCTGACAAAGCCAGCGGCTGCAACAATGCTCTTCAAGAATGCCTTACTGCCCTGCCCTCTCCGTCTCTCACAGTGGAGGCTGTTTGGCAGCAGTCAGGTGATTGTGTTTCAGATATGTCAGCCATCCTGTATTTTTGAGGCAAAGCAGTTTATTGGTGCCGCCTTAACGCCCATCACAGGACCTGATCTGATGTCTGAGAGTTGTTTCAAATTCCACCTAAACACCAGTGTTGTGCTCCTGGTTGCACTTTTCTTTCCATTTTAGGTAATGCTTTATTCTAAATTTTGCACTTTTTTGTACCAGCAGTTGTCAACATATGCATATCGCTGCAGCTCTATAAAATTGATACAAACAGTACTTATAATAATAGAAAAACAAAATCTAACAATTATACTAATTTCACATTCAATCTCTGGTAATACCTCTGGGCTGGCATTTTACAACCAAAAATATGTTTAAAACTACCAGAATATAATTCAAATAGTATATTGATTTAAGATTTAAAGTTGAAAGTATATCCCAGCAAATATTATAATGTTGATGTGTCTAACAGGACATGTCCGTCAAATCAAGTAGACTTTAAATCAAGTAAGCTTTCCCTCAGCCTAACAGTAGATCTTGCTTTTATCAATTAAGTGGTCAGGGGATTTTATCTGATTTGCTTTGAAATGTTTACTTTCTCATCAGGGAAATGAAGGTTCATTTTTTTGTGTTAAGAGTCCTCTTGGCAGCTACATTTTCTCTCTGTCAACATTGAGGACTCTTTAAAAGCCAAAGCTGCTACACTGACGTATGTGCAATGCAACAATAATATTGATTTCATTCAGTTTCTCATTTCCCACATGCAGTCCTGTCCTGTTCTGCAAACATCTTTAAAGGATATTTAACCCTCTGCTCATATTGCAAAACGTATTTCAGTTTGATCATATCTTCATATGGGTTTTAAAGAATCATCCTGATGAGGGTTTGTGTCATAAAGGAAGTAGTACATGCACATTCTTGAACTGACAAACTGGCTGTCTTTTCTAACTGTGTCTATGTACTGTATGTGTGCGAGTACAGCTTGTAGTTTATATTTTAGTAGTGTGCAAACTGCGAACAGTACTGAAAGACCAGTTTAACTTCCTCTCTCTGAGGTCCATGCCACTCCCGTAAAATGTTTTATCCTCTCTGATATTTTTGGTATTTGAGCCAAAATGAATCCTTCTGTAATATCAAACAACATTTTATTATTTTATTTAAACTAAAACAGACACCAACCAACACCAAACAGTTCATCCCATTACAGACCGGTATCTCACATATAATTAACTTTTTCATAATGGAAGGGCCAAATGGTTCATGTTCTCTCTTCTTTACTTGTTTCAGGAAATGGGAACATCATCTCTTCTATCTGTATTGCATGAGTTTCTTTTTAAGGTTAGAGCAGGGTTTCTCAACAGCTTCTGCCTCTGACCCCATTCTTAGGGCCCAAAATGTTCATATTCATAAAGATAGTTGTCAAGTGAAAATAATATTTTTTTTGTTTAAAGTGCATGGTAATAAGATTATATATAACTCATATTGAATACATTATTTTTTATTAAAAACAAGAAGAATCAAATATCTATTAATCAGTGTTATGAATATTGTTTATCAGCACTTTTCGTATCAACAACGTGGGATCCAGACTAGAAAATTGAGAAACTTTTTGTTGTGATTTGTGAAGTGTGATTTGAGATGAGTCATGTGTGATGGACTGATGGGGCAGCACAGCCCCCACCACCAAAGCTCTGAATAACCCTAAATGATATCTCAGTCCTCTGGGTATAACAGCCACAAAATATGTGCTTACACCTATTGAGCTTGTTCATTTTTCTTCATTAAATAATGCACTGAATCTTATCACAAAGATGTTTCCTTGAACATCCCCATTGTCTCTGTTACGTTCACTGTTTGTGTCTTAACAGTAACACTTGACTTTATGATCCCTGACAGAAAAACACTTTTGCACTCGATACATGTTGGAACTTATCAGAAACAAAATTGTTCTCGTTTCTAATAAAATTACCTACCAGTATGGTTACATTTTTTGTGTGCCATAATAAAAACCATTACAAGTATGTTTTGTCATTTTATTACATTTATAAAAGCACGCTCAATCTAAATGTGAAAACACAATATTGCCTTTTTATGTTGTTTTTTATTACTATTAACAGAAATTATTTAAATGTTAATTATTTTTCATCAGAGATAAGACAGTAGCTTACTCACAGTGTTCAGTGGTTCTCAAATGTACAAACTAAAAACATCGTTACTATGGCAAATCACGCGAGAGAAGCGCATGCGCAGTCGTGTGGACGACGCAGCAGCATCACTTGAAGCGGTTGTTTAGAACAACAGCCTCCTAGGACAGCTATTATGAGGCAAGTAAAACTTCAATTGTAAATAACTTTTTCTGTCTTATTTAAAAAGATATCCGGTGGTTGCGACATTTAATACTCTATAATATGGGTTTTTGTACATATTGTTCATGTAATTATTCGATATTTACGGCGCTAACGACAAGGTAGAAGGTGACCAGGACAAATAGGTTGGATGATCATGATACACGAGTTCAGGTAAAATGAACTAAATTTAAAGTCAGGCTTGCTCTATGTGCTGTGCGTGTGTCAGAAATTAAGACCTCAACTGTGAGCCTCATGTGAGTCATCTCAGTGGAAGAAAGTCATGCAGTGAACTAAAGCCTCTCAAAAGCAGGCCTGTCCCAGCTGGACTCCATCACCTGACCCACCATGGCTCTGAGGGGGTTAAAGCAGGTTTTTATTTTGTCTACTGAGACTAGATGAGACGGTATGCTTTCTTCTGTATTCATTACTAAACTACTATATAAGATACAATGGATCAGTGATTTAGTACATCTCTAGGCTTTCCCTTTGACTCTTGTAAAACATTGTCCAAGTAACCCTTCATATGTTTGGGCCGTTTTTGTTCACTGTTTGACTTGAATTTGATATAAGACCAAGGTAATGTTTCAGGGTAAAAGATCTGAACCCAGGGAATTATTCTTTTGCAAACAAGTCAAGAACTTGAACAGTATGTGTGTCAGTGTGTGTTGTCATGCTAAAACCCTAGGGGGCAGCAGGGGTGGGCATAGTGCACAGCAGGTAGTTGGAATGTGGCACAACAAGTGGAGCTGTGTTTTATGCAGCCTATTCTCAGCTTCATCATCCTCCATCCCTCCCCCGGATCTCAGATCTGGCATTCAGCTGACAAACAATAGAAGAGACTCTTTCATACTTCAACAAAACTCTCACCCTGCTAGATACCCCCCACTCCCCTTATTGGTCTTTAAACACCCCCTGCACTCACACACACACTCTGAAGGCTATGCAATGGCTGTCAAGTAAATGTCATCTGCCCCTGGTGTGTGTGAGGGAGAGAGAGAGAGAGAGAGATAGAGCTTTCAGTGGGTGGGGAGAAAGTAGAGCGAGGAGGTGGGGCTGTAAGCAGGGCTATTCATGTGGCATCTATAGTTCCCACAAGCATTCGCACTGTACGGCATCGACAGAGACAGTGGCAGAGAAACGACGAGGATAAGAGAGAAGCTGGTTGGTAAATAAATGCAAAACAGTGATGAGAAGCAGGGTCGTGTGGGGCTCCGACACTGAGCCAGGCTGCTTGGAGGAGAGGCAGAGGTGAATCCAGGGAGAGGGACAAGGACAGACGGAGCATCTGGGATAAACCTGAGACAAACACACACTCAGCTGTTGCCATGGGGGGCTCCCTCAGCCAAAGCAGGAAGGGATCTGTCAGCTCTCAGAGGAAGAAGAGCAGCATGTAAGATGGGATAATGTTTTTGTTTTTGTATGTTTTCATGTGCGAGTGAGACAAGGGAACATGCAGAGGCAGAGATGCTCTGAAATAGCGGTGGTGGTTGCTGCCGACTGACTGATCAATCTTGCTCCTAAGATTGTGTTGTTTTGTGATCTCAGTGGTTCTGTAACAATGAGGAGTGAGCGATTAGGTGTTGAAGGGCGAAGCTGAGTCCTCGATGCTAAGACTTCCCCCTGCTTGACTATATCCCTGCCGTGCTATTTTGAATGCTGTTTTGGTATTCAAATTTAAGGAAAGAGGGAGTGATGTCATTAGCAGAGAGGCTGAACATGAGCTGATCGGGTCATGCTTCTTCTGAAAGTGTCCAATCATCCTCATTTGTTTGACATTTCAGCAGCAGCTTTTGTAGCTACTGTATAACAGCAGAAGATGAATTGCTGCTGCTGCTGGATATTAATTATGTAGTTGTGACCCTAATTCTGAAGTGGTATTTTTATCATACAAGCTCTACAGTTTATTTTTGGCTCATCTTCCTAGTCTGTTCATTCACTGTGGATGACATCCTCAAAACACTGTGTGATGTATGAAGTGTAGCTATCTATCAAGGGCCATCATCTTGTCAGAAATAAAGGGAAAGTGAAAGAGACAGTGTTGCTAAGGCATTCATCAGAGCTTAGAAGCACTAAACCAGCAAGCTCCCTCTTTCTTTGCTCTAATCCTTTGTGACATAGAGTGAGCCCTATTACTTTGTCCTCCCTGCTGGACCCAGTGATGCTTTAAATCTCCATTTTTAAAAGCCTCTGTAAGCCCCTTGTAGCAAAAACACTTTCTGCTGTCACGTGTAAAATACTCAGACAAGCCTTATTCAATCACTCATTTCTTTAACATCACTGTGTTGCCTCTGAAGTCATGGAGAACTGCAGTTTTTAAATTAAGAAGCAGGGTCGTCTGGGAATGAGCAGATGTTTTAGCAATAGCCGGGAAATATCCTTTGTAACAGAAACGAAAGGGATGTGAGAGATATCATTACATACAGAAAACATACTGTAGGATTCATCTGTATTTGTGATAGGGCAGGTGGGGGTTGGGGTCCTCCCTTTGAGAAAACTGAGAAGCCATCTAGCATCATGGGAACTTAGTTTCCAGCTTCTAGTCTAATTTTAGTTGGCTTAATCATTCGTCTCATGTCTTAACTGGAGCAGCCTTTGATGCAAAGACTGCTTTCAGTTTTACAAAGCCCTGAACATGCGCATGGTCCCTCATTTGGGAAGAGACTGCCCTGTATTTGGAGCTCATTTCTTGCTGTAGTGGTAGGAGTTCAGGTCAGCATTGGCTCCAAATGTTCTCATATCTTTGCCAAGACACATTATGAATAAATGATAGACACAAAATGATTTAAAAAAATACATTTGAATTATGTATTTGTAACCCAAACAGACTAGGTTTCCCAGCAAGGAAGTGAAACTACTGAATTATACCCATGTTAAGGCCTTCACTTAAAAATAAATAGACATGTGTAATAGTTATGTTTTTGAATTGAAGTCAAATTTACACTTTTCAAGTTGTGTATGGCAATTTTAATGAAAAATGAAACCTTGTTAGAATGGGTTTATAAGGATGGAGAAACTGAAAGTAGAACAGTAGGGGATGAGTTGTGTTCCTGCTCTGTGCGTGCATGTGTGTACTATGTACATGCACTATTGTCTGGCAATTGTGAGTACTTGTGTGCCTCCTGTAGGGATGAACAATAGCTCTGTTGGTGTCTGTACATGACTCCTCCTGAGTAAACCCCCCTCCTCTCCACTCCCTTGTTCTCTTTATTCTTTCTCTTCTTGTTTTATCACGCTACTGTCAGTTCGTTATTCTCATGTTCTGTCGCGCCTCTGCTCCATTCAGTCTTTTCTCTCTGTGCTAGCTTTCTGCTCTGTTTGCAGCTAATTGGGCTCTGTATTAAAGATGCAGAGGTTCACAGTCCTGCTTCCCAAAAGTATGTCAAAGACTTTGGAGCATCCTGACTCTCTCTATCGCTATCTCTCAATCTGTGTTTTTTATTCTTTTAGCGATAATGCTGAGATGCAGTATAAAAATGATTTTTTTTAGTAAATATTGTAAGCACTACTACCTTCTTTTGCCCCTGTATGTGCAAAGCCTACTCACATGTCTTTTATGAAGTCATACATTGGGACCATTACCCAATTTGTCTCCATGGTCACCCCTGTTTCATCTCCCAAAGCTCCCTGTTATATGTCTCTGGGGCTTTCTCTTTCACTTCTGTTCTCTCTGTAGGGTCTTTCATCTTCCCCACTGTGGTATCGTCACTAATGCTGCTGTGCTTTATGTAATAACATTTCATTATGTGAAGGGTCTGGTTGAGAGTACAGGACCAACCACTAGATGGAGCTGTATTACAGAGGAAGGCAAGAAGTTAGACCCAACAATACATTCTGCTTATACTAGATGCTGTCTTTTTATATAAGCACACCTCACATGTTGCTCACATGTTCATGTCTCACATGCAAAGACTTGGGAATAAATGCAACCCATAAGTTCTCGTGCCCATTCCTTATATTGGAACATGTCAGCATCAGCACAGCACACACATGACAACTTTACACAACTTCCTTGTATTATAAATAACTTGTATGTTGCTCTCTATCAAATTCATACAAAACTAACGCAACCTATGGCCTTTTTATAGAATATTTTAATTATCTAATTTCGGTGTTCAGGGTTAGTGTCAGAGTCTTAAATTCGGCCAAAAGAATGAAAGCTGCAATTACACAGCACAATCTGAAATATGAAGATGTTGGACATGGACAGACAGTCAGACATAAGTAGATGATGACTCTTGTGCCTGTCAGCCGCAGAGCAGCATCACTCTACCTGTTGTATTATTAGCCGTACTGGGCAGAGGTGTCAAGTAACAAAGTACAAATACTTTGTTACCTTTCTTAAGTAGAAATTTTGAGTATCTATACTTTACAGGAGTAATTATTTTTCAGCCGACTTTTTACTTCTACTTATTACATTTTCACACAATTATCTGTACTTTCTACTCCTTATATTTTGTAAAATAGCCTAGTTACTCCTATTTCATTTCGGCTTGTTTTCATTCCTGCTTGTCATCGTTCAAAAAAACACAAAAAAAACAAAAACCCTATCCAGATAAATCGCGCCATCCGGATAGAGTGAATTTGATTGTGGTTGGATGAGAAGTATAAACATATACCATTCCAACACGCTGTGGTGCGGCCTAATCTTTTGTCCTTAATGGCATTTTTTTCCCCTTACATTACTTTTACTTTTATACTTTAAGTAGTTTTGAAACCAGTACTTTTACACTTTTACTTGAGTAAAAAGCTTGAGTTGATACTTCAACTTCTACAGAAGTCTTTCTAAACCCTAGTATTATACTTCTACCTGAGTAATGAATTTCAATACTTTTGACACCTCTGGTACTGGGTATAAAAGTAATATATATAACATTCAGAGAAAGATTATGAGGACAAAATGCCTATATCTAGGGGTAAGATCAACATGAGGGTATTATGTTTTCTAATACAGGCTTTCTCTATGACTGATAATACAAAATGACCTAATTTTACCAGAAATGATCATGAGTCATCATCTGGGGAAATACAAGAATGAGAGTCAGCTTCCAAGTGAGCTGCTCTGTGAGGTATAGTTCTTAGGCACAGTGATGCAAAGAGCTAAATACTATCATCAACTAGCTATTCAACATGCTCACCAAAACAATGCTGATGTCCTGGTGTTGGTGACACGGTGATGATTTGTACAGTGCTTCTCTTGATCATCCTCTTAATTAAGCATGTTACTCTGCTAACATTGGTGATTAGCATTTACCATTAGCTAATGCTGATGAGAATGTTAGTAGTTTCTCATGTATTGGACTAACTCAGGTTTTGACTTATTGATGATGCCTGGGGAACACTTAGCGGATCACAAATATCTTTATTATTCATCCTCTTTGCTGTATGAATATTTTTCCATCCAGAGGCTGCAGTGACTGATATGTCAGTCCGAATCAGTGATCATATAGACAGACATTGCCATCTTCAGAGCCATGCAGCTAGCAGGTATTACTCTAATCATGTTTTTAGATACTTTGTTGTGAAGAATTGCATCACCTTGAGCTGACCTCAGGGTGGTGCTATACTACATGTGAGCTTGACTGTTTAGCGTTTGTCGTCATGTAGTGCTTAATAATATGTATGAGATAAAAAAGCTTCTCAGATTTTCGGTGTGAGCACACACTTAGTTATCTCATCCCCGATCACATCGTCTCTGTTGTGGCTCACAGACATATTTATCATTGCTGGGTTTATTCTTAGCTCATAGTTACCACACATGCTGCTGTCAATCAAAGTATAATTGATGATTAAGGATGTGCATTCTTGTCGGATAAACTGGAAGGAGACACACATAATAACCTGCTAGGCTACAGTTTATATAGTGTAACATGAACATTTCTATGTGTGTTCCAAGATGGCAGCTCTAGCTCACATATGGGTGTACTGTATGTGCTGGTTTGCCACTGTTTCACTGTGTGCTATTTGTGGCTGTAAGGTATTACATAAGAGCTGTTGCCTTTCTCTTTTTCTTCCCTTTCTGTGGTTCACCTCTCTGTCAGGGAGAGAGCTAGGGATAATCTACCCAGTTTGTCATGCCCTCTCCATATGTGAATAAGACACATTTGTTCTGTGTGTCCTTTCATGTCATGAGGCTAGTTTAAAGCTGAAGCATGTAGCAAAGTAAACCGTTTGTGAAATTCAGGATGTCCATTAAGTCTGATCATGCTGCGAGCTTCAGGGGGTTTGTCAGCTTCAGGCAGATAATGTCTTCTGCAAGACAGACAGGTTTGTCCTCTCAACTGTTCTCACTGATACACAGAGAAACTAAGGAGGGAAAGGGGACAATGCCAGGAATGTTTGAGAAAAAACAAAAGGGCATTTCAGGTACCAGTCCTGCCCAAAAACTCGCTCTTTCTGCCTTCGCTTGTTATCTCTTTGTCACTACCCATTTTTAATTAATGCCGTTGTTCATCTGCCGTGCCTCTAATGTGCTCCATTTTTTCAGTCCAGCTATCACATCCTGAACAGAGACTCTTTCTGTGTGTTCACCAGTGTGTGACATTATTTTTGAGAGTGTTTGTTCATGCATGTTTTCATCTCTCTTGCCTGCCTGTCTTTTGTGGAGCAGCTCTGTGTGATCAGGAGCTTCTGCTTTTTATCCTTGTCTTTTTTCTTCATGTGAGCAGTAAACCACAGGAAGAAAAGCAGATCACTGCTACTGCTTTCATACCATTCCCACCTTTTTTTCCACTGTGGCTCACACATCCTCCCTTTATTACATTATCCATGGTCCATGGTCTTTTAAAGAACACATTTCATCTGGCCTAGATGTGTGTGTAGTTATAGTGTGTTTAAGAGAGTGAGTGAGCGAGAGAGATGCATAAACCGTAAAGCCTGGACTTACAGTTACATAAGCCATCCAGCAGCCTTTATTGCACATGTGAAAATGTGTGTTTGCGCAGCCGTGAGAGCTTTCATCCAGACCTCTTTTCTGCCAGTCCGATTGGTTTTGAACCATTACTCCTGAATCTAGGTTGTCTGTATTGATTTGTTTGCTGCCTGGCCTGGTTATTTTTTCTTTACGGAAAAATAGATCCTCTACTCTATGGTTCACACATTCTGAAATTAACTGCTAAATATAACATCCAGATGTTATCTATCTGTTTTGATTGTAGTATGTATTCAGTCAGGGAACACTTGAAATCCTTGTTAAAATGTCTTTTTGTCTCCGTTGATCCTAAATAGGCACAAGTGTTCTTTTCGGGAAGCTTTGAGTCACAATCACAGTTTTCCGCAGCCCCTGCTGGGAGCTGCAAAGTAAACAAACCATTAACAACTCAGATTACCTTTCAAACACATCACGGGCTGCCCAAACCTGCCAGTATGTTAATTTACATACAGAAATGCATTCAGTCCTGTTAAGTGTAAAGGAATAGAAAGATACAATATCTGTGTTAAAAGTGATCCTAAAGAATGCTATATCCCTGAAAAGGTTTTAAAAATGCATTATATTTCAAAGTTTTCGAAAATTAGGGTTTTGTTTCTGTGAGATGAGCTTTTCTAGAAGGTCAATCTACCAGGAAACACGATGACTTCCATCTCCAATGTAAACACGTTTTTTTCTATTCTAAAATTTACTGTTGGCCTCATCATTTCCTCCCTTTCTTTCCGTACTCTTTTTTAAGACACATGTGTCTGGTAGTCCGTCTGTCCCAGCCGTTACCAGACTTTTCTCTGCTGTTAAAACAGGAAGCATTCCCTCTCCTCCCCCCCCCCCCCCCACTCCCTTATCCCCATACTGTCGACACACTGTGAAAGATTCAGTGAGGGGAGAGGCAAAGTTCACAAACACGCAGGAGCAGAGCGAGCTGATGTCTGTGAACCAGCTGATCGTCCACCCAGACAGAAAGAGAGGGGAGGGCAGAGGAAAGGAGAGAGAGAGAGAGAGAGTATGACTACTGATGCTCCAGTAATCTGCACCGTGTGAGTCAGTGCTGTTGAAAGCAAAGCAGCTACAGAGACAGCGACTGCAGCAGCGTGAGCCACGTTTCTTTCTCACGAGAATCAACAACACCGAGTAGCAGGATGACAGCACTGAATCGCTAACCAAGAGGAGGAAGTGAGCACGCGATATAGAAAAGGAGTGCGACTGAAGCAGACGTCCGGAAGAGAGAGGGGCGCGAACACAAATCCACAGCTTCTTCATGAGAGTCGCTTTTTTCTCAGTAAACAAAAATACAGATTGACAACTGTGATTATCTAAACTAATCCAGAGGAAGAGGAAGTTCACCGGTATATCTCGGAGGACGCAGCAGGTTAAAGACTCAGCGCGGTGTAGAGATGTCCTGGTTGTCTCCGGTCCAGTGGGCCAAATGGACCTGGACAGCAGTGACTGGGAGTGGGGGGGACAACGAGGGGCAGCCAGGATCCAAGGATGATGGAGAGGACAAGTAAGAGGGCTAGGTCACAATGTTTATGTGTGTGCGTGATAGAGAGAGAGAAAGAGAGAGAGATGGTGAGTTTAAATGTGGACCTGTATAAAAAAGGGAGATACCTCGGATGTAAGGAGTCATTTTCTGTATTTTCTTCCACTTAAACAGCGATAGATTGATTGAGTGCATATATGAGTCTGCATGCAGATTCCCCTGAGTCATACTGACAGGTGGTTGATACGTCCACAGACTGACAAACCGACTGTTACTCTGGTATCATTTCAGATTCTTTCCTACTGCATACTGTTGTATCAGTGGCTGTCTCATGCTGTCAGTGTCTTAGTCAATACTGCATCCTTAAACAAGAAAGAGTCTTTATTAGTGCTTCAATCGGTTTCCTTTTAAGACTCTGACTGTTTAGGCCGGTTTTTATGTGTGTGAGGGATGTTTGGCAGTCGGGGAACAGTTGCTGAAAGTTCAGGAAAGGGAAAAGAGCCACAGTTTCCAAAGCTTTTGATTCTTTTTCTGTCCATTTTTAGTTCCTAAGTAACCATCCAGGATTGCAGCCGTTGGGGCCATCACTGGGACGTGATTCATTGTGTGTGTGTGTGTGTGTGTGTGTGTGTGTGTGTATGTGTATGTGTGTGTGTGTGTGTGTGTGTGTGTGTGTGTGTGTGTGTGTGTGTGTGTGTGTGTGTGTGTGTGTGTGTGTGTGTGTGTGTGTGTGTGTGTGTGAAAGTGAGTGTGGGGGCTGGGTTATGTATATTAGGATTAGCTTTGTGTGGCGGTGTTTTTGTATAGAGCTGTGTGAATGTGTTGGTGTGAGCTTGGATCAGAGATGGAGTGTGGTCGGGTGTTGGCTCTGAGAGCTTTGCTCCTTGTGTGCTGTTTTTCATTAGAGTGCGGACGTTTTGATGTGCGTTCGAGAGCCTGGGAACGGGTAGACACACACACACACACACACACACACAAAACCACATCAACGCTCACTCTCCCTGTCTCACTCTTCCTTTTTGTTTCTCCACTGTTTGGAAATACATTTTCGCTGGCTGTCTCGGCAGCTGACACAGCAGACTCAGTGTTTATATGTCTGGCTGGTTTCAGAGCGTCCTATTCGTGGGGCAAAGGATGCAGATGGCCTTGTAGGACTCCACTTCCTCTCCCTTCCTCTCCCTTCCTTTAGAATAAAAGCAGCTTGTTTACTTTGAGCTGCTCTGAAATCTTTTGTTTTCATTTCACTTAAAGAAAACAAAGATTGATGCTGGAAAGTAGATGCTTCTTTCTTAGAATGCAACACACAACCACAACCTTTATTGTTATGTACACTTCATTTAGCAGCTGTTTATAGACTAACATGAAGATTGTCAATGCTTCTTTGTTCTCAAGGACAGTAGTCTGCTGTTTAAGAAGCACTCTTACAGCTTGAAATCAGACAATGTGTTTTTATCTGGATCACCTCATAAGAAGAGTCAATTTTGTGTTCTGGATCAAATTTGTCAGTTTCAGCACACTTTCAGCACTTTGATAACCAGTCAAACATTCTGTTGTTACCTGACAATGTGACATTTTGTTAAGATCTTTCTCTCTCTCTCAACAGTTCAGACTCAGAGGGGACCTTTGAGACTCCAGAGGCAGAGTCTCCGGGTGTTGTAAAGCTTCTGAGCCAACTGGACAACTCCAACCAATCAGGTGAGATGAGTCACTTTTATTTTTTTATGGTTTCAGAAAAAATATTAAACCTATTTTAACCGACATGCCCGATACATACACTGCAAATGAAAAATTCCCAGATGAAATGACTTATACCCACACATATAGAATGATCTGTTCATTTTAGTATCTTTTCAAATATAAGATAAATTGCAGTTATAACCATACACAAGATTTTACAACTTAATTTTAGATTCGTTTCTCCTAAATAGGCCCCAAAACTTCAACAAATCTGAGGCTCATTGAAGACTCAAGGTGATTGTTCCATGAGTAATGACAATAGATCATCTAAAGTGAATCTTCTTTGTCAAAATAACACTAATAATATAAATGATGTATGGAAACTAGAACCCAACCGATTAATCAACAAGCCGGTCATATCGGCCTATATTAACATATCAAGTGACTTTTAGTATGGGCTAATTTTATCGCAGATATGCGCCGATATTACTGGATTTATTTATAAGTCTAGTACCATTTTCATTTGAGTATCACTGTATTACACCAGCAGTTCTCTGATATATCGGTATCGGCCCCAATGGAAACAGTAGTTCTCCCCTTCAATCTACTAGAAGTAATTGGTTTAGACATTTCCTTTGTTTAAATTATGGAATTGGTCTGCATGTTTTGGATTGCTTGGCTTGCTTGGCTTGCATTGACCCCAGCATATGGGACAATGTGCTAGATAACAAAAGACCGATTAATGTGTTATTAATGAATGGAGATTGCAGACAATTAGTCCTCTTTTTCATGCTCAAAGAGTCATGTACAATATCTGGGTTAGTCTCTTTAATAAAAGATTAGCTGTGGGGAGAAACTGATGTTCAGTTTCACTTTAATTAGACTCTTACAGCTCAGGGGGGGATCCACTGTCTGTCCATGGGAACAACCACAGTCCACAATCGAACTATATTTATTATTGAACCAAGACTGAAATATTACTACCTGTTTCTTTTACACTTCCCTCTTTGTCTCCTTTTCCTCTTTTTTTTGTGTGAAACTGCTGCAAAGTCTGCCGTTGTTTTTGTTGCCAGGCCACGTGGTGGTGTGTGCTCAGTGTGACTGGGTGTGGTTTCTCTGCATCTGTTCCTTGTCTTTGAGGGTGTGTTTGTGTCTGAAAGTACACAGATTTTGAGCAGAAGTGTACATAAACCTGCATTAATTGAATGTGTGATGTAATAGACTAACACATTAGCCATCACACATAACAGACGATGTGAGAAGCTATAACCCCCTGAGGTGAAACCACAATGACTTCATTCATGTTGTGTGCACGTTCAGGAGAAGTACAGGAGGGGGGTACAGCAGTAAAGTTATTTAAGTGTTATTATTCTATGTAGCTGTGTGAGTTTTACAGTTTGTGTGGGTGTGTTTTTCAGGAACAGAGAGCCTTGTGTTTTAGCAGCAGTATGACTCAACAGAGAGCAGCCTGCTTCTGTGGTCGTTAGCAGTTAACGGGATATGTGAGGACACAGGATGTGAAGTGTTCTGAGAGGAAGCCCGCAGACATCTTAAGTGATCTAACAGGGGCTTTAGAGGCCCTCACTCTTAGTTTAAATCCCTTATAAAGACTGTTAAATAGTTAAGAAGCCAAAGGATGTCTGATGTGGAGTTTTCTTGTTTAAGTACTGTGAAACTTACGCTGCAATGCTGGTAACTATACGTCTTTATCTGAAACTCTGTCTTTTCTTCTGTTGCTCAAGGTTCTCTCCTACTACCTTTTTCTGTTATATGCTTCCTGCAATACAACGGAAAGCCTGAAAGCAGCAACTAAATATTAAAGGGATACTTCACCCGTTGAAAAATGAACTGTATTGACATTGGGTCATATATGTAGTAGAAATGTGAAATTAATTTTGAAGTTGGTGCCTTCTTGGCCGTGAAAAGGCAGAAAGTGTGTTTTTGGCTCATGTTGATGAAAGACACCAAATCCCAGAATGCACAGCACCGCAGGCCACTCCCACTAAGGTCCTCTAGTTCAGAATCAGAAATACTTTATTAATTCCAGAGGGAAATTCGATCAATACAGTTTCTTCAAAATATACAGTATAGCAGTAGAAATATAGTAATAAAAACATTTACAGACACATGAGGCCATTTCATCAACTGATTCAGAGATTTCTTCCAGAATTGATCTTGGAAATTCCTGGCAGAAAACAGACTCTATGTCTGTGTCCATAGGCAAACAGTGAGAGCACCGACACTACCAGTCCGCCCCAGCTCGAGCCGGCCCGGGCTCCTCGTCCTCACCGCCACCGACAGGCAGGCATTATGTCTTGGCTGCTGAGCTGGCAGTGGCCAGCGGTGGCAATATAGCAATATAGCCGCGAGATGGTTGCTGCTGACAGGCCGTTCCTGTGTCGCGGCGGGCCGCATCAGCCAAAACACAAGACCAGCCTGTCGACAGCAGCCATCTCGCCACTATATTTATATATTTTTTATTTATATTTATATTATCAGCTTTCTCCATAGAGCCTGTTAGCATAGCTTCCAAGCAATATGGCGGATGTTAAGTTTCGATTCTGGGAGTGAGTTCCCACCCACTGATCTGTGATTGGTCTGTAGCTTCAGTGGTCGAAAATATGAGGAAATAGCGTTGTAGTTTCACCCCGCTAACCGCAACAGCTTCCAGTGACGCAAAAATTGTCATTTTATGTCACTGGGTCAAATGGGTGAAGTATCCCTTTAAGCTACCTTCATCTTTATAGAGCTTTATAGAAGGTTTTATCATGGCTTGGCTGCCCAGCCTGAACCTTCACTTTTTCGGTCCACTCTCACCGCTGTCATAGTGTTGTTGATGTTTTTGTTGTTGTTGTTGATTGTGTTGTTTAGTCAGTGTTTGTTTGCAACAAATTCTGGAGCCCCGATATGCACAAGAGAGTACTATTATTTCAGGTGTAATGGTCAAAAAGACCAGTTTACGGCACATGATTACACATTTTATGCATTAAATTTGATGGCTTTTAGTCTGATAGCATTTCTCTGGGATCTCTACCATTGTAACTTCATCTTGTCCTAGTTTTCAAAGTGAAGCACATTCTGCATTTGAAATGTTGTATTTAAACTAGTAACACATTCTAACTCACTCTTCTTCCCTTTGCACAGGTCTTGCTGATGTAACAAATCACTTTCTGGACAAGAACTCAAATCAGAGTGTGGGTGCTGTTTCATCTCAAGAAGTTGATTCCTTAAACAATCTCGCCGGCTCCTCACAAAACGGCAGCAGCTTTGGTTTGGACCAGAACCTTAACCTGACCCTCAGCAGCAAATCCAGTCCTCGTGAGGGTCTCTCCCCGTCCAGCTTAATCCCCCAGCCTCACGCCCTACGGCCCCCGTCGCTGTGTGTCCTCTCCTCGCTAAACAAACCAGATCCTTCAGAGGTGGACGATGAGGCTCCAGTGACGTCTGACTCCAGCCCGGACTCAAACTTGATCCCCAGTCATGGCATCTGTGTGGACCCTGATTTACTTAACGGCAACTTGAACTCAAACACAAAACACAGCCCTATTATCTCGTGAGTAAAACATTAAAGGCTGTATCGGCCATCTTTTGATATCTGTCAGAAGTTTTTTCTTCTTCTCCACATCCATATGTTTTTCACCAGTGTAATTCTAGTTTTAAATTTGTGATATTGCTTTGAGTTATTTTAGAATATAAGTTAACTTTTATTATGAGTTCAGATTTCAGTTACATTTGTTTTTAGTTTGTTTACATTTCTTCAAGGATTATAATTAAGGGAGGCTGTTCTCTGTTCATAGAGTAGTACAATGGACCAACAGTGCCCTCTTGTGTAAGGTCTTTTACTAAAAAATAATCCTGATCCAGCTCTATCTTACTTTGACTGACAAAGTAAAGAAACAGCACGTTTATAATCATTGGCTTTTTGTTTATGTATTACTAACCATAACGCCTGCTGCCAGGAAAGCTCAAGTTTTACATTGTGCACTTAGAATAGATTATAAAGTTGTTTTCTTATATTTTGGAGCTAAATCACTACACCCCACTGTTCTGCAATCAAACCAGTAATTCTTTCTTCTAAACATTTTAAACATATTGACCATCTGAAGATAAAATTAGATTTCTCTCCACATTCACCCAGCCCCATGTTCTTCAAAGATTAAACCTGGGGCTAGTAACCTAAAATAAAAGGATGTCCGGTTTTATTCCTTTTTATTTTTTACTTACTAAACTATAATAACCCTGCACTCGTCTTGTGTTAAACCTAACTGTCCCATCCTCTCCTGTGTCTTCCCTTCCTGATCCTTCCAAACCTGTCATTATGTTTCCTTTCTCTCTGTGTGGTACCAGGACTGCTGAGCAAGTTCATTTCCTCTGTGTTCTGTTGTAAGTACTGTAGAACCATGTGTGTGTTTTAAACTTCAGTCGTTGCTGCTCTTAAAACAAGACAAAGTCCTGGATCACTCCACAGCCTAATGTGCCATCCATCAGATCTAAATTTACCACAAAGCAAAGAAGAGAGACAAGTGTATGGAGTTGATTTATATAGTCATTAAAGAGTGCTCATGGAAACCCTGAAATTCCATCTATTTCTTTTTGCAACCACTGTTATTCTTGTTGGAATTTGTCCATAATGTTACTTATTTTTTTGTCAGTAATCTGCTTGATTTTCAATATTTATTTTTTCATGAATCTGCTTTTTCTACTGTAAGACCACGCAAACTCAAAACACACACAACAGAGCGATGAGGAGTGACTGTCAGGCTCCTGCTTTTGTCTTTCATCATTACACCGCCCAGTGTTTACGCTCACAGACAGATATTGATTTGATTTGTTAACACTGATGTTGTTTTTGACCTTTTTCAGAAACTCTTGTAAAGCGCAGCAGAACCAGCCCATCCAAAAGGACCTCAACGAACAGGTTAGAATTCATAATGGGCTCATTGGACTCTCTATGTTTCCTTGTTATCTCCCCTTAAAGTTTTACGTTGTCTGTGGTGTTGATTCTGCTTGTTGTTAAAGGATGAGCATCACAGAGACCATGCCACAGATGAAGAGAAGTTGGCAAGTAGTGTCAGTGTCAAACCAGACAAGGACGAGAGCAGTGAGTAAAGAATCAATGAAAATTGATCTGAATGTTTTTCTCATGTCTGCATGTTTGAGGGCACACACTGATAGAGTAGTCAATCAGTGATTACTCTTCTCGGTGAGAGAGATTATATAACTGCATGTTCAAGTTTTGGCATCATACTTCCCTTAATACACACAGAGAGGCTGTTATCATGCCTTACAGGCACAACTGTAATTATTAACTGAATGCATAGTTCTGCATTTAACCTTGTGGCTGTGTGGCCAGCACTGCAGCAGAGTTGTTCAGAGCAGACGTACAGAGTGCTTGCTCTGTTGTGCTGTTTGAGGAAGCAGTTTTGGTGTTAATAAACATATTCAGATGATCACACAGGTACCTTCAGGCTGCCCGCGACAGATTTAGTTTCAGACTGAATCACATGTTGCGTGATAGTGAATCACTGCTTTTAGTGCAGTAGCCTGCAGCGGTAGCTTTCCTTGAGGCATACATTTTTTTCACTCTGAATATTCTCTGTCTTTGTCTTAACACATGCAACTCTACAGGGCCCAGGGTTTATAAGTGTATGAATTATATTCAGTGTATCTCCGGTAATGCTCATTTTTGTTCTAACAAATCATACTGGAAATAAGTGAACTTATCTCAACGTGTGGGCGGAAGAAATATTTCACAACTAAATACTAGTTTCAAATCCTTTTAGTGACTTTGAGTGTTTGTGTTTTGAACTAAGAAATGTGCCCCAAGAGAAATGTATGAAGATGAAAATATTGTGACACCTCTTAAGTATTATTTCTTTCTTCCAGTTCCAGACTGTCATGTGACATCAAAACCTGAGGACTCTGACTGCTGCTCTGTAGTGAGTAAACATCACAAGAAAGCATCCATGTGATTTTACCTACATAAGCTTATCCAGACCCATATATTTATGATAAGATATACATGTTGAGTTATAGTGTAGTATGCTCTTATGCATGTCTTCCTTTTCGAAATAATAAAAGTAACATGTGATGCCAACAGTGACCACCAGGTGGGGATGAAGCACTCTTTGTACCACCATATACTCTGTCACCTTCACAGATAGAAAGCTGCCCTGACATGTCCAAACTTGTTATTGATTGTCACTTGTCATTGTTAACGCGTTTGCACATTCTGTTTTGATCTGTATATCAGTTGTTGTTGTTGTTGTGTTTTTTAACCAGAGATATTTAAAAAATATATTTTTTAGTTGCATCATTTTTATTTTAAGAGCCACCTGCTCTGTTACTAAAGCTGCAATGTGAACGTCTGTATGACATGATGGCTGTACTGATCCACAGGACAGCAGGAGGTACTAAGTGTCTGCAGGCTTATCATGTACTCAGGTGACAGATGGATTTAGATTAGCTGCAGAAGATAAGAATATGTCATAATCCATGGATAGACAATTTGGAGCGAGAGCATAGAAAAGGAGAGGCAGTTCAAGGATTGAGATCTGTAAGAACAATGAAAGTAAAGCAAGAGGATGATGAAGAGGGTTAGACAATGTAAATATAATTATAAAACAATTTCTTTTCAAGAACCAAACGAAGAGCAGAAATAACAGGAGCAAAGAGAGAGAATGTTAAAATGTTCAGTATAGATAAGTCAGGCATCTATCTGGTGCAGAAAAAAAAGACTGTCTCAGTTGTGTTTTAATTAAGAAAAAGATATGTGAATCAGTAGGTCTTAAGACTTTAACCAAAATATGCACCTTTTATTTGTTTTTGTGAAAGGTAAAGTATCTGATTCATTTCTCCACTACTTAGTCCTTGAAAAGTATGTGTGGGCTTAGCCCAGTTATACTCCTGAATGTGTTCTAGCATGAGGAGGTTGAAATAACAGATTTCCCTTTGCAGTTTGAGGACCCATGCAAGCTGAAGAACAAGTTGGGGGGAAGTGAAATGCAGAAAACAGGAAGTCAGGTCCTGGATTCCATCTGCATCAGTGAGGCAGAGAAACAGGCTGTTCTCACCCTCATTAGAGAGGAGGTACAAACACTCACTATGCTAATCTGTAGTACTCAATATGTCATCAAGGTTTTCTTTAAGTTCTGCTTAACTTGGACATCTCCTCCTTCAGATCATCACTAAGGAGGTGGAAGCCAATGACTGGAAGAAAAAATATGAGAGCAGCAGACAAGAGGTTGCTGAGATGAGGTTAGAAAACACATTTATGAATACATTTTATTTCAATCATTTGAACATTTATTTGTTGATCACTGAAACATTAACACAATGGCGTGATACAGGGGTAGTAACAAAGTCACAAATGAGCCATTTTAAAAAAAATAAGTGCCTTGGGGTTTAACTGAATTTTCATTTTCCTTTTCATCAGTGAAAAAAGGTCTCTTTGATACCCACCAGTCTGTCATAAAAGTTTTAAGACTTATCATGTGTTTGGTCTGATTACAGGAAAATAGTTGCTGAATATGAGAAGACAATAGCTCAGATGATCGGTGAGTAGAAATGTTTTTTTTTATGTTTGTGTTCACGTAGCAGCTTTGATACATATTACAGATTCAGATTACAGATTCATACAATCACTGTCTCCAGACTAAATACAAAAGAAGAGTTATTTACAACTCAACAAATCATCTTTGTTCTGTCAGAGGACGAGCAACGCAGCAACCTGAGTTCCCAGAAGGCTTTGCAAGCTGTGACGGCCGAGAAGGAAGCAGCCCTGGCAGACCTGAACTCAGTGGAGCGCTCTCTCTCTGACGTGTTCCGGCGTTATGAAAATATGAAGAGCACCCTAGAGGGCTTTAAGAAGGTAAGGGTTTATAGGACAAGTTCATGTTCTGAAAACCACTCAAGGGAAGTATCAGTTTCATGTTGTGAGGCAATCAGCTGATCTGAGAACAAACTGTCAGCTGGAAGAGGATTAGGGTCAGAAGAAGGTTAAATGTATCCCTTGATGAGGGGCTGTTGGTCGCCTAACGGTAAGGGCAGCAGAGATTTACATATTATGTCCTGATATAATCTGTTTCTTGTATTGAAGTATAACAAAAAATTATCTGACTGATCAGAGATTAAAAAAAAAACACAATTAAGAGCTATTTCATCTGAAATCTGGCCCCCTGGTCGACCTGTACAGTGTTTACAGCAGCAGCTAATGGGCAGACAGAAAGCTGTGGTGGTTACACTGGTCAGCTGCCAGGAAAAAACGAGTGCAAATTAGAATTCTGTATTTAGAATAAAATAAGATTAAAAAGAGCTTACATTATTCCGAAGAAAAAATACCATGAATAAGAAAAAAGGTCCTTTGTTTCCTCCTTCAGAACGAAGAGGTGCTGAAGAAGTGTGCTCAGGAGTATCTGTCCAGAGTCAAGCAGGAGGAGCAAAGATACCAGACACTGAAACTTCATGCTGAGGAGAAACTAGACAAGTATGCGTACATTTAAAGGAGAACTAATTTACCTGTCAATTCTGCAATAATAGTAATAAAAAAATCTGTTTTATTAAAACTTCTGAACTTAAGTTTATGTCACCAATTTCCATGTATCTCTCAGGGCCAATGATGAGATAGCTCAGGTGCGTTCAAAGGGGAGCTCAGAGAGCATGGCGCTGACCGCCAGTCTGAGGAAGGAGCAGATGAAGAATGAGTCTCTGGAGCAAAGTCTGCTGCAGAAGGTTACAAGTGCCCTAATTTCTCTGCATGCCAGTTCTAAAATAAACTTTCAGCATGCAGTAATGCAAAATAAAACATTTTCCTACTTTTTACACTGTAACTTATCCTTTGTTTTTCACAGAATCAAGAGATCGAGGAGCTCACAAAGATCTGTGATGAGCTGATTGCCAAAATGGGTAAAATAGACTGAGAGACAGTTTCTGAGAATCAGCTCCCTCTGTCCCTTCAGTCCTGGCCAACACTGACGATATGCATGTCCCCCAGCAGAGACCCAGCTCTCATACCTTTAACCAGCCCTGAATCAGAGACTGCTCATGTACAGATGTCTAAAGTAACTTCCTGTACTAAGATTTCACTATTTGACACCAGAATCAAGAGGATTCTGTACACGTGAACTGTTATTTGAGTTGGGACCCTACTAAGTGTTTAAGATCATGTTGTTTTGTCGGCATTTCTGCCCGTCCATCGTGCCGGCCAACAACCTACTTGTGACTCAACGTAAAGAGCCCATATTCTGCCCTTTTTGGGGTTCGTATATTTAATCTATGTATCTACTTTTGTGCGTTCACAATAGATAAAATCCGAAAAAAGTGTCTGTTTTCATGTGCTGCTCCTCCTTGCTCCCTCTACGCTCTGAGTCTGTCAGCTACGCTCTGTTGAGCCCACACTGTTAGACCCCACGTGGGCCAAGTCTGCTCTGATTGGTCTGCCGATCCGCTCTGTCGTTATTGGTCAGTTGCTCAGCAAGCGTCTCAGAAATTTCAACATGAGCTGCTGGGCTTGCCACAACGAGCCAATGGACTTAGATCAGTGATCTCACACTGACAATGACGTCGGACTGACAAATTCTTATCGAGGGGGGCTAGAACCGAGCGTTACATGCAGCTAATGCTACAGCTAACAGGAGGACGTAGGAGAAGCCGCGTTTCCGCGGACTTTTTGCACATAGATTTGCCTAAACATGCACAGGACACTTGGAAAACACACTAAAGGGCATATAAAACCAGAAAAAGCATAATATGGGACCTTTAAATTCCCAGCAGCCTCTCATACAGGATGACTGACCTGGGTGGGTGTGGGGGGCAGGGTTACATTGATGTATACAGTATATTATGAAGAGGTTGTTTCCCATTAAAAACAATCCATTAAATATATATTTTTATGAAGTAAACAAAGACTTTACTCTGACAAAGAAAGCTCAGGGGCTTTGTGTTAGGCGGAATGAGGTTGAGTCGAGCAATACGAGATCTGAAAGAAAAGATTTAGGATTGTGTAAGGACGTGTGGTCGTCCATGGAGGCCTTACATCATTCAGCAGTGACGATGAAATCAGAATGAGCCTATCAGAAACAGCGATAGCTGTACCTGCTCAACAGTTTGCACAGAGAGTCAGTCACAGACGAGTATAAAAACCTGACAATCACAGACTTAGCTGGCACTGTGTCAGCTTTGTCTCATTGTGTTGTTTGATTCAAAAAATCAACTTAATAAAAAAAGTAACTACCCTGTGTTAAAAATCCAAGCTAACTGGAGGAAACAGTGATTTTAGATTTATTGGAAGATACAAAAAATGTTTGAAGTTTTGCAAGTGCTGAAGTATGTAAATGGTAATTTGAGTTTTTAAATAATCACTGTGTCCCGGATTGAGAGTTAACCAAAGGAAAAACAGTTTGACAGCTTTGTAAGAGTTTGTTTTCCACTTTGATTTTATGTGGATGTGTTTACACTACCAGTCTCTTTCTTTGTTTATTTTCAGACAGCAGATGCAGCAGTGTAACTTTATCTAGTAATGAATGAGGAGGCTTTGGCTTTGTGTCGGGTATCACTGAAAGTGTTTCAGAACTGGTACCAGTATAATACTATAACTAGAGTTATTACTCCGATTGAAAAAAAACCAACACTTTTGCTACTTAATAAATTGTCCTTTAAACTTGACAGACAGCTGGATATCTTTGTCAGTTTAACTGTTTAATCAGGGTAACTGCGGTCAAATAACTGAAACATTCAGGCCGAGCATTAAGTTCTCATTTTTGGTCCTTTTCAGTTTTCAACACTCAGTTTCGTGAAGTCAGCGTCTTTACTACCTTGTACATCCTCTTAAAATTCAAACCCATTGTTGTGCCACAGTTTATATTTGTGCCACACTAATTTCGTGTTACATCTTGTTACTCAGCTGCTTAAGTCTTTGTTTTTTGTTGTTTTTTGTTTTTGTTTTGCCACTTTATACTTATCTTTTATTATTGTTTTGTACCAGATATTCAAAATAGAAATGACGGTCTCACATTTGTGTCGACACATTGACACAAACAGCAAGAGTGTGTGTATATTTGACTAATTAAAAATAAATAACATTTATTGTACTGTATGTTTGTCATTTTTGTCTTTTAGGTAAGTGTCTGATTGCCTTTAGCACTGACCAAAACATAAAGATATTAACTCTCACTGTGTTGTTTATTTTATGTCTTGGCCTTGGCCTACTGCTCAGGGTTCAAGTGCTTAAATCTAACTATGGATTTCAACACAGTGACACACGTTCTATCTTAGGTGGCAACTCTTGTGGATAATGACCTTTATCTTTTTTTTTTTAAAGCATCACTTTCATTGTACTGCCGTTAAAACTTACAAAAAGGTGTTTTAGAAACTCCAAGAAGTGATGTTTCTGTGAACAAGATCAACAGCTCCCATTTACTAGAATGCAACAGTGTCTCCCTGTTTAAGGTCGATTAATAAGTTCATTACCACAGGTTGCTGGCTGTGCACCATAGATGGAGATTATAGACCTAAGACTTTAATACCCTCAGACACCTTCCCATGCCTAAATTCCCCCCCCCCTCCTGGCATCCTCACCATCAGATCCCCTCAGTCTCCACTTTTTCTCTGGACTGTTAAAAACAAAGTGACCCTGATACCATGAAGACCACATTCGCCCTGCTGCTCGTTGTCTCTCTGGTGTGTCACAGTAAGTTCATAGCAACATGGGATTTCAGCATTTTTTGTTGTGGGGGGGATTTATTTGTTAAAAATGTGCAGAGTCCAAGCTGAGAGTTTACAGAAGTACCAGAATTGTTTTCTGTCATAAAATCAGGTAAATTCATTGGAAATGTTTAATTTCCCCGACAGCACAGTTTGAGCTTATGGCCAGACAATTTGGGACATGTAAATATTTCATAGATTTTTGTATTCTTGCAAGGTTTGAATTAGTCTTTTAATTTACATTTATTTGTTATGGATTAACCTGCAGATTACTTTATTATTTTTTTTACAATTAACCCATTAAATGTTTAGTCTGTAACAATGTTTATCATCATTTCCCAGAGTTGAAAGCTGCATCTTTGATTGCTTCTTTGGTCAAACAAAAGCTTTTCATTTTCCAAATTCCAAAAAGAGCAGATTCTTCTTTAAGAAAGCTGGAACCAGCAGATACTTAACACTTGTGTTTCAAAATTCACCAAAGCCACTCAAAGATCCGAATACAATGCTGGATTTGATTATTTTTCTGGATTGGATAACATTTCTTTCAAATGACTGTCTGATTGATTAATTGTTGCAGCTCATAACTTGAATGATGTACATGTCAACTTATTGGCAACAAACTGATTTTATTTTTTTTTGCTAGTGACATCTTGTAATTTTGGACAAATTTGTCCATCTCATTCATTTAAGGAGGGGACTAACAGCCATACTGATTGCTACTAAATGTAGTTAAGGTCAGGCGTGTTGTTCGTCTGTATGCCGACACCCTCCTGTGGATATAAATGCTTATAGGTGCTCTCTCCTGTTCTACCTGTGAAGGCCACGCCCTCAAATGTTACTCGTGTGTGGGAATGAATGAGGAGGACTGCAACAGACAGGGCTCCTCAACCTGCCCTCACTATGCTGATGCCTGCTCCACCATCACAGGGGCCAGTGAGTACACACACACACTATAACACACAGGCAACACAAGTATGACGTGGTCCAGTTAATAAAACTAGAGGTCAGCATTGCACTGATGACCAACTTCTTGTGTCAGGTGTCAGAGAAAATAGTGCTAATGCTGTTCACATAGTCAGAGAACGTCTCTATAAAATTTTCATTAAAAAACATTATGCAGGAATTGATGTTGTTTTTGGTTAGTTAGCCATTTACCAAAAGTAGTTGTTTTCTTGATGCATATAGTGTTATTAATGAATGTAACCAATTCAATTTGTATTTTTTTACTGCCAAATCTCAACAAAATATCTCACTTTAAATTGAATGGGTCTTGTCTGTGTAACATCATCATTTTGAGGAATTTCTACACAACAGTGGAAATGAAAACCCTTTAACAGGCAGAAACCTCAAGTAGGACCAAACTTATTGGTGAACAGCCATCTGCTGCGTCTGGATGGACCGAGACTAACAAACGGAACAACAACAACAAAAAAAGATTATCAACACTTATGAGAGCAAAGCTAAAGACAATGTTAGGAAATCCCTAATATTAGCAACCCTAACTGTAATACTGATTATATCAATGATAATTTGACTTCAAATAATAATTATAGCCTGAGGGTCAAGCAGGTCCAGCTCAGCAGGTAGTATACAACCAAGACCCGGGGCTGCTGGATGTCCTACCTGTTGTTCATAACCACAGTCCTCTGTTTGCCTTTAAGTGTGTACATGACGAGTTGATGTAGTTCACAGCACTGAACCACCTCTCTCTGTCCATGTTTCAGACACTGTGATGAAGTCGTGCACCTTTAAATCGTTCTGTGACAAGGCTCAGGGTGAAAGCCCCGGGGCCAGAATGCAGTGTTGTTTCAGTGACAGCTGTAATGGACCCCGCAGGACCACCAACCCCTGGGCTCACTACCACACCAACGGTGTGGGGGCCGTGTCCTGCAGCCCCATCCTGCTCATCACAGGCCTCCTGCTGCGTGTGGCCCTAAGTCATCTGTAAAAAAAAGATAGAAAATATAGACAAAACTCCACTTTAGTTTTCCTGCAGTGATTTGACATCTTGTTTTTATCTGTGTAATGAGATCCACCAGTACACCCCTCCTCTTTTTGAACAGACTTTCAATGGAGACTTTAATTCCTAGTTTACAGAGACAGAGTATTTGAGATTCATAAACATGTTTGTGATAACAATGTTGGTGCTGTAGATATGTCTTATAGATAAAAACTTTCATTCAGGCTGTAGATTGTCTTTGTTATCTGTAATAGTGACCTTATGATGAAAAGTTATATATTCATGTTAAGGTGTTTTAAGCTGTACAGCAACCTCACTTACAGTTCTTACTCCTCTGTATCCCCTACTGTACATACATTTTCAAAGGAGCTCCCCCCATTGCACTCTGTCATTGGGTCCATGTTGTCATTTTCCCCATGTCAGGCTCATCTTTTCAAGCCCCCGTGTCATCTTTACAGCAGGTGATTTTGGGCCTCCCAGGTTTCTCTTTTGCCTGGTGGTGTCTATCTCAAGGCAACTCTTCTGACCTGGTTCTTTTCCATTCGCAACCCGTGACACTGACACAACCATCTGTATTTGATTTCCTTGATTATGTTTTCTTGTTGAGTTTGAGGTTGGATGTACACCGACTTGAACATGACAGTATGTCTTGTGAAAATACAAGTACTTAGTCAATAACACCAACCTGTGGTTTTGCTTTGGTGTGGTTATTGTAGATGCCAGGATGCCTCATTGTGTGCGCACAGTCTGCTTAATGCAACAGAACTACATTATAAGCCTGTGTTGTTGCCATTGGATCCTGAGATTAAACCATTTTAGATCTTTGAAAAATGTGGAAAAACGTACTAACATTACTGTTTAGTGCATGAATTTGTGTCTGAAAGCTTGTCTGAATAAAAACACAACCTCGTTCTTTTTGTGTGTATGTGAAGTGTGTGGGTAAGATCACCTTGTTTTGACATTTGACACCCTACACTTGACCTTTAAAGGCCAGAGAAAACGCATTTATGAGATGTTTATGTTCATCGGCATACTGTTAAGGGCTATATACAGTAGAAGAAGATTTAAGTCTGTTAATTACCGGCAAAACTTCAGGACTTCCTTTTGAAACTACATAACTCGAACACTGTGCAGTCGCCACAGGATATGAAATCACCGAGGTAGGTCTCCTTCCTCAGATCATATGAGATGCAACCACTTCCTCTAAAGGGAAGGCTGCAAATTTTGCAAAAAATTAAATTAAAATAAGAAAATAGAACTGCTCTGTTAAATGCGTAATTGACCACTTTCAAAATGACAGTTCCATCAGAAATGTGTTTCAGACTCAGGAGTTTCATCACCAGCTCAATCTGTGATCACTTTAGTGTGAAGATGAGGTTATGCTGAACACTGCATGCACTGTATTCATGCAGAATGAACCATTTGTTCAGCTTAACATAGAGTCACATTTAGATAGTAATATTCTACTTTTACAACACAGCCTCTGTCTTCTGCTGATGATGCTAATTTGCAGATGAAGATGAAGATACATGGCTGAAGTTTGAGCCAAGTAATTATTGAGCAGGACTGTAACACTCTAAAAAGTGACATACAGAATCAGAATGAATGCCTGACAGCTTCCACTGATACTACTAAGACAGTCATTTTCATATCCACACATATTATTGCACAGGTCTGGGGTCTCTGAGGTTAGTTCTTTCAGCCTTAATGTTGGTTTAGGGTTTAAACTGACATATATTTGTGCTGCTATGGCCTCTTCTTTCAATTGTGTTGTACGAAATGATCTATCATGGTCAACAATGTTAGGTCAGTTATTCTGCATGTTAACACCATACACTGATGGACAACATGCCTCAACCTTTTCCCATCGTACAAAGATGAAACAAAATGAAAATTACCACAATGACATTTGGAGCCAGAGCGTGCAGGATCATCTGGAAGAACCACTGATGGAAACTCCCATCTAAAAAACCAATAAAAACAACAAAGATCCCCTTGGGTCTGAACAGTCCAGCAGAACAGATTCTTGTGTCAGATGTATTATTATTATTATTATATTGAATGGAAGATCAGACTTCCATTGAATATATTCAATGTTTCATTAAATATATTCAGACTTCCATTCAATATATTCAGACAAAATGGTTGTTGGTTGTTATATATATACAGTATATGCATGCCATGCCATGTTTTTGTTTAGACTTCAGGGGCTCTCTAGAAGGGAATCTAAACTGCTAAAACATCATTTGCATTTCTAAATAATCTGAATTCATAAAAGTATTCAAAGCCAATGGTATGTCTTAAAGTTACACACACATTGCATACTTACTGTTTTAGGCATTTAGGGTTTATTCCTTCACTAGAAACATTTTACGAAGTGCAGAAATAGCATGACACATAATTCACAGACAAACATATACATTTAAATGACTGAGTCTGGTTTGGTGTCTGTTAAACATTTGTATTGTACAGGGGAGACATATCTGTCATTTCTGTATGCTTGCATTTAGGAAATCCATGTTGCACGGTTGCACCAGGCAAGATCACTCATCGCAATTCGGGAAGATACGCACGTTTTATTTAATTAGGTAGCCTGTATTTTTTTCAAAGCCCTGTAGAAAGAGCACGAGCTGTCAGAGGGGAATGGCATAAGCTGTTTGGGCTCAGACATTGCATGATTTAAGAGTTTAAATTGATGGAACATACAGTTAACCAATCAGTATTATAACATTTTAGTTGATAACTCAATATATATATATATAAATATATCAGTATTTCGGTAGTGACCAGTATTTTCTTTGTAGTGTTATTATTATTATTATCATATTCCCTCAGCCTTATTGCTTAAGTTTAACTCAAAACATGTCTGATGTTGGGAATATTACACACAAATGTTTAGTGGTCAATAAAATAATTTATTTTTGAAGAAGAATGTTTATCCATGATCATTTATAGTACAAATATTACTTATCAATTGCTTATTTGCTGTAAATAGATGATTGAAATGATGATACTTATAGAAACTCACTGTTTCTAAGACTTTGGAACACATTTATTTCAAAATGATGAGATTTAACTACTAACCAGTCCATTTTGTCACTACCGAAATTATAATGTCAACTACCGAACTTGACCATATGTTTCAGTAGTGACACTTCTACTTATTTTTGAGCATAATTAAAGAATGCTAGCAAGCACGTGGCTAACAAGCACATCTTTGAAGAGGTGTACACCCATAGAAACATAATAATTTGCATAAAACCCCAAAAAGTTTACACAATTGAAGAGAATGTGTCTTTGGTAGTGACAATTTTTAAAGTAACACACTGATTTTCAGACTATGAAACACATTTATTTAAAAAATAATTATGGGATTTAACTGCTTATCATGCAGCCATGGGGGACAGGGATGCAATGTCACTTCCTGGTCAAAAATTCAGGGGTGTGGCTTAACTGTAGGCTCAGCAAGGCAAAAAACTCTTTTTGTTTGGTGTTTCGGTGGTGACATGAAAAACAAGGGACATGATTTTTTGAGCATAGCTTTTTAATTTAAAAATTAAACCCACAATAAATCTAAATCTTTCAACCTTTGTTTAAACTTAATCATAAAGATATTTTAAATTACACCGTTGAAATAAATCTAAAAAATGTTTTAAGTGGCATTTACATAAATTTAAATTTAGGGGTCAGTATTGGGGACAGCTACTTCTCAATAGAAAGTACCCTATAAATGATGATTTTGTATTTATTTAGCTTATCACTATCTCATTTAATGCCCTGGGTTTAAATAGATCATAATATGTCTGAATACTTAATTGTTTTGTTAAACCTTTTTTTTGTAATGGGACTGCACTTTGAACTAATTCTGTAGAATGTCCCGTATAGTTCCTCTTCTGTGAGAGCAGAGGGAGGAGGAGGAGGAGGAGGAGGACAGGGAGGGGGGAGGGCCCGGCCGGAGAGGACGCATAGATCACATCCGGGGCTGGTTTATTCTAATAACGAAACGTCCAACCCGGAAAAAAAGTCTTCTGTTATCCGAGTACACAAACAAACAGACAGGAGGGTGAGAGTCAGTCGCACGCGGGCCTCTTGGTGTGGACAGGTTGTAAAAGTTTTTAAAACATCGTCTGACATGCTCGGTACTTACTTACTTACTCTCCGACTCTCTCCCCTCTGCTGCGTCGCCGCGCGGGGCGCTGGCTGCGGATCAGACTGACTCCCAGGACAGCGGGTAAGTAGTCAGCCCAGTGTCACTGTGTGTGTGTGTGTGTGTGTGTCTGTGTGTGTGTGTGTCTGTGTGTTTGTATGTCTGTGTGTTTGTATGTTTGTGTGTCTGTGTGCGTCGTACAGTGCAGCAGTAGGTGTGGCAGGCCGCTGAGTCAGTGCAGGTCGCCTGAGCTGAACAAATGTCTGTCAGGTGTAGCTGAGTAATTGTTCCAGGTCACACTTTTCACTGCGCGCTCATGATCACGTTATACGTGCTGCACGCTCATGTCCACACTGGACACAAGCTCGTGTCTGATGTGCTGCTGCTGCTGCTGCTGTGTTATGTTTCCAGCTGTCAGTGCAAAGCAGAGGGGCTGATGGTTTATTAATGGTTTCTTTTTATTAACTGCTCTGTACATCTTCAGAGTGCAAAGTAACTTCAACAAACGACTATTCGTCCAATGAGCAGTCTCCAAGTCCAAACCCCCAACACTCTTTCTAGATTTATGTTTAGTTTAAAAGTTGTTTGAGTTTTTCTAGGCTATCTATGATGCTACTTTATATATAACTTTACCACATCAAAGTGGGCATTATTGTCTTTTTTTTTTAAAACACTTTCATTTTTCAAATAATTCCATTTGTTTTAAAGTTATAGTTGCGAAATAGTGTTCTGCTGAAACAGACTGAAATTTCTACTGACATCTCTTTATGATCTACAAAGGCAAACAAGACAATTACCATGAAAGTTTATTGTTTCTGTCTTAATTTTTAACATCTCTAAACTACTGCTTTAGGGTAGGTGCCAGATGATGTGATATACACTAAAAAACATATTTCAGTGAGTGATACTTTTGACTAAGTAAGCACGATGAGATTTACTTTGTTGAGAACACCACTAAAACATTTTCAGGACAAAATCAGCAAAGAGATAAGAGGTACCACTTTCTCCACAGGTGTGCCTAAAGCCATACAAACTGAAAGGTCCTCACAGGAGGTTTGATAAGAACAGGCCTTTGTTTCCCATTTTAAAAAGGGGTCAGTAGACCCTCTTATTGTAATTTTGTATCCTACATCTAATATCTGGAAGATATATTAGTTTTGAATAAATACATGCATATCCAACAAAATTACAAAACTTTTAAAAAATAAAGCCAATGCAGAAGTGCAAACAACTGCAGTTCCTTGAGTGTCCGCTTGAGGCTGACCCCAAAGTCTCTTACACACCCCATATTAACATGTCCATTTTAAGCAGAATTTAAATGTTTATAGCCTGGTAGAAACTCATTTTATTTTATGGAGGATATGAGTTTTTAGGGCGTGGTCGATCTGTTTAATAGAGTCACATTTCCAATATGGCAACAGCCATGGATTGGCTTCGAAAAGAGCCCTTCAGAAACCAATGGGTGACGTCACTGAGCCTTGTTCCATGTTTCTATACAGACTATATGCCTACAACATAGAGGTCATGTTAACATGTCCAGGCATCAGTAATATCCATTATACTGAACCCCGGACTGTCAGATTAGCCCCACAATGGAGAATATTTCATTTTGGGAAGTTTGACATTCCTGCTTTTAAACGACTCAAAACACTTTATCTGTAATTTAAAAAGTTGTCACTGACTTTTTAGTCCATTGAAACTGAACTACTTTTACATTTTATAATTAGGTTAATGAAATTGTCGAAGGAGGGACTAGTCAGCCGGAGAGACCTCGATTCTGAGAATTCACTCCCACGATAACCTACTTCAGTTTAAGGTCTTAAAGCCACTTCAAACCAGAATCCACATTAAACGTTATCTATGTTATCAAGAGTCATTTATGAACATTGTAGCTAGCGTCAAAAAATGATTGGAAAAAAATGTCAATGTAACTTTCCTGATATCCTCTCGTTTCCAAACAACAGCGTTTTCCTTTGAATTTGTCAAACTCCTGTTGTTCTTGTTTTGCTCATGGTATATGTATGTGAAATCTACCGTTGTTTTTATTCTAACACCTTTCTGATCAATCAGCAAATGTCTAGAGGGACATCAGACCACATTCAAAGTTACAAACAACATATTTTATAACCAATTACCAACAACAAGACTTCTAAATCTTCAAGATCTTAGCATCCAACCACTTTTGAGCTCACATTACTAATATTGACTCTTCACTGGACTTTATGTCACATGAGTCACTGTTGTATCGACAGCCAGACTGTCAATACTTGATTGGCCACACCCACAAAGTCTAAAGAAATGGTTTCAACTGCAAAATCAGCTTTTTAAAAAACAGTTTTTCTAACTGTTATCATTTTATTTTATGTCAGAGTTTGATGGACGCCCAATGAGACCCTCATGATGTGTTATTTGGATGTTTTAAAAGGTCTAGAATTGTAAGCAAAGATAGAATGAGGCAAGAAACGGTCTAATGAAGTAAGAATCGATCATTTATGAGAGTTGACTCATAAAGACAAGAAACCTGTTCAGCTTTAATCTCTCTCATTTTCAGTTCTTTTGTCTTTAACTGATCTTAAAGAGGTATACAAACTAAAATACTCAAGCAAAGTAAAAGAGATGAAAACAAGGAGCTGAAACTGTCGTCAAATAAAGCTGATCTGTAGACTGAGTGTGGGTGGGTTTCATTTCACCACCATAGATGTGGTAAAACACAATGATACACCACTGCTATAATCACAAAACTGTGTTCTTACCTTTAAACTATGTTGATATTTATTGATATATATGTGTGGAATAATGTGCAGGGAAAAAAAAGGTAAAATATGTTTAATTGCAAATTCGTGTGAAAGATTCGAAAACCTCTCTGCTACTCCCGTCTGCAATGCTCGAGACACTTTTTTTCTTTCCGATTGTGTGTGTGTGTGGTTGTGTCAGTCATAGTGTTGGTATCTGTGTGACCTCTGTGGCATTATTTCACTTTTCCATTACACCCAGAGTTTCTGCGAAGAAAATAAAAAAATCAGAACAGTTTGCACCTTCGAGCTTTTTGAAAAGGCAGAAGAACAAAACTGCCTGACTAAAATACTTGAAGCATCAACAGCCCACAGATTAAAAATGAAGATTGTTCCTTCCCACTAACTTTAAAATAGTGTTGGAGGAGTTTCACCAGCTCGGTGAAAATGCAGCCTATCATTTCACTGTGTAGCTGTTTATCTTTGCTGGGTATGTATGTGTGTTCAATGGAAAATTTGATCAGCTGTATCCCTTTAAAGCCAGAACCGTCCTTTTAAAAGTACTGGCAGAAGTTTCAGCCAGTCTGTCCTTACTGTGTATTTTATATGACTGTCAATTACATTTTGACTTTTGTTCTTATTAAATACAATCGGTCACAGATGTGGCCTAGTTGGCTCTAAGATTACCATTTGTGTAAGCTCGTCCTTTCAATGAATTATAGTGCAGAAACAAGTGAGGACATGTTTAAAGGAAAATGTGCAGAAAAGGTGACCTGAGGTAAACTCTCTGAGCTCTCTCGAAGGAGAAAATAAAATAAAATAGTGTTTTTAAAAAAAAGTGCTCTCAAAGTGCCAGAAGTTTTCTAACTCCTTAACTCATTCTATCTGAATGGGTCTTGATTTTTGTCAAAGAATCAGTCAGTCAGTCAGTCTGTCAGTCAGCAGTTCCATGATTCACATGCCAGGCATCATCCTAATGAATACAGCTTTTACCCCATTCCTCCCACCCTCCTCTTCCTCCCTCTCCTCTCTCTTCTCCGGCCAGTGAAAATGTGCGTGTGTGCAGATCTTGAGTGCAGTCTGTAATTTTTGGCTGTGGTGGTGGAGGGCCTCAGCTCAGCCTCAGGCTTCAGGGTTTGCTGCTCAGCCTCAATCACGTCACATGAAAAACTGCTGAATACGAGCCGGTCTCTGTCTTCCTGTGTGTGTGTGTGTGTGCGCGCGCGTGTGTGTGTGTGTGTGTGTATTAGAACAGTAAAGGAAAGATAGTTTATCCTCCACATCTGCCTGTGTCTGCCTCCTCTGTCCTAGAAGTCTGCCTGCTTCTGTTGCTCCTGTTACATTTCACCTCTCAATGGCCTTCTGATTTCAGTATCTGTCTGTTTGCCTTTCTTTCTGTCTGTCTGTTTTAGTGATATGTGATATTAGCAGCATGCCGTACTTTGATCGGCTCAACCGTGTGTGCGGCTTCCTTGACATCGAGGAGAAGGAGAACAGCTGCCGCTTCCAGAGGCGATACTTTATCCTCGACACGCAGGGAAATGCTCTGCTCTGGTACATGGACAACCCTCAGGTACTCAAACATACATGACAAACATTAAGAGGGAGTGAAAACGACCAATGGTAGGTGTGTAACCTTGGACTCTGAGCCAATGATGAGCCTTTGTGTTTGTGTTTGTATGCAGAACCTGCCCAGTGGAGCCAGCTTCGTTGGCAGCCTGAAACTAACCTACATCTCCAAGGTAAACAGAGCTCTTTATTGCCTGTAGAGTCACCTGCCCGTTGCTTGTAGTTACATAACGTCCCAAGAATGAAACACACACATGTCTGAGCTGTGTGGACACAGGAATCCACACACAAACAGGATGCACACTTATCTTTCGTTGTAGTTAAGGATCACATGCAGAAGCAGAGTTTGAGAAGTTTTCCAGATGTCAGCGCGCACGCTAAGCTAACCAGAGATAATGACATCTGGCTTCAGTGCTGACAGCTCCTCCCTGGAGACTCTGACTCGAAAAGACTGTTTTTTTTCTGTCCTCTCCTCATGATTCTGCTCCTCTCCTTTCCTTTTGCCGTCTCCTCCTCCTCTTTCTTTTCTCCCTTCTCCTTTTCTCAGGTGAATGAAGCTACAGCCAAGCAAAAGCCAAAGACAGAGTTCTGCTTTGGTGAGACTATTTTTTTGAAAACACTGAGTCATGTTTATTCAGTAGCATTAGTTACGTGTGCACATGTGATACATCGTATGATTCAGTTATAGTTTATATTGATGGAATAAGTGTTTATTTTTTTCAGTCATTAACGCAGTTTCTCGGCGGTACTTCCTCCAAGCTAACGATGTGACTGACATGAGAGAATGGGTGGCTGCTCTCAACAAGGCCAGCAAGATCACGGTGAGTACACGCACACGCACACGCACACCTGCAAATACACTTAACATTGTAACAGGATGTCTCTGTCTGATGCGTGGTTCAAAAAAAGGGCTAAAGCAGCAGTTATTGATGAGGGATTTGTTTCCACCTGAACACAGAGGGCTGCAGTTTGTGGTGCTGTGACCAAAATTATGGCGTCTCTCGAGGGCATAAATGCCAACACAAAAACCCCCTCTGACACACTCTGTGAATGAGGAAACTGCATGAATGTGAGCGATAGCACACACACACTGTACGTCACTGTGGTGGAGGTGTCAAACACATCACTGTGTGTTTCTAAGTGAACTTGCCGTGGACATTCAGTTTGCTCATTTGCATATAGTTTGAGTGAGTTTTCAGAGAAATGACCGTGACCTCTTTAACTGGAAAAATCCAGATGTTAAATGACTGCAGACGACAGCAAGAGTGTTTCTCTTTTTGTCTCACCTGCACGCCAACACAGGAAGCAGCCTCGCTCATTCTATTTTTCACTTCCTCTTTGATTGGAGGAGTTCTCTGTTGCCCTTTCGCAGCTTTCTGAGCCTCAATGAAAACCAGTGTGACAACTGTGAAAAGAGGGGATGCTGTAAATTATGTAAATGCAGGAGTTAAAATAGAACCATTAGAGATGAATTCACAGAGGATAAAGGTGTAACAGAAGCATCTCACATGATTAAAGTGACTTGCAGAAGTATTCTTCTAAAATGTTTCCATTTATTGCTCCATCTGCTCGTATGATAGGGGTTGTATATAATGGACCAACACAAAGTATTCAGAGCTTTAAGTTGCAGGTGGTGGTGTTACATGGTATTAAAAATGATCCACTAATAAAGTATGAATAAGATCCGATTCAATTGTGCATCCAGTAGATGTGCTCTGTTTCTTAATCAAAGGGTAAAACATCCACGATATTTTATTTAAAATTATTATTTAAAAAAAGTGTTACCACTGTAAAATATGAAGTCCAAAAATTATTGTTATTTTTAGAGAGATAAAGAGAGTATAGATTTACTTTATTTAACATTTTTAATTCCATTGCTTTTATTGAGTCATTGTGAAAATAAAGACAAGATATAGGAAATGAAGCAATGGACTCTGTCCAAACTAGATAGTTGCAGTTATTGCTGCAATAGCACCACGACATTCACTATTAATTATTTTGAATATAGTTTTTTTCTCTTAAGCTGTATTTCATCATGCTAGGTATTCACTTATTTGAAGTCTTTTTGACAGAAGTGCTGTATGATTTGAATGTTCAACAACATACTAGGGAGCAGGGGCCGAAACTACGAAGCGAGTTCAACATACCCAGGGTACATTTGGGTTATCTGGCTTCACTAACCCTGACATAAGAGGTCGTGCTTAACAGTCATGCAAAGCTGGTTATCCACCCGATAAGTCAGCCTCGAGTTTCCAAGAGCGCGTTCACATAAAAGGGGCGGAGTTAGCTTCACATAACCTATCACAAGCAAATGCGGAGATTTTCACAGGTTGATCTCTTATCTTGAACATAACCTGCCCCGGAGCAGGTTAGGTGTGCAGCATAAGTTACCATAGTGATATACCCAGGTAACAAGTGAACAACCTTCGTAGGACTGAAACCTCAGGATTAACCCTGAAGTAGCCTTGCTAACCCCAAATCATGCTTCGTAGTACAGACCCCAGGTTTAAGTTGTTATTGTGTTGTTGTTGTTTTTTACAAGAGGAGAGATGACAGTATAACACTTTCTCAGACCTTTTTTTTTTTTGCATGCATCTTCCCAAAATATATTTTCAGTTTTGCATAACTGAAGCTATGCAAGATTGTGCAGCTTTTGAGAGCACCTGTGGCCTCTTCTTTTCCTGTCCTGTCCCTGTTTATGTTAAATGGCTAATGTGCGACTCAAGTCTGTTTGGCTAATGAGATGATAATCTCCTCGTCTGGCACCTACCCCTGCAGTAGGAGGGACTGACATTTCAAATCATCATATCCAGTAGTCAGTCTTCTCTCTTGTGGTCTCTTCTGCTTTTGTAGGTTGTGTAGAGACATCAGTATTCATTTCTCTCTGTTTCATTACCAGCATAAAAACTCCTCACTGGAGCTTTAATACAAGCATGTATGGCTTTTACTTTGAGCGTTTGTTATTCCCTAGCAAAGTTAATTTAATGTTCCACAGCTTGTCACCGACCTACAGACATTCAAGTTATGTTAAGGATAATAAAATGAATGGTAACCCCATTTCTGGATGTTTTCCAGTAGACCACATTCTTTGCTGTTGCAGCAAAGTCCTACTCATTTGAATGTAAACCACTAACCCCAAAAAATATATATATTACAATTGTTTTGACAAAAGACTCCACGTTTCATGACAGCCCCATAAAATACTTTTTATCTCAGTCTGTAAAAGATTAGGAAAAGATGAAGCAAGCTGTTACCCTTAATCTTCCTCAATTAATCACCCTCATTTAACTACCTAATAAACTATATAATGCTTGTTTATGTAAGCCTGCTTGTTGCTATGGTGACAGGTCCCCAAGTCATGCCCCGTCCCCCAAAGGTCAGATGTGACTGCAGTAATCAGCGACACTCAGGGAGGAAGGAGACAGCAGGCTTACAAGGCGGAGATCATCGGTGGAGTGGTGGTGCACACTCCCATCCAGGTAACAAACGGGAGGCTACACCTCACTGTGATGCCTTCAGGTGCATTGTTTTTGTTCCGGTACATTTAACAGAGTACTGCTTACCCTCTGCCACTGAAACCACTCTCCGTGTAATGTGATACATCTGTGAAGATGGTGGTTACATGATTGTGATGATGTTTGTTCTGAAATGTTTCAGAATGAGAGTGAAGACACTGAGGGGCGAGAGAGGAAGAGCAGCAGGCCAGGCATGCTGAGGTGCGGTTACTGTGTCAAACAGGGAAATGTGGTGAGTACCCAGCTGAGTATTTCTGATTAACTCAGTGTAGGAATAAAAAATAGATGATGTGGAAACTGAAAACTTTAATGTGGTGTGTGTGTTTGTTTCAGAGGAAGAGCTGGAAGAGGAGGTTTTTCACCCTGGATGACAATGCAGTCAGTTACTACAAGTCTGAGACGGTGAGCAGCCAGCCTTTTAGAGGTTTTCTCTTTTTGTGTGTGTGTGCGTGTGTGTTTGTGCGTGTGTGTGTGTGTGTGAGACTGTTCTCTCTGTTTGTCCATGTCTGAATTCTGCTGATTTTTGTCTCAGGATAAGGATCCTCTCCGAGCTATTCCGCTGAGGGACATTCAGAAGGTCCATGAATGTCTTGTCAAGTCAGGGTGAGTCTAATGTGAAGCACTGAGTCTTACTCTCTTTTCTCTCTAGATCTTGTGTTTTGACAACAAACAAACAAACAAGAGGCTAACATGGGGGTACTGGTATTTTAAAATGTAATATTAAGACCTTCAGTATGGTTTATCCTCAATAACTTCTATTTATACACAGTTTAGACTTACTCTTTTTAAGACAAACTTGTTATGGTTAAAACAATATTATTATTATCTTTATTTTAAAGAGAATTGTTTTGAGTTTTCATGCCTTTATAGTGAGGACAGGACTGTAGGTGAAGTCAGGAAACAAGGGTGAGAGAGTTGGTTATGACATGAGGTAAATGGCCATGGGTGGAAATCGAATCTAAGGGCCATGTGGGACCTGCGATTTAACCTCTGAGCTAATCAGTCACACTAGCACTATATTATTTTTAACGTTAAAGTTACACATACAAATTTGAAAGGCATATGAGAAATTAAAGCGATTAAATACAGAAAATGATGCCACCTCTACAGTTTCTAACACTGCTTTGTTTATTTTTGAGAAATTCCTGTGTAAATCTGAAAACAGACATGAATACATGAGTCCTGGTATGTTTGTAGGAGGAAACTACTGATACAGAGAGTCCTATATAACCTCCCTGTAGCCACTGTTTGATCCAGCATGATAATTTACCGCCCTGTGTCCATCAGGGAACTCCTTCTGAGAGACAACCTGTTTGAGATCATCACTAACTCTCGGACCTTCTACATTCAGGTAAAACATTGTCTTCCCCTTACACCAGCCAATCCTTATCCGTTACAGTTATTTGTTTAAGATCTTATAAAAAGCAGAAAGGCCCTTTGTTGCCAGGTGTGTTACTGATGTTGTTGGTTGTTTTCTCTAAATGCTCTGCTGCTGATGTGTGGCATGAAAAGTGAGCAGCCATCTGTAATCATAACAACAACAACAACAACATCCTGCCTGCTAGTCACCTGGGAGAACAGCTGACTGAATGTCGGATAAACTGAGAAGTGATGAGAAACAGATACATTTCTAGCTAGAAAACCTTTATTGTCTTTTTGAAAAATAAAGGAAGCCTGACAAATAATTACGAAATCTGAGATCTTCAAATAAGAGCTATCATCTGAAACTAAAATGACATTTTCAATTCAAATTAATATGTTTATTTTTACTATATTTAAATTGTAAGACTAAAGAGCAATAAATCTGCTGATTCTTTCAAATATACCAACTTTTTAAACTTCAACTGATAATTTTCATTACTGATGATTCTTGTAAAAAAAAACAAGTTTTTATGACTTTAACTAGAGGAATCCGCTACATCAGGCCTATTTTATAGTAGAATAGATTTTAGGGGGGGGGGGGGTTGGTCTTTTAATGAGACTTTCTAAAAGTAGGAAATGTGAATAATATTAGTTGCCATTTCTAACACAAATTAAAAGAGCAAACAGTTTTTATCTTGTGATCATGATTCTCCACAGACAGACTCTCCAGAGGAGATGCATGGCTGGATCAGGGATGTTGAGTTGAAGATCCAGGACTTCAGAGGTCCTCCTAAGGTAAATTTGTTCTTTGATGGTATTTATGGTATTTGTTTTCTTTTTTACCTTCAAGAAAAGAAGAAAAAAAAACTCAATGATTCCTTGTCCCTCTCATTTCAGGGTTTTCCATTTAAACGAGCATCCTCTCTGTATAGAAGTCACAACTCCTCCTCCTCGTCCCGAGGTCATCATAGTGACGATCGCAGACCTCCTCTGACCAAGTCCTGCTCTGTGAATCCAGGCTGGCAGCCCTGGATGCCTGTCCCACCCTGTGAGCCCTCCATCCTGGACGTAGAGGATGAAGACAGCCCTTTCAGCTCTGTGCCCACCGTGCCTTCTCTCTCCTCTTCCTCAACCTCTTCCTCCACCTCATCCTCCTCCAACTCCCTCTCCACCCCGGCTCCTGGCCCTAATGTTCCTCCCACTGCATCCACCAGCGGACTAGGGATCCTCGCAGCATCAGGAGACGCAGCATTTGGGAGGCGGAGGCACCGCTCGCAGCCTCAGCCTCACAGCGGCTGCAGCTTCCCCTTCAGCCTGGATGACGATGGCATCCGCACCACCGACGTCTAAATTAATGAAGTCTTATGTGTTGGTACGTCCCTGCTTTAACATGAATGTGACTGGTAATAATAGTATATTATAATAGTATTCCCTGTAAATGAAGGGACACTGTGACCGCCTGCCCTGAGGCCATGATTTGATTAGGGCCCTCTGCTGGTCATTTAGCTGCACTGCAGACGAAGGATGCACCCAGCTGGAAGGGAGATCGCAGTGTTTGTTGTTCACAAGACTGTGAAGAAGTTTGTTGGTGTTTTTAAAGTGCAACTTCCTCCTAAAACTTGAATAATCTTGTTTTTAATTGTCCCTGCAGACAAAGTATAGCACATGCTTTACATCTATTGCACCTTACCCAAACCGGAGATGTTACTCTGTCATCACTCTCTCTATCAAAAACATGTTCTTAAGTCTGATTTACAAACAAGTGTTTAAAGGCATTTTAACACAATAGTATTCATCAGTTTCATATTCAAGCTTATGTTCACTCGGCTCTTTTGTAATTTCTGTTGGCCCCAGCAGCTTTTCCCCCCTTTTCTCTGAGACACACTTCATATGAAAAGCCTCACATCAGCTTACAGTTTACCAGCATTTTTTAGACTTCCATGTATCAGGTGTCTGGGGGAAAGTATCCAGTTTTCATTTAAAAAAAAAAAAAAAAAAAAGGTACACACACTCTCTCTTATACCTGTTGACTGATGGCTCCTCTGTCGTAGCAGAAAACATGGAGTCAACAGCAGGTTTCCTGTTTTAGCTTTTAATATTTGCCCGAAGATCAATTGTCAGTAAACTGTGAGTCCTATTAGCTCTTAAAGGGTACAAGAATTGTACAGCAGTGTTTCCATTTGGTACTTTTTAATAGTAAGTACGGCATACATTAAAGTACAACTGACCAGCTGCTTGACAGCTTTGTAAATGTGACTTTTTGAAGCGTTATGTGGGGTAAATGTGCCACTACTTCTGGTAATTTAAATGTAATTCCACACTTTGCTTTCCACCTTTTTACTTGTGTGTTGTTATTTTTGACACAGCTCTCAGCAGACATCACAGCTTCCTCTTAGTTGATGCCTCAGATACTTTGTGTTGTTACACTAGTAGTCACTTCAAGACTCCACTGAGGTGGTACCTTGTTCATTCCTGTTTCTGTTGTCTGGAGCTGTGTGCACTATTCTGCCCGCATGCATTGTTAATTTTCTTTCTTGTACATTAAATGCTGCTTTTTATTTGTCTTGTTTGAGTTTCTTATTCTATAGATACTTCTGGTTTCATCTTGACTTTAAAATTCTACCATCATGTGGCCAGTCAATTTTCACAAAATATAAAAATCTAAGCTCAAAGACTTTTCCAAAAAGCCTTTTGATAGTAGATATGGAATTCATTTTACAACTTTTTTTTTTTCCTGAAGTGCAGAATGTCCACCTGCCAGGCATGCAGCGGGTCAGGGCTAACGTATTTGACCTTCTACACAGCCACCTAGAAATTTGCACACCAAGTGCACGCATACACAATAATGCACAAACATGCCAATCTAGTGCCCAGAGGTTGTGTTAAGTGAAGTGTTTCACACGTCCAGTGCAAAGGTCCATTAGGTAAAATGCCTGAAACTCTGTCCTGACCTCGGTCCACTTTGCTCCGTGCCCTGCAGTGCAGCTGGACTGGCGTGACTAAAACGTCTCCACTGAACGGTTTAAATTGTGTTGGTAGGTAAAGAGGCCCTGAGTGCCAGTGAAATGTCAGCCGTGTTGAAATGAGTTTTCAGTCTGTTAAAGACATAGCTCCTCCAGGTACTGAGAGAAATCCAAGCAGAAACGAGGCAGGAGGGGCAGGGATGAAAGTTTGGTTAGTTTGAGGACACAAAGAACAATGTTGGTGAAAGGCGGACAAGCTTGTGTGGTCTGCTAAAAAAGCAGTGATTTTTGACACTGGTCTAAAACCTATCAACAATATTGTATATTCATCTGGTGAGCTACAAATATATCCATTAACTGTTTTTCAGCCTGTATCTGTTCACAGGCCAAGAAACAATAAGAATAAAAAAACAAAACAAAGACCTTATCACATTAAAAATCTCTAACTAAAAAAATGATTTTTTTCCAAGAATCAAAACAGCTAAGGATTTTCCCACAAGATAAAACGTTTTTCCAACCAATATAGACCGCTTCCCATTCCACCTAAAAAGTATTTGAAATGCAATGTTTGTGAATGATTAATTTACACCTTAAAAAGTAGAAAATTGTAAATACACAAAAATATGGGTTTAGAAAGAAACAACAATGGCACTGACACACTTGATGGAAAGCTAGAGATAGAAAGGAAAGAAGTGCAGGTATTATTTTAAATGTTTCTAGAGCATATCATAACATATCTACTTCAGAAGCTTTTTTACATATTAGAGTAAGATATAATAAAATAACCCGGGCCCATCACTACCTTAAAGATCGATAGTCCTTCAGTGTAAAAACTCAAATTGCGTTCCTGTACTGTGGTGAACCACAAGGCTTAATTCTTGGGCCTTTGTTTTTTTATATTTAGCAATATCATACCAATGTCTCCGAAAAGTTGTGTAAAGTTTTTTTTAGTAGATGACTGGCTTCTTTTTTACGAATTTATACTTACATTATCATAAAGGTGCTTAAGGAAGACCCCAGTTTGCTGTGTAACTGTTTTAAGTCCAACACATTATCGCTTAAATATACGATATATATATATATATTTTTTTTTAAGCTTCTCATTCAAGATCATAACTGAGTAACACAATTACTACACAATTCATCAGCATTTTGCTTATTGAAACTTTTTTTAACACAGCTGGAATTAACTACATTATTACAATAAACAAAATCCTGCTGTTATGTTATATTACTTGATTGTTTATAATATAATATTTAATATAATATAACTTTTGCCAGTGTTAGTTAGAACAAACCTGAGTCTGTATACCTTTTCAGGAACAGGTCATAAGAATTATAAATTGTGTACATGAAAAATAATTTTGTCAGTCATCATCTATTTCATCATTTGTTCTTCCATTTTTATGAATATTTTCAAAACTATTAATTATATTCCATGTAAAGCTACCCTCTCCTTAAGACCCTTACTTTAAGTTAATCGCACAGTGGGACCAAAATGGGATTTCCTCTGATTAAATTTTTTGTAATTGTCCTGACAGCCGTTTATTAGAGCCCTGAAATCCCTTCATTTGTCTACCTAATATTTTCCACATGGACTGCTTAAGCTTGTCAAGGTACAACGTAAATAATGTACTATAAGGCCCAGCATGAACATCATGCTGTTTTCATTATTTAGTTGGTATTTTTGTTATGTTTCTAGGTATATTTATAGCCTCAAAATCAGAGGAAGGTTAGTAAGTGGATAACTTATGCTGGGCAAAACTAGCTTGTTAATTAGATCTGAATTATGATCAGATACAAAATAATTGTTTACATGTATGTATTTAATACTATAACAATCTATACTAATGTACTGCCTGTGAAAGCCTCAAGCACCCAGGAAGTTTTCATGAAGTTCTCTTTTACAATATAATTTTAATCTAGGTCTTTCTATATAAAGGTTTATCTTAAAATAAAACGATAATGAATTAAATAAAGAGATAAAGGTCTGAAGATGTAGCGACACACTATAAGCCTTCTAGGTCTGAATTTGGAACATGAAGTAAAGGTCAGGCAGCACTTCAGTTTGACGCCTGTGAGTGACAGCAGCTCTAAGGGCAGGCAGATACACACACGCACGCACACGCACACACACACACACACACACACACACACACGCACACACACGCGCACACACACACACACACACACGCACACACACGCACACACGCACACACACACACACAGCTCCCCTAAATGTTAATGTTCACACATGGATGACTGATGCCATTACACTTCGCTGACTTTAGATGTTGCTCCTAAATATAGTGTCTGTAACTGTGTTTTCTTTTTGTTTGTTCAATGGTTTAAATTCAGGCATGATAATGAATATGATGAAGACGACCCGTACATTAGTTTCTTTGTTGGGTGTTTTGCTGTAAGCAGGAGAAACCCGCTGGAGGGAGCCACTACACACCACACTTCAGTGATCGCGCATGCAGTGTAACTATTCATGCAGCTAAAATGATAGGATTTCAAAAAGCATTGATTTAAAACCAAATATAATTATATACAGAGGCCATTAGACCGTTCAATATCAATCTCCACATAAAAGTACGAAAAAGATAATGAAATGAGGGTGATAAACCCCGCTGCTGAACAATAACAGAATATTAAGTTCTTACTGTTCGTGTGACAATACAACGAATACGTCCCCTTCAAAATAAAGGCGCGCCTATAACAAAACTTGTGGCTAAAATGAATACAATTCAATATTAAAACATATAAGTAAATGAACATGGATCAACTTCGTTTCAATTATAGTTCATTTTAGATTTTTTCTAAAACCCCAAAGTTTGGTCAAACATTAAATGATCAACAAATAGCTTCTTCTGCTGGCAAATGTTTTAAGATCAATGTCATGGTGATCATTTATATTATTTATTCAATAGTCAGCAGTAAAATTGGGTTCCAGTTATTGATGTACACATAACAAATAACTAGTTCTAATTTCAGTACAAGAAATAGATGTTACAACCAAGGACTATGGATGTCTGTAAAACATGAAGATAGAACAGGGAGGGTTATTTTTCATCCCAAACTGATATATTTTGCATAGTTAAGGCTCTATCATCCAGGCAACAATGATAGTGTCAGAAATAAAGGTAAAGACTAGAGATTGTCTGATTTCATTTTGTTAAATGTTCAGCGATGTCTTCTCTAAAAGCTGCTGTGTGACATTAAAGACACTCTCTTTGCTCTGCACCATCTGATTAGAAAACACTTTCACATGAAGTGTCTTTAGACAGGAACAGAACATTTAACTATGTTACTGTGCAGAGAGCAAAGTTTCCCTGACATGTGTAATATGAAGTCATATTAATGTGGACCAGCTTTTCCGTCATCTGGCCTCGGAGTCCTTGTCTGGACCACTGCCAACCCCCCCCCACTACACACACACACACACACACACACACACACACACACACACACACACCCGCACCACATCAGACCACCTTACAAACTGGAGGCTGTGCTGGGGGGGTTGGAATGTATTTTGCCCTGTGTGATGTGATTGTTTGCAGAGGAATGGGTTGACCTTGCCCTCTTATGCCACACACACACACACATACACACACACACACACACACACTGGACCCAGTTGAGCTAGAGGTGTGTGAGACAGACCTGCTGAGTGCAGGAGGTCTGGGACCCCCGTCACCACTTCCTCCAGACGGAGAACAGAGGATCCAGTCAGCTTAAGCCAGGATGGGACAATAATGAGCCAGCAAGCCTTCACCAATACCAGCTTCACCGCCACCGCCACCAGCACCACCAGCACCACCAGCAGCTCATATCAGGTATAACTGAAACTTTCTCCTATCACTTTTCCTCCTGCATATAAACAAAGAATCCTAAGTATGCCATTATATTTAGAGTTAGAGAAACACATAAATTGTTTTAAAATTACCTGAATAAAAATCACCTGTGCTTAAGAAAGCCTGAATGTGTGATTGCTTTTAGAAGAATGTGGAGTTTTCTAACAATATTTCATTCTGGAAAGTTGATTTTATATAATTTGAGGACGAAACCATGAAATAAGATATTGACTTAATGAAACATTTTCTTTTATTTAGAACATTTTATGGAGATTTATTAAAAATATATATTTGTGCATAGTTTATAAAAAAGTAATTTGTCTATTTTGACCTTTTTTTGTTTATTATTAATCCATGGCTTTGTCGTTTCTTTTTAAAGAATTCGTTGTTTCATTGATTATTATTATTTATTATTAATATTATTTAGCCACATTGATTCAGCCGAAGCTGTTTGAATAAGTTATTGCAGCGATAACACCAATTATTAGAAAACTTTGATCGTGTGCCATGTTTCTAAATTCATTTATGTTAAGTTAGCATATAAACAACGAAATAAAGGTTAGTTCATTTGTTTGGATTACATTTAAGAGTTTATGATGCGGGTTATAGCCTAATTAAAGTCTACTGTTTTTTTCGATCGAGCAATGGCAACCTGTAATGGGGAAACTTTGAAGAACTTTTCGGAAATAATGCATTTAATAAAACCGGCTTTTGTTCAGGAAAAAATAATCACAA